CTTTACTGTTTGACTCGGCTATGTGAATAGCTATAAATTGAGCTCCCAGATCATTACAACGTCTTTATTAATTTTTATATTTTGGACCCTCTTTTCATTTGCATCAAGAAAGCCTCAAATTTACTTCCAATGGGTACATCATTATAATAAATTTCAAACTTAATTTTCTCTCATTAAAAATATTATCTTTTTTTTCTTGCTTCGTATAAATCGCGCTTAATTTCTGCCTTTACATGATTTGGTGCCACCCCATGTGTTCCCCGCCAGACCGTGCGAGAATTGCAACACGCACTGAAACAACGGCCTCCCTTTCGCGCCCCTCGGCAGGAAACAATGGCCGAATTTTCCACCGGCCGTGCACGAGAGACGAAATAATGTCGCCCATCCGAACGGATAATTTAAATCCAACAGCAGCGAGTCCATCCCTTCCGAAAATTCACATGCGAGGGGAGGCGGCCATCTGCACGATAATGCAACGGGGCCCTTTTTATTTTCACTAGTGGCAGACACTGGTCCACAATTGTGTTACGTGTTTGCTCTCTTTTTTGTACCATTGCATTGTAATGTTAATAATTCAGACGGGCCCGGCCGGAGTGGCAACGTCGCGCGCGATCCGACATTACACTCTTCTGCTGTGGCATTTGAGCGTATGTATTTTCTTATTCCATAAAAGTTTACGACGGCCGCGAGGCTTTCTCTCTGGAGAGAGACGCCGCCGCCGCGTTGCCACTCGGAATTATTAATTACTCTCGGGCCGAATTCCGGCGGCGAAAATAGCAGCGGGCGATTCGCAATTAGCCGCAGCAGTGTTGCTGCCGACGCCCGTCAATTGCCGTGAATTATTATTGACAGTGGCACGACCTTTGGGCCTGTCAGTCACACGTGGTTTGACTGAGAAAAACATTAAGTTCAAAAATTCATGAATAAATTTCCAAAATTAAGAATAGTGGATAAGGAAGTACAGGAAGACAAATGTGTAACGTTCAAATTTGAATTTGGATGGAAAATTACAAATAATTTTGAAATCATTAAATTTGAATATTACATCCCAGTTATGTAATCAACCACAGAGATTTCTAATAATTATTACAATTAGACTAAAGCATTGATAAAAATAATATATGCAACAATTGAGCTTCCGTTGACCAAATCAAATTGTAAATACGACATTTCATCTACTTTGAAATTAAAGTAAATGAATTTTATTTCAACATTAAATAATGCAGTGAGCATAAAATACGGCCTCGATCTGATGGGTCACGCTAAATTTCGCGAGTGATAAGAGTCAATGGAAGTTACGCAATCCAGAGAATTCATTCAGTTTGAATTAATTCAAAGTGGGGCAAAATTTAATACCGGCTGTTGATGAAGGTCGTTAAACTTTATCAACTTCTGGTGTCACTCGCAATGGCGAGACGATTCATAGAGCGATTCCGTGCCCTTGTTGATAAATTTCAAATCAAATTCTGCGTTTCCTGTTCTCGGGCGGGAACATTATTCCGCGTTTCAAGAAGTGTAGATAGGAACTTTAAAACTACCCACGTTAAGCCTATCAGGCGGAAAGACATCTATTTTTATGCTCGATTCATTATTTTAGTAAATTAAAAAAAAAAATCCAAAAAATTGAATACATTTTACTAAATCTTTTACATATTTATGGAAATCTCAACTTGTTAATAAAGTCGACAAACATTTAATTTATGCCACTTATTTTGTATTTTATAAATTGTATAAAAAATGAATAAAAATAGCATAAATTCGAAATGGAAAATTCGACATGAACAAAAAAAAATGAGTCTTTTTCTCATTTTTATCAAATATTATTTTACCAAATCTCGATTAACTTCAGCCAAAAATTTTGTTTGAAAAGTTCTGTGATTTCCTTAAAAACATTTATGTTCAATTCATTTTCAAAATCCGGGTAGTCTGCGAGAGCCAGAATGCAAATATATGCGACGAGTTGCGACACAAAACTGGACTCTGGCTGGAGATAAAGTTGGTTTTATTTCTTTCCACTGGATTATGATGCTGATTATCATTACGAGACAGCATTATTATTAATAACAACTAGCACAGCCGAGTGCGAGAGAAAGAAAGGTGAACGGACTGCAAATTGCCTTTTCTGCAGCGGCAGGTTGCACTTTTCTGTCCAGCAGCTTTGCTCTCTGAGGCAATCCTTTTCCGTATTCCTTGCTCAAAGCGTGCATTAAAGTGATTGTCCGATTTATGTACCTAATTTGACAGTAAAAAATTTATTTGTTAGCTTTCAACTCGTCCTTATCTCTACGCTGATAAGGAAAAAAGGTGACGATATCGTATCACTTCAACATATGTAAATCTAATTATTTTTCATAAATTTTGGGTGGTTCATGTAAATAGGAAGTATCTCCTTATCCAGAACAGGCGATTTGCTAAAAATAACCGGACAATAGTCGTGTTTTTGTAACGCGAATTTTAGGTACAAGGTCGAGCAAACTGCGAAATCATTCGTAAAAACGACTTGTGCCTTCCAACACGTAGGCCAAATAAAATTTTGCGTTTCCGCCTGCAATTTCAAAGAAGAACACAATCAAAATTTGTGCAAAATTTTCAATTTCAAATTCTGCATAATATTTCAAAATTCGTCTCTTAGGATTTAAGAAAGTCCAAATCTAACCTGGGACCAAAATGGATGTTACGCGAGTTAAATCTGGATGAAAATGGCTGCAGGACGCATTAGACAAAAATTATCTACATGTTCATATATCAGGGGCAAAAAGGGATGAAAAGTGAGCCGAACTTACCTTTTAAAGTGTTCCCTAATTCTATCTTCTCGGATATTATCCGGCAAATTCCCAACCCAAAGGTGGCGAGTCTCTCTAACCATCGTCTTGGCCTCCTTCGGTCTTCATTGGGACGATCCTGATGGTGATTCCATTCTCAAGCTTCTTCTCTTGGGCGCGAAGATTTGCGTGGAATTTGTCGGAATCGGGCGGCCAATTTGATGCCTGCGAACGCGAAAACGAAGACTATTTCGTGTCGCAAGAGAGTCGCACTGCCGCCGAATAATTAGCACACCATAGCAATAAATTAATCGAAGGTATTACAGCTGCAATATTATTCTATACTCTTCACGGCACATTACTGCTTGACGCACTACACTACACGAATGACGTCATTCTGGCGGGAGCTTGCTCTCGAGCCGAATAGGCTCGCTGGCTGGCCTGTCGCCGTGCGATGCGCCCCACCGCGGCACGGCCGGGCGAGTCTGCAGCCGCCGCGGACGAGTCCACCCGGCACTTATTCAACTAGAAGAGGGGAGTCGCGCAGACCAGCGCCGAGCCAAATGTAATTGATTTTGCTGCCGTGCCAGCTATTGAAATGCCTCAAAGGGTTGAATTAGAGAAAAATTAAATGAGTTTCTTTCCTTCGTTCTTGCTCGTTACGCAAGTCCCCTCTCGCGCCTCCTCCTCCTCCTCGCGTCTTCATCTCTTCGTTTTTGTGCGAGCCGCTTTTTTAATTAGACTAATTGCAGAAAACCTGCTGTACTTTTAAGTCTTTTAATACACCTTTTTTATCTGTACAGAATTTATAATTATGACTAGAGCACTGCAAAACATCTCTGGATTGACCGACTACGGACACTACTTCCGCCTGTACGCGCTACAACAAAATTAAAACCTTGTAAAAAATATTGCTTCAAAAAGTTCAAAAAATAATAATTTAATACAAATTACGCAACCAGTTTACAAATCTACAGTACTGAAAGATCTTTTCCTCTAGTATTTTCAACTTGAAAAATCTATAAATAAATAAGTATCAAGTGCCTGAAAACTATAAAATTTGAATTTGGATTTTTTTGGTTATTAAGAAGAAAAAATTCTTCGTATTGCCATTACTATTTTTAATTTTCGAAGAAAATATTATTTTTGCCACTATTTTTGGTTTTTAAACTATACAAACAATTACAACAATTTTATTAGAAAAATCATATTCTTCAAACCTTGTACTTTTTTTTGCGATGTAATGTATCATGAATGGAGAACTAATAAATAAATAAACTATGTAAATATAATTGGAGTTGAAATTGCAGCAAAGGATTTATAAAAATTTTAAACTTAAAACAAGGATCAAATTTTGTTAGTGTTTCTATGGTTTCAAACAAAATAAACAAATTTAATTAATTTGAAAATGTAACTTACTTTCTTTTGTAGAAAATTCATTGAATAATATTAAGTTGGGGACAAAAATAGTAATTTAATCAATTGAAAATTAATATGTTCACAATGAAATAAGAATATTTTTCTGAGTTTTTTTTGTCACAAAAAATAATTTTATAAAATCTTTAATTTCATTTATAGAAGTTGATGAAATTTTACGTATGCGATAACTTATTAAATCGCAAGAAAAATAAATAAAAATGTAGAAGACAAGATCTTGGGATGTAAGCAAACTACAATTAGGCACCACGACCACAAGGTTAAAATAATACAATAATGATACACTAAGCCATAGCGCTGCCTTTATTTCTGTTTGCTCGGCGAACGGTTTGTACGTTCTGATTCAATTCTGCGGTCGCAGCCTTTTTGATCCAATTATATATGGGATTAAAATGCGAAATGTCCTCGGTAGACATCTGCACGACGAACACAGAACCTTGGTCAAAACACTTGCGACTATATTGAATAACATTTACCTATCGCTCTTATATCCCTGCAACATCAGGGGGTTAACATAAATTTTTAAAAATTTAAGTCATTTCATGAATTTTGCATTAAATATTAGAAAAAAGAAAAAAACAAATCATTAGAAAATGCAATAAAAATAAAACAAGTTCAAAGCGGGGCTTCTTTCTGCTTGGAATGGCGCTCAATACTTTTAAAATTTCAAGCGATAGTTTTACTTCGTTCCGCTAGAAGCGCTAGCTCTCGTTCTCTTGCGATTTGCTAGGCTCTCTGCCTTCTCTGGTTGGCTGTCCCGAAACAAACCGCGAAAACGAGGAAATTTCACAGGTGAGACATAAACAAAACACTTTCCTGAAGGGTTTTTGGGATTTTTCTCGGTATATAATTATGACCCATCAAAAAGAATATTATTTTTTGATAGAATAAACAATGAAGCTTCTTTAAATGATTTATGTTGTAATTTTATTTTAAAAATTTGGTTAGAAATCAAACTTAAATTTATGTGTCAAATTTTTTTATTTTCTTTACACCTCACTTTTTCAGACGTCTTATCTTTATATGCAAACTTCAATATTTGCCGTCGTGATGGATGACTGCCACAGAAGTTTCCGACAAATTGAGGCTCAAGAAAATGTGCTGCAAAAAATGCAGAACATTCACATGAGATTGCAAGAGACCGCTAAGAAAGCGAAGCAGCAGCTGGACGACGCAAAACTGCATTCTGAGAAAGCTGAGCATGAGATGGACAAGGCCTACCTTGATTGCAAAAATTCGGTTTCAAGCCTAGGTCAAAACCTGCAAACTCTTCACCAACAGTGTCTTGATTTGAGCGGCGCCTTGTGCCCCAAAGAGCCACAGCTTCTGTGTCAGATGCCCTTGGACGAGCTATGCCAATCAAGAAAAACCGTTGAAAGCAATTTGAAGCTGCTCATCGTTAAACAGTTTCAAAAGGCATTTTTATCGCCCTATTTTGACACCAATTAATTTTTTTCTGAAATGCAGAAACTCCAGCAGGACAGTCCAAAAACAGACAACCCATACCTACATCTACTGATTGGCCCCGACAAGAAAAAATTTGATCAGCACTGCCGAGACCTGGAGAAGTTGCAAGTTGAGTAAGTTTTATAATTTTATATTCTTATATATTCAGAAGCATTATTCAAGGTGAAAATTTGACCCTGTTTTAAATTAATGCAGTTACGGGAGATCATTGGCAAGCCTGAAGATTCTTGATGCTAAGAATATTGCCCTGAAAGCAGCAATAAATTTTATTAAGCACAAAAATTCAAAAGCAGAAACAAAGTGAGTACTGAATAAGTCATACCATAATAAGGTTTCTGATAATTCAAATTCATTACGTTAGTCTTCCTTCTTTGACAACTTCAGTAAAAACTGTTGAAAGAGAAGTGAAAGAATCTGCTGCCAAAGCTGCTGCCAACAAGGCCAATGTAATTTCCTTGGCCAATTTAGCAGTAAAACAAAACAGACTTCACTATTACTTGGACTGCTTGGAGTCTGTGCAACAAATCATGAAAAAGCAAATCGGCATTGACTCGATTCTGTGTAACATGATATTGGTAATAAAAGACCTCTAAATCTTTACTTTTAAGTAGTGTTAGTGCATTTATTTTTGAAGGTTGAATCTGAAATTACACAAGAAGCCAACCACTTTTTGGGTACCATTGGAAAGCACTTCAAAACTGAAGTTGAGAATATAGAGAAAAACATAGAGGGCATAGTGATTATGAGATCTGCACCGGTGGCCAAAGCTACAAAGACATGCGAGGATGACCCTTTGCTAGAAGATTTTTGTGTAAAAAGTTCAGAAATAATTGACCAACTAAATGAACACACTGTTTTGCTGAGAAAGAGGTATATTAAATTATTTAATTAACTCCATCGTCTAATTTATAATAAAATTCAAGAGCTTTGCTGTTAAGCCAAACTGAAAGTGCTGACGCTGCAGAGTTTCCAATGCTTGAAAGCTCTGTTTCCCAGCTGGAAAAGTTGCACACAGATTTCAAATCTGAATTTCAGAGTAGTGTTCTGGAATTCAGGAAGACAAAAGTAAGTTTTATAAAATCAGAAATTTTAAGTAGTTGTTCAATTTTTTTAAATTTAAAATTCAAGGGAAATTTAATATTTCCTTTAATGAATAATTTTCCTTGTTGATTTTAATTTATATTTCCAAAATGAACAATTGTACATATTCAATCATATTAATTGTTTATTTCATTGTCAATCTGTTAAAGGAACGACTGAAACTTTGCCAACATCTGAAGCCACCAATTGACTTATGGCAAGCATTCTTAGTAAACCCTGACAAACTTTCTGCCTATTCGACAAAGACTGATGATTAAAATCTTAATTTCACAAAAATTTTGTATTTAATAAACTTTACGTCGTGCTATGACTGCTATTTCAAAACAATGTAATTTTTAGCTCACATTAAAATAAATATAGCAATTTTATTACTTTGATTAGTGGGAATTATTTATTTGAACAATTTCTATATTGCAGCAAATTACAAAATTCTTGTCACAATGACACTTATGACTAGTTAAATAAATTTTAAAAATAGGATTGCCAAATGCAGTTGGTTTTCCCAATTTTTTTTTACATAATATATTGAATTACAAATTTTTCGCCATGAAGGAACATTTTCTTTGAACATAGCTAATTAACAAAATGGTTAACATGAAATCAAGAAAATTACATTGGTTATAAACATGATTGCTCTACAAGAAAACATCAAATAAGATTTCACAAATCAAATTTTGTAAATGTTAAAAAAAAATCATGATATGTTGCACAATTTGTACACAAAGTAGATATTAAGCCTAAAAATGAATTCGGAACATGTTTCAAGAGTTAAACAAAAGCTTTTAAAAACATTTCAATGATTGTGTAGAATACATAAAATTATCTGTAGCACCTCTAAGTCTCTGCAGCACTTACATAGCACGTCAATTCACCAACAAGTCACTTCTGTTAATCCTTTTAATAATTAAAATCATGTGCTGCTTCAGCTTAGGGAAAATTGGTACAAGCCAGTCAGTCTACTTGTCGCTTGAAGACCAACTGAGAATCACAGCCAAGGACGGAGGTTTTTACAGCAGTTAGTCAGTTTTTAGAGTAAAGTGCGTATGTAATTAAAAAAGGCTCTGCAACATAGGTTGTATTGTACTCGTTGGGCATTCTTTCTTTGGTGCGCCTCTGTCAACAACTAACTGTTTTTGCACTGAAATTAGGTTGGCACACCATGCACTCTGAAGCGATAAATGCAAGTGTAGTCCATGTGCCCATGGTTTGATTCTATTCGCAGCTCAATTTTTTGGTACGAGTCATGTTCGGCCTGCAAAAATGTTCAATTATTAAATTTGCACGGGATCATAAAACTTTTAAAAATTGCTCACAGTAATATCAAATGTTTGCAAAGCTTGACCGTTATCCAAATATGAGAAAGATCCAAGTTGCAGCGGCTCGGGATCCTGCTCTTCTTTAAAGCCCCAGATGGAGAAGTCTTTCGGGGCCGAGTCTATATTGCCACTGATTGCTATCGACTTGGGAATGTGTTCCATAGTTACTGCGGTCAAGTGGATATTCTTGGAAAGCTCAATCAATATCATGCCTGTGGCGCCTTTGAATGCAAAGCAATCTCCAGGGTTGACACTTGGCTAAAAATATTCGACAAATTTATATAAAAATATTTACACGAAAATAAAAATTACTTGAATGATTGACCGTGGGTTGTTGGGCCGGTAAGCTCTCTTGTACAACCAATCCATTCCCAAGTAATACGTGATAGCGTTTCTGCCATCATAGCTTTCGGTACAGCGCGTTGTCAAAATTGTTCCACCTATAAGTAACAAAATTTCAGCAGTTTAAAAAATGGAAAAATTTTTGTACTTTACCTGAAGATTCCAATGCGTAATCAGGCATGCTTGTCTTGTCAGCATCAAAGAGGGATATCTGCTCTCTTATTAAGGCAATCAGCTTTTCATCCGAGAATTCCAAATTAGATGTGGGGAAAGCGGCCGTAGAAGTTTTCAGCTCCTTCAACTCAGCGAGCTCTTTAGCTGTCGACTCCATTTTCTCATCAATGGTGGCCAATATTTCTAAAGTTTCTATGTTAAATATTTTTAAAACCCAGATTGTAAGTACTTACTCTCTTGTGCTGTCTTAAGATCGAGTTCTAGCAGACGCATTCTATCCTTCAGCTCTTCTGCTAAATCTGACTGACTTTGAATGCTGGCCAGAATATTTGCATTAAATTCACTGTTGTCTACTTGTGACAAAATTGTCACTTTCTCCTGCAGACCACTAATTTGACCTTGCAATTTTTCGCAACAGTCAGGGACTCCGGATATCAAAATGCCTTGATTTTTCAACTCAAGCTCAACGTTGTCAATTTTTTCTCTAAGGGCTTCAAGCAGTTTCCATTTCTCTTCCTGCTCATCTGTGGTAGTGCCTAGATTGATGCTAAGTGCAGCCAATTTCTCGTCTATAAGATTTACTTCACCGGAGATTTTCTGGAAAACTGCCGTTTGAGCTTTTACATCCTAAAAAACAGGAAAATATGGTCAAATTGCCAAAATCTATTGTGAATAAGTATTACATCAGACATAATAGCCTGTTTTTGTTGAAGATTTTTAAATGTAGTTGAAGCTAACACTCTTGCAGCTAATTCTTCAAAATCAACAGAGTTGACATCAAATGTTTTTGTTTCTTGGCTCGTCCTTATGGTTTGGTCTTGGTTAACCTGTATTTTAGGTGCAACAGAGGCTTGCTGGAGAGGGTAGAGTTGAAAAATAGTGATTTAAAAATAATTGTCTTTATAAAAGTCAAAGTAATGAAAATAGAATGATAGTCATAAAAGTAAGTCTTAGTCTCAAAATTCCGTAAATTTCATATAATTTCGAAAACGTTATAAAATTGATATTAAATATATTACCATCATTTCGGCAGTCTGAAAGATAGGTTCTTGAGCTCTTGAGACAAATGCAGACAAACAAGCAGCAAGCCAGGCACACAAGTTGAATGCTATTTGAAATGGTGCAGCCAAGATTGCAGTAATAAAGTTGTAAAAAGCGGACGCCAGGTTTAAAATCCAGTTCAATGGCTCCTGAATGAGAAGGAAGGTTCTTTGTTGGAAGGACGAAAAAGCCTCTGTGATCCAGGTGCCAACGTTAATAGCGGAGGAGCTGCATAAGTGCAAGATATTGCTTCGGCCAGAAAGGTCAGTCAGGTAGTCACTCCAACCCGCTGTAAATATGTGACCAGTTAGTTAAAGCGAGAAGTGCAGACTTGAACCATAGGAGAGGAGGAATGTGAATAGGATGTATTTACAAAAAGCAAAGCCACTCACCATTTCTGAATTTACTAAACACCAGTTCCTTTGTAAGGAGGACATGAAACTATAAGATAATTATTCCTCCTCTCAGGTCAAGTCTTGAATCTTTGAAGTAACGATCATTGCAAAACATTTATGTTGATAAATATATTTTTATTAACTCAATCCCACTTTCATACACAATGGGTGTGATTAGATACATATTGTATGGGCTTGTGAACTGACGATTCACATATCTTTAATTTAAGAACAGATAATACATATTAGTTTATATCAGAAATATTTAGCATACTTTATGGCCTTCAAATCACTAGAAAAACTTTTGCTCTTTGGCTCTCACATCAGATGGTTTAAAATTGTTTTCCAACGCCAGTTCTTAATTTTATATTAGTCTTGAAAAAAAAAACTAGTAAAGGGTCTACGGTTATTATAATAACACCATCCACCAAATTATATTGATCAACTCAAAAAGAACACTGATCAAAATAAAAATTTAATTCGAGGCATTTATAATGCTTAAAAATAAAAAGTAGAGGCACTTTTTAACCATTGTCCACTTTAAAAGCTAGCAAAATAGTGCTCTTTAAAAGCCATTAATGATTTTAAGTATTTCATTACGGTGGACTAATTTAAAGCTTTTCTAGAGTAATGTTTAAGCCACAACTGGCTCTTCGAGAGTGACAACATTTTCCCTTATGGGTTCATTGATCTCAATAGATTCTTTTCCCTTTTCCAGCATATTCAACCAAGTGGGCCAAGCAATGGCATTTCTGTAATCAATCTCATTGATTTTTCCCCAACAAAAGTTGTAGTAGGCTTCAGAAGTGCTTTTGACACTTTCAACCACACCAAAGAAATTTTCAGAAAAATTTCCCTCCAACTTTGCAAACTTTTCAGACACTTTTCCCCTGACCATGTTGAAATCACCTGTAAATGTGAACACTAGAGTAAAAATTCAAACGGTTTTCATAAAAACGGACGGACCTGTATATACAGCATAGGCCAGCAGCAGAAGAATCAGCAGGGAGAGGAGTTTGCCCCAGTTACGAGACAGACCACCATAGATCCAAGCAAAGAACAGGACAATCTTGTCAGTCCAGCTTTTGTTCTGCTCCAAAGTCAAGTTGTCGGGAATCAGAGTTTCTTTGTAGTAATAGTACGATCTGGTTTCTTTCTCATCTGTAAGAATAGATATAAATTAACACACTACTAGCCTCTGGTGCTAACTTATAAATCTCAAGAAAAATAAATAAGTTGCAAACTGTCGTTTTTATAAAAAAAAATATATAATATAATACATTTAACCTGCGTAATTACATTTTTCATGTCACAAACAAGTGACGAAAAGGAAAGGCAAAAGTTAAAATGGTACAACATCCTCCGATAACCAGGAAAGGACAATTTTCAGTATTGTTTCGATATGTTTCTAAACACTTACTTGTGCTCCTGTCAGTGGAAAAGGCAGATTTGATCCTAGAGGCCACATAGGTGACACCTCTCACCACAATGCCAATGGTGTAGGTGTACAAGAAGAGGAGGCAGGCAACAAAGGTTTCGGACAAACGTCGCCACAGCCCAAACTGCCGAGGCTGCTCTTCTTCGTAGCGCCACCTGCGAGGATCCACAAACTCTTCTGTGTCAGAGTCTTCGCGACTCAGGTTGTAGTTGAAGTTCTTCTGATTTTGAGACATGGTGGACAAGTATGTGGCCAGCGGCCGCCTTGACAGGTTGGGCATGTTGTACACACCTGGCGCAATTTCGTAGCGCTGCTGAGACAAGGGCGAATAGGTGTAGTCCGTCTTCTTGTAGTAACTGAAACAACATGTATGCCGCGTTAGCTCCTTTGAATTTTCCATTTGCAAATCTTAAATCTATGTAAATAATCAGAATGGAGGAAGTTTGTCCAGTGTATGAACTGCCCGGCACCCTCACTGCAACTGTTAAGAAATCTCAAAAATGCGGAGTAAAATGTGGACCAAAAAAAGGAATGCTCGAGTTTGCAAGTGAATGCCAAATATTTGGCAAGCAATAGCAGGAGAGTGAAATAAAAATGAACTAAGGGATCATCAACTAGATACATAAAGTATCTTTAAGAAGTCGAATAAGTTGATGATGCTCACTGCGGCCGAAGTGGTCTTTTTGATTTGGAAGATTTAGCTAAATTATAGCAAAAGATGGTGCCGTTTTTCCATTTTTTTTTTCAAATAAATTATTTTCCAAAAATGATTGTAAACAATGTGATGAACAGATAAACAACAATATTAATTCTAATTTTCATTATCAAGAAAGCATAGTTTTGAATGCTTTGATCTCTTCAATAAAAAAATTAGAGAAGAGTTTTTAAGGTTTGCAACATAAACATAAATGAAGCATAAAATATTTGTATGCATATGTGTGCATATGAAATCAAAATCAAAATTAAATTTGTCATTTAATGTTTTTTTTTTTTTTAATTTGGTCAAATGGGCGGTCTTGCCAGTCATACAGCTTTTTAATATCATTCTAAATAAGATTTTTTCCTTTTGAATCAAGAAATAATTATAATTATTTCCTAAACAAAACAAAACAAGAAATGTAAAATTAAATTTATCTTTTTTTCTTCTTTTAAAGAACATTATTAATTAAGATTATCTTAAAAACAACAAAATAATTATAAAAATGTTCAACAATGAAAATCACATTCCTGTCAATGCATAAGATAAATTTCATCAATTTGCATATTTTGACATTGGTAAGGTTAACTTTTGAGAAGCCATTGCATTTCTTTAGATATAAAAAATTTTATTTTTCTAACCTAACGAGAGGCATAAATAAGTCGTACGATAAATTTTCGAAATTTTACTACTTACTGCCAGTCAACGCCCATTGCAAATAGATATCAAGTCCCTTAGCTCGATGTTTTTAGGAACAAGCACGCACAAGAGGTGTTGGTTGTATAGACGACCTGAACGCGACTGACGAAAAGCGAGCACCAGTTATTTCTCTCACTCTCACAATCAGCTTTCAAAAGTTCAAACAAAGAGTCTTGCTGCCCAAATCAGGCTTGATTTACTTGAAAAGAGAATTACATGTTCTCTCTACACCAAGAATGCGACGAAAGAAAAATAAAGCACTCTTTTTAAAAAAGAGAAAAGCTTTCTTTCTTCGACCAACAAAATATATAGCCGGAGCACTTGAACTCCTCCTATACTAACTAAAAAGGACGCCGGAGCAATTTCTCTGCCGCCCACGTATCTCATGCATGTTTATGCTCATTGGATATTCAAGATTATAAAATTGTGATTCCACTTTCCAAGTAAGGCGAGCGATTCGCTCTAAAGAAACACCACAGGCCTTTTATTGCACTTATTTGCTGGTTGATCGTAATCAATAGAAAAAGGAACGGCCACAAGAATATAATAAAAAAAAAAAAAATAATTGCCGGAGGAGTTCAACTTGGAAAATAGTCAGATCAAATTTCGTTTCATTACTTCAGCACAAGAGCGCATAATAATAAGAGAAGGGAGAGAGATATATTTTTAGCCCTGACAAGTCTGAAAATTCACGTTTGGACAACTTTTGATTTGACTGGTTATTATTGTAACATGATGTCAAGTTGGATTATTTATAAAAAATTCTCACGGTTCCTTCTTTAATTTCATTTGAATTCAATGATTGGTTCAGGGGAATATGATTTTCCTATAAATATGGTTGAACCCAACACTTCTTATTAAATTAGAATAATTAAGTACAAAATTTAGAAAAATAGAATAAAAAAGTATAGGAACATCATTAATTTAGTTAGTAATCCAGGCAAAATAGGAGTCACATGTTTAAGCATAACTCAGACTTGAGTCGTCAAGCACAGAAAGTGTTTTTGGCCTCGACGCTGGTCATAAAAATGTTTCAGTCATGAGATCCGAGTCAGACCAGTAGATAAAACTAAATAGGGCGGCTTGCAAAGTATAACAAGAAAAATTTCTGACACCTTTTCTCATTGAAATTTAGTCTCAGGAGTCTCAGGACAAAAACTCTAACGTGAGAGAATTCACAGCAGATGGGGAGTGAATAATTTATCAGCCAAAATAATAAAAACGCTCCAGTTATTACAATTTCTCTACACACGGCATGAGGTGCGTTGATCGAGACAGGTACCATGGCAACAGATAATAAATTTTAATTCCACGTGATGAGACCTCGAAACACTAAAGTGACCTAACCTGTTCACGGTGGTATGTCACAATTAAAAATAATGTGAGCTAATGCAATCGGCGAGCTCAAGCCGCCAGCAATATTTATATTTATTCATGACGGCAAAATCTCGTCTTGGAAATAAACGTATTTGTGCATAGTGACATCACACGTTGACCATCACAAGAAAAAGAAAGAAACTCGAGTGAGTGATGCGAGATTTCGTCCAATGCGTGGGCGGCACTTTGTTTGCACACAAACGGTTCAGGTGCAGAAAATTAACGGTGGAATAATTTCTGCTTACTTATCTTTAGCGATCTTTGAGTCATAAAAGATCAAGTACCTAACAGATGCTGAAAACAAATTAATAATTTCTTTAATGCTGAAACTTTTTTCAATTAACAATTAAATTTTTTAAGGGACTCGTGCTTCTTAGTAAAAATGACTATAACCAATTTTGAGGATGAAAATGTGAAAACAAACAAAAGTTTTTCATATATGCAAGTTCCGTTGTGCTAAAAAACGATCTTTTGGCATCACTTTAGTTAGATAACAAGGTGACTGAGTCACTCTGTCTGAATTTCGGATTGCGTGCCTGGTGCACATTAAATCGCAGGCCCTTCCTTTTTCAATTCATCAAGACCACCCCTTGGCGCGAGCAACTCACACCCGTTCTCCTCCCCTTGCATGTCTAAAAATACCCTATGCGGCAGACCCACTGTGCGCTTCTCCGAATGCAAAAAAATAGTCTATGGACATGGCCACCATGCAGATTATCTAAAAGAGAACAAAAATAAATTTGTCCTCACTGTGAGGGGGCTGGCGCGGGTATTTTCAGTATTAGATTAATTTAGCAGCAACACAGGAGATATATTTTCTAACTCTTTCCTCCCAAAGAGCGGCCGTTTTTGTGAGCCTTATCTCCCGTGAGCTCATTCGGGTTTTACGACTCAACATACAGAAAACTGCCTCTGAATAAATAAGAAACAAAGATCCCTAACATTCAGCTTTTAGTGTATTCAGCTGGAAAGTAGGCAAAATCACGCTTGCTTGACGGAAAACTGCAAGGAATTTGATATGGACGATTTGTTCAATAAAAAATAAACTTGTCATTCTATAGTTGGGAAAAAGCCAATGGTTGCACTTACCTCTCACTGGCCCACCGCCAGAAATGCAACGCTCTGTTCCTCTTTAAATTTCTCAACATTCTTTAGCAGTTTGTTAAATGAAATCACTGCAGGCAAAAAATCTATCGCAACAACCCAGTGTTAAATTTACTCTAGGGATTAAGTTTTGCAATTCTGCACCACTAATCTGGCTTTATTTTAAAGGAAATTTTGACTATTGCTAGTGTGTGACCTTTGAAAACATTGACGCAAAGGTGTTGTCACTATTTTTTGAACCGAAGAAAAATAAATAAACAACCTTTTGAAAACCTCCCAAAATTGGATCGAAATTGCAATTAAGCAATACTAATTTTTTTTTTTTTTTTTTTGAAAGTGAAGGGAAATAAAAATATTACTCACTTCCACCACTCTCCCATGTTGCGGTAGAACTGCAGGAAGACAGAATTTCCAGCATCGATCTGTCCACTGATGGCCTTCTCGTACAGCTTTCGTGCCTGAGGACTTGCCTTAGGTGAGCACTTGGTGCTCCTGTAGGCGTCGATGCTGCAAACTGGGGTTCCAGCAGCAGCACTTTTGGCAGACCTCTTTTTTGGCTGCGCTTGGGGGGTTGTGACAGACTCTTCCTGGGACAATTCAGACACATCCGATTGACTCTTGTTTGATTTCTTCTTAGTAGGAGTGCCTCCGTTGGCTGTAGATTTTTTGGAGGCACTTTTCACAGTTCTGCGAGATTTTTCTTCAACAGTCTTGGACGTTCTCTGTAAATTTTTAAATTTATTTTTAATTTCTAAGTTTTGAAAGATAAATGTTACCTTTTTCTTTTCCTGGTTAACGTTGGTGGCGTTTTGCTCAGCCTCGAGAGTCAGCTGATTGTTGTTCAGTCCAATGGTACCGTTGCTTGAGTACGACGACTGGGCCATGGATGAGCTCATGGAGAACTCATTCTGTCCTTCGATGACCACTTCCCTAATGGCTTGGTACCTTTGTTGAATAAAAATAGTAATTACAAATATCTATGTAAGCGCTTTCTAGACTTGCTCACCTCTCAATCCGGATCGATGCTTCCCTCATGCCGATAAGTCTTTCACCATCAGCAGGTGCAAGACTGACCGACGGGGTCCGGGATCGAGATCTGCTGCTCCGGCGCAGCGATTGTGTTTCCTCCTCCATGCTGGCTGTCTAGGACAAGGCCGACCTGTTGGAAAATTAACCAGATAACACAATGAATAAGAATGAAACATTAATACGTGGGCGAGTACTATAAATTGTACAATTATGTATGCTTAATAGAGAAAGTTTTTTTTTGAACTTTTGGGCAAATAATTAATAATTTTACTTCATAAAAACAAGAATCAAACCTATTAAAATATTTTAATACAAAATCGATTGGACGCGTTTTTCTGGCTTTATACATAATTTAAATTTCCCTGCCTTATCGGAACACACATTATAGAAAAAGGAAATAGTGATATATTTGTGATAATAATTGTGGTGCCGAAGGGGCTTATCTATTATCAAATGAGCCAACACTCCAAATTTTGGTGGATTTAGATTTTCCCTCAAGTTACGGAAAGCAAAATGGGGAGGTATAAAATTAAGAGTTATCCCTGGATTGTCCCACAGCGCAAATTCATTCGCATGGTCGAGTTAAAAATTCACATAAAAACGGCGACGTGGCCCTCTTCAACATTCACAAAATTGGCCCCTGACCGGAATGTTACCTGATGCAGATTATATGCGAGGCCTTTCCCCGGAATGGTGTTGATTTAGATGCGGCAAGTAAATAATCGAAATGGAATAGAATTTTCTTTCAGAAGTAAGCACGACGCGCCGCTCCTCCCACCTCTGTTGCCAGAGTCACGAACGACGTCACCGCCTAGCGCCGACAAAAGGTGGAGAACCGTGACGAGGAGGGAGAACGTGATCCGCCGACAAGGGGAAATCTAAATTTTTGGAGCTGTTTTACGCAATTTGTTCGAAACTATTTTTGTTCATTTGTGTTGGTAGCACTTTTTATTTTAACTTTGTTTTATGACTTTTATGTCATGTTGGCATAACTGCGGTGAATTCATAACATAAACAGCATTGCAAAATATTGAGAGAAATTGAAGTTAATCACCAGTTTCTTTTATTTTTCTTCATATAGCTGAAAAAGCGACTGTTATCAACAAATGAACAGAAAAATTAGGTACATAGTTACGTTGATCTATGTTTTTAGAACCCATCAAAACTAAAACTATAATCCAAAAAATATTTCCTGTTGGTGTTGTCCATTATCCTTTACATTAATATGCTTCTTGTTACATACAATTTTGTCCCCCTCCCATTGATTTTATTAGGATGCTCTCTCTCCCTACAATAATATATGTAATTATTATTTTTCAATAATTTTCAATTGTACATAATAACAACTTTTTTGACTAAAAATTGCAACAATGTATTTTAGATTTTTCTGCTTGCTCTAATTGAAAACATTTTCTGTGTTTTAGGTCTCATTTATTCATCTCAACCGCAATTATCAGAATTAAACAGTAAAAATGCCAAAGGAAGACAGTGTTGAAGATCTGGACGTCTATGCTATTCTCGGCGTTCCCGATGAAGCCTCCGTCCAAGACATCAAAAAGGCCTACAGAAAAGTTGCCCTTCAGTGCCATCCTGACAAAAACCCTGACAACCCCAATGCAGCCAAGCAGTTCATTCAATTAGCAGCAGTCCTAAAACTTTTGTTAGACCCAGCATCAAGAAATGCCTACGATGCTCTCAGAAAAGCAAGACTACAAACAAAGCTGCGTCTTGAAAGGCAAGATTCCAAGAGGAAGAAGTTGCGAGAAGATTTGGAAAGGAGAGAAAAAGAAAGTGCGCAGAACAGGCTTGACACAAGGACCGAGGAGCAGAGATTGAAAGCTGAAATTGAAAGGCTTAGGAAAGAAAGTTCAAGACAGCTGGAAGAAGAAATTGAAGCCATGCAAAAAAAGTTGCTTGAGGAGATTGAGGAAGAAGCAAAAAGGGCAGCATCAGACTCATCAATTTACAGAATGAAGTTGAAGTGGAAAAAATCAGACACTCGCTATGATGAAAATACTTTGAAAGAGATGTTTTCCAAGTTAGGAACTCTATCTGCTCTTGTTGTGTCTAAAAAGGGTGGTTCGGCCTTGCTGGAGTACAATGATTTACATGTTGCAAGACTGTCTGCTCGCAGTGCATTGGAGTTGCCTGGGAAACCTCTAGAGGTCACCCCTATTGGATGGTCAATAGAAGAGCCAAAACCAGAACCTGTCACAGATGACGTGGAGGGAGATGATTTTGAAGAATTAGTGTTCAAGAGAATGCGAGCAGCACAAGTATATCAGTCTCAAAGTAAAGAAGGGGATGGCACTTCAAATTTGTAGAGCTTATTGAAAATTTTTGTAAATGTAAAATGTACCCAATAAAAACAGGAATAAATCAGAATAAATGGAGCTTTCTCTTCACATGCTTTTTAATAATCAGATGGAGCAGTATTTGACATTCATATACATAAGTAAAATAGATATATTGTAAAACAAAAATAAAATTATTTATTATCGTTAACTTAAAGATATGTCATATCGTAAACCTATATTATCAAAATACTGACAACTGTTCCAAAAAATTTTGGCTCGTAATTTAACTACCAGGTGTAGCTACAATATATTATTTATTGATTTCGCCGTCTTAAAATTTTAACTGATTTGTCGCAATTAAAATGCATAATTTTGTTTTTCAGTGCTTTTATTGTTGGCTCAAGAGAGCAGACAAAGATACAAGCACGATCTTAGTTCCAGCTGTTAGAACCAGCGCCGCCCCAGTCTGAAGTTGGTGCAGCAGGAGCTGGAGCACTCCAGTCATCTCCGACCTGGGTGGCCCAGTCCTCAGTGGTGTTGTAAGCCGTGATGGGAGCAGCAGCTGCCACAGCAGTTGCCGCAGTGGCGGCGGCAGCAGTTGCAGCTGGAATTGCCACGGGGCCTTCCTCGCTCCAGCTGGGAATAGGAGGCTCAGAGGCAGCGACAACCTCTCCACCCCAGTTCTCAGCAGGCGCCTCAACCTTGGGAGCGACAGCAAGCTCCTTGCTCGCTTGCTCCTCCTTCTCCGCCTCTTCGGGGTCGCGGTAGAAGAACAGGTCAACGACCACATCCCACTTGTTCTCGCGGAGGATGGTGCCACGAAGGCGGAGCACCTCACGGGCCAGCAGCCACCACAGAAGACCAATGGAGTGAATGGACTAAAAAGAGAAACGGAAAAATTAACCAAAATTATAAATCTGCAAAGGAGAATTACCTTGTTATTGCCTGGAATGGCAATGTCGACGAAGCGCAGAGGCGAGTCAGTGTTGCAGAAGGCAATTACAGGAATGTTGACGTACGAGGCCTCTGTAATTGGCTGATGGTCAGTGTAAGGGTCGGTCACGACCAAGAGACGGGGCTCGCGGAAAGCGGCCTGAATCTGGTTAGTGAAAGCTCCAGGGGTGAAGCGTCCAGCAATAGGTGTGGCGCCAGTGTGGGCTGCAAACTTGAGCACAGCTCTCTGTCCGTAAGGACGGGACGAGATGACGAACACCTCAGAGGGATGCTCAATTGCAGCAATGGCCCTGGCGGCGAGCAACAGCTTTTCCCAGGTACGGCGCAGGTTGAGGATGTAAACTCCGTCCTGACGGCGCTTGTAGATGTACTGCTCCATCTGGATGTCCTTCTTGTCAGTGCCCAGGTGGGTGGTCGCGGCCAACATCTTGGTCACGTCCTCCTCCTTGAGGGCCAAAACGTCTGATCCTCCCGACATCGTAACGTTGGTTTTCAAGATTTCAACCTGAAATTTTATTTAGAAAATATTATAAACCTACGAGTTTAAATTAATAAAATACATAAGCCGGGAAGAAAATGGAGGCCACGTGGTATTGTGGTTTATAAGCGGCGCGCTCACGCGGGCTGTTTAATTTTTAGCAATACTTTATAAGTTATTTGATTTAGGCAAGAGATATTTACATGAAAAGATTATTGAAAGACTCTTTGATGTAAATTTCAACGTATCAAAGAGATAATAAAAGAAAATAAGGCTAAAAGTGAAGAAAATACAGCCGGAAAAATACTCACGTTGAACAATGCCACTGGGAGAGTTCCGTAAGGTGGAAGTACTACGTTGATCAAGAAGATCCATTCGAAAACATTTTTGTAAGCAAATTAGGTTTTATTTTTATTGATTTACAGACGAAAAATCTTTTAAAATTACAAAAATAAATATCGATATTTTTTAATTTTCTTTTTTATGTCATTAAGGAAATAAAAATTCATCTTCTTACAATTGACTAGTTCAATACAAAATTTAAATGTTTGGCGCAAAGCATTTAAGATTAGAGCTTCCCTCCGCATTTTCCGCAAGCTCAAAAAAAGGGCACAGGCCAATAAAACACTTTGTCTTGACCTGACCAAAAAAAAAAATCACTAAAATTAAAATTACTTTGTGGTCCGTGGTCTAAAATTAAAATAAAAATTACGAAAAAACCAGTTAAGTATAGGAACAATTAAAGTTTAAATATTAAAAAAAATTTCAATAGGGAACATCCAGTTTTAATTAATTTTACTCTCCTATTTTATGTCATGCATGATTTCCATCAGAAGTATTACATTTTTTTCTGTGTAATTATGTAACAGTGTTTAAATTGGATTCCATTTTTATTGATAATAATTTTGATAATTTTTTAATTTTGTCTCTTGTCTCATCCTCATAATGAAACCATTGTATTAATTGAATCAATCGAATTAAGAATAGTCTTATCTTCCACCCTGCTTTAACCTGATTTTAGTAAGAAAACTTGATAAATTAGGAAAATATAAAAAAAGAGTTCTGAATAGTTACCTTACAATCATACAGTATTACTTTATTGACATCGAAGAGTAAGTAAAATATTTACACAATTATCCACTCTGGGAAAAACATTTTCAAAAAATTTCGCGCCAGAAAAAAACAGTAAACAAAATTCATAATAAACTCTGGACAGGCAAAGCGGCCTCTCAATCAAAATAATTATATTGCAGCATTTTTGAGCCATTGCAGCAGTAGCCAACCCGTTTTTTCTCATTCATCTCTCAATTGAGAACTTTTATACATTCCAACAAATGATTGCATCGCATCAATTTCTTACAACTTATTGTTAAGATTGGTAGGCTTTAATTTATATTGAGTTGTTTCAACATAATTAAATTTTTCTCCACATTGGTTTCATGCTTTAACATCCAACGGGTTGTGTATTCAACGTATCATAAAGCCAATCATCAGTAAATTATTATTATCACTATTTTACAATGTTTTACTTGCTATGAGATTGCATAAAAAATTTATACAAAATTTGCCTCTGTCATCATATAGCACACTTTCCATCACGTATTTGAATTCATGGCAGGTTTACCTCCCAAATGCTTGAGAATGAATCATTAGGTGCACCGAATTAAGACTGACACAAATTTGTGCTCAGTCATGTATAATATAAATTAATTGCATGGTTTAGATTTTCGTATTAAATTTTGGATTTACTCAGACTTTCCACTTTTTCCATCGCCAGCGAATTCTGGGCCGTTTCAAATATTCTAGCAATAGCATCAGTTTTGTGGCTATGTAATTACACTGTTTCTGTTTGACAGAGCGATTTCTCGTCCTGTTTGGTGGTGGGGTGGCTTGTTGTCATTAGGATCATTAGGAGAAATAGTTTCGAAAGTTGGAACGAAGAGAGCTCGGAGATATGATAAGACACAGAAAGTTTGCCAAGACATGGAACAATAATTGACGTAGTTGAAAAAACAAATTAAAGTAGATATAAATATTGCACTCTCTGAAGATTGAGAGAGGTTTCCCAGGTGGATATGCTTGGTTTTACGAACAAAGTTGTCATTTGCGACTCATGCAAAATGACGACCCTTGCTAATCCACAAGTAAACTTTCTCAATCAATAAAATGTATAGTGACTTTAAAGTTAATTCAAATGCATATAATGAACTTTTGTTTGGCAGAATGAGATGAAATGCCCAAGTATATTAATGTGTTAAATTGTTACGTTTCTAGTTCAAGCTTAACTGCTCTGAATGAATTATGTAAGCCGTAAAATGAAAACTACAATTTTCAGAACAAGTGAGAAAATAGTGACTGACTTGGCAGGAAAAGTAAAAACTAATATTCATCACTGAAATTTCTCAGTTAAGTTGTACTTCAGCTTAATACTAAATGAGAGCTCGAAAAATCGACAAATTAGAGCCCAATGGTTATAGTTTCACAAAATATTCTGTGTGGTAGTAAATGTTCAAGGCACCAAAATAAACTGGGGTAGCTAATTAAGGAGGAAGGTTCAGTTTGACAGAATCGAATAAAGCGCAGCACAAAAGGGCTCAGGAAGCTTCTCTAGGAGTGGTAGGCAGTTACGTAAGTGGCAGGAAAGAGGCCCCTGCGGGAACCTATTTCACCACTCCACCAGTGTTTGTCAGCGCGATCAGTTACTGTGATGACATCCCCTCGACGAAACTCAAGTTCTCCTGGTTCTTGTGGTGTGAAGTCGTACAAGGCTTGCACCAGGCACTGAAATTAATGGAATGCAAAAATTAAAGATGCTGATAGTTAAGGGAAAGAATTAAAAATTGAAACTGGAAGTGTAAAAAGAATCTTCTTTTGAAATTGAAAATTAATGGGAATGCAAGTTAAATTAAAAGGCACATTGATTAGAGGATTACACAAAATCATCTCATCAAAGTCACAACCAAAAACACCAAAATTATTCATTTTTCCTTATTTCAATTTTGTGATTCCGAAAACATTTCCCTAAAAATCCACATATATTATTTTCATTTTCCTCCTCCATTTTCCTTCAAACTAGGAAGTTTTTATTCCTTACTTTATAATGCATTTTTTTATACACAGGATGTCTTATGATATGGGAAAATAATTTTTGATTGAATTCTTCGATTTAAAAGCAAATAAAAAGGATAAAACTGAGATACGACTAGTAAAAAAAAATTAAGCCGACTTCATTTTGGTTTACTTTGAAGCTACATGGCATCAGGAAGTAATGCCACAGGCAGGATGTATAATATCACTTCCTCTGATAGCACAACTATTTTTTTGTGAATTAAATAAAAATATAAAGTGTACCTCTTCCGGAACCATGTCTCGGAGTTTTACGTCTTGGGAGCGTGAAACTGACGCAGTGCGGTGGTACTCAACGAGCTCATTCAGACTATTAAATTTGACAACCCAGAGAAAGAATTTTCCTTGTGCGTCTCTCAATACTTTAAAGTGTTGCACTCCATCTGAGCATCTATATTCAAGGAAAAATAAAAAATGAACAAGTTTTAAATTGAAGTGTCCGACTTACTTTACTGATAACGAAAAATCACCAGGCGAACTTTCACTGACTCTGATAAGAAAGGCTCCCTCATGTTTGTTCAAGAGAAGTTTTTCTGCGTCTGCTCTCGTAATTCTGCCATAATACCATCTGCAATACAATTTTATTTAAAATTTGACATACATATAGAGAAATTGTTATAAAATTTTTACAACTACAATTTTATTGAGTCAATGTGAATTGAATATATGTAAATTCAGCTTTTCCTCAATGAGATTTTTAGTCATGTATAGTGTCCCAGTAAAACAACATATCCTGCTCATTTAAAGCAGGATTTTTTTCCCCTAAACTTTTACAAACTAAAAACACCCACCAAGCAAGGAAAAGCTAACATTAAATTGATTTTAAATTCATCTAACAAACTTACTCGTGAGGTTTCATTTCAATGTAATTACTTGGGATGAGTCCCTCTCTAGAGTCCAGTTCAGCTCTGTACCAATTCATGTCATCTTCCATGTTAAGGATCTAAAAATAAAGCATTTTTAAGCTACAACTGCAGTCCTGCGTCCTTAAAATAATTATTACGTATTTATAGTAATTATTTTATTTAACACAACAAAAGAAATCATTATTAAATTTAAATGGATATTTTTTCCAAAATACAGTATATTGAAAAAAAAATTTGAGATGAATTCATGGGTTATTTCAGAACTATCACATGGGGGGTTGGTTCGTAGGTTGTGACAAGGTGGGGTCGTTCAGAGGAAGTTTACGATTTGAATTGTAAATATAATGTATTTAATTCGTGCTGTTGTGTTGAAAATGACAAAAGAAGGTTTGACTTTCTTCATTCCTACAAGAAAAATGAAGGGAAATTTTTAGTTGTTGTGGTGAGTCTATCCTTGTATTCTACAAGGCTTTCCCAATCAAATTACAATATATGTTTTACATTAACGTCCAAACTATTCTACAAACCTTTAAAATTTGACCCTTTCGAAAGCTAAGCTCGTCGTCCGCAGTTGCGTTGAAATCGTGTTTCGCTTGTGCTTCCATTGTGTAGGTTTTATGGAGAATTCACAATTTCCTCAAAAGTGTTTTCAGGCTTAGTCACAGCAGAAGGAAGTGAAGGAAAACTCCCCAAAAGGATTCGCACACCCTTCCAAGAAAGCAGGCGAATTCTGGTCTTCGGATGAAATTTCTTTTCGTCGCACTAACGCGATTTCGACAAACCGAATGTCCAACGTTCACCTGATGCAAAATGCGGTTCCAAAATAGTGAAAAATAGCGTCAAAAGTGAAAATACAACAACAGGATCTTGTTCACTTTAGAACTCCATTAGAATTTCCCCCACCTCCGGCTCTTGTTACGTCTCCTCCGTCGGCTCCGGCTCTTCCACATTGTATTCATGCGCGCTGCTGGATAATTTGGTAAAATTGTTGATTTGGAAGGCGATTATCCAATACTTACTTAAAAGAAGACATAAATAATTTTAGGTATAAAAATTTTGAATATTGGTATCTTATCAACCGAAGAAAATAATACGTAAGAAGTTACTATTTTATCTCGCGGAGGATTACTTTGAGCACTGATTTGCACGTTGCCAGATTTACCAAAATCCTGCTGTCGGTCGGCTCTACCACCTTTCATGTTCCGCCTGCATGCAAGAAGCCTGCATGTGTTCAATTCAAAAAAACCCAACACAAACACGGATCACTGAGGGTATTAAACTGAGAGGAAAAGGGAAAATTAAATTAATAGAAACGACGAAGGTATGTAATAATATGTAATGACTGCTAAAAACTTTTTTTTTTATTAAAATTCTAATAATTAATTTTTAACAATTTTATTCATAATACAAATTACATAATTTGTTTTCGTCCATAGATTCGACCCTTTCTTGATCGCATAAATTTCAAAATGTGCAGCACAGGTGGAGATGATGGTGATAATCTTTTGGAGCCAAAACCTCGCCTCTTACAGTAAAAGAATTATTTACAAAGGAAAATTATTCTCATTCCTAAATTTGTTTACTTCCAGACCAGGGACAATCTGCCGAAAGTGTAAATTTGTAAAAGCTCAGGTTGTTCTTCAGATCAGAGATGCCTACTGCAAGTATGTAAAATATTAAATTACAAAAATTTATTTTCTGAGTTGATCAAAATGCGCGCGTTTTCTTTTTTCTGCAGAGATTGCTTCTTGGCTCTGTGCAATCACAAGTTTCGTGCTTTGTTGGGAAAAAGCAGAGTGTTTGACAATAAGCCTAAATCTGCTTTGATTGCTTTTTCTGGAAGTGCGTCAAGTTTGGCCCTCTCAAAGCTCCTCTCCGATGCTGTTGCAGCTGGCCCGTCTCATCGGAGAATCATGGCTGACCCAAAGATCATTCACATTGAAGGTTTGCGATAATAAAAGCCCATTGGGTTTCTAAAATTTTAATTGAACATTTCAAATTTTAGAAGGGTCTTTGTTGGACCTCTCTAGCGAAGACCGACTGCGACAGTGCAGTGAAATTAAATCAGCTGCAGCAATGTTTGGTTTCCCGGTTTACTGCGTGCCTCTCAATATTGGGGGCTGTCTACCTGTTCCAATCGACAATTATAAAATTGACAAGGAAAATGACACCAAAGTGCAGGAGATGTTTCATGCAATCAAAGATGCATCAAGCAAGATAGATTTTTTGTCTCAAATGAGGTCTTCAAAACATTTTTACTGTCAAGAGTTTCAAATTCTAATTGATTTCTATATTTCAGATATGAAATTTTAGCTAACTGTGCAAGAAAGCTAGACACTTCACTGGTAATGCTGGCTGACAGTTCTACGTCTGTGGCTGTGAAAATTCTCTCAGGTGTAGCACTTGGAAGAGGCGCCTCAATCGGACTTGAAACGGTGCGTCTTTTTATTTTGCATTATGCTTTGTGCATCACAACAAACATGTTTTGGTTGTTGTTAGGGCTCTCTTGTTGGGTGTAAGAAAAATTTCACTCAATCTGAGTGCTAGGCAATATGGATATTAGAAGTCTGGATTGGTCAATCAACCCCATTTTTTATTTAAAGACCCCCAATTCAACAATCGGAATTGTCCGTTTTTTTTCTTGCTCCGATTGTCTTGAAATTAAAGATGGCAACTAGACCAATGCAGCTCATAATGTCCATATCTATACTCAGCAACAATCAAAATTTGCTCCGATTGTTGTGTTACACAAACTTGATTGGATTCAAAGAGAAATTAATTGTATTTTTTTAGGGGTTTTCGGACACTCGTCACCCTGATATCACCATCTTGAGACCTTTGAGAGATTTTAGTAGCAAAGAAGCTGCAATTTTTTGCTCATTCAGTGGCTGTAGCCAGCCCGTTTTCATTCCATCATTACTCACAATGGTAAATGACTTAATTTTAATTGTTAACTTGAATTTAAAAAATACTGTAGTCCGAGGCAGATAGCAGCATTCAGCGACTTACGGAGGACTTCATAATCACTTTGCAGAACGAGTTTCCGTCAACTGTTTCCACGATTTATAGAACTGGAGAAAAATTTCGTTCACTAGATTCAAACTCTATTTGTGCCTTATGTCTTGGTCCAAAAGATACCTGCCCTAAGGCTTGCAGTGCCATAGAAGCAACTGATTTTTCAAGAAAACTTTCGACGGGAGGAAAAAAAGAAACAGGTTCATGCAGCTCTTGCAATTGCAAGAGCAGTGTTTCTCAGTTGAACTTGATGCAAGCTTTATGCTACTCGTGTCGCCTTCTAGCAAGGAGCATGGTGAGAAGTGTTTTTATTAGTATAGCAACAGCATATAAATTAAATTGAAAAATTCATTATTTTTAAAAGGAAAAACCAGACTTGATGCCATCATCAGTGATAGAAAGAGTAAAGGAATCACAATCGTTTTCTGAGATGAGATCTCAAATTGAGGAATTTTTGATAACCGATGAATAATAAAGGATATCTTTTTTAAGGTATGCTTAGTTGTAATTGAATCATTAAAAAATCCTCTAGTTAATAATTAAATTTAATTAAGATTTTTCAACAAAAAATACACTACTCCAATATTTTGCTTGAACTCTATTGACCTTTCCGTTGAGCAAACTGACTTGGGTTAGTCCATCAATCTTGTCTTTATCATTTTGGAAACCAAGCTGTCCAAATTTTGCAAAACCACAGCCCCACACAGTATAATCATCTATGAAATAATTTAATTAAATTCAACACTTACAAAATTGAAAAGTGAGACACACCTGCTAATAGAAGAGTGTGAGCAGACCCGCACGAGATTTGTCGAACTCCTATGGGGAAATCTAAAAGTGTCGGTTCTGCCAATACTGTTGTGGACATATCGAAAGTTTCCAGATTCTAAAATTTTTATTTTTGAAAGGTCGTCGACTGGCATTTGCTTTATTACTAACCTCAAAATCAGGACATGGTATTCCCAGCTGCCCGTGCTTGTTCCAACCCCACACATATAAATCCCCGTCTTCTGTCAGAACCACATTGTGCCACTTCCCGCATTCCACTTGTGCAATTTTAAGACCTCCAAGAGCTGGTATTCTTGTCGGAAAGTCTTCTTCTTGTAATGTTCCCCTTCCTAGTTGACCTTTCCTGTTCAAATTGCACAAGATGAGCCCGCCGAGTTTTGGATTAAATTTAAAATACTCAACAGAGAGTTTCCCCACGAAAAAACTTCTCTCTCTTGTGTAGCAGCAACACAGTGCTCTTCCCCACAACTAAATGAAGTTACAGTTCCTGGTATTTGAACCATTGCTTTTTCCAAGTCTTCTCCCATTATATTCCAAATCCGACCTGGCAAATGAATATATTAAAATAAAATGATCAGAATCAATCAGAATAATAAATATTTTTGGCTTTAATGCGTACCTTTTTCTGTCAAACAATAAATATATTTTCCCATTGTCCCTAATATTTTTGGGGATTCTTCAGTGCTTTTCAATCTTTGAACAACGTTTGAATCAACTTCTATCCACGTGTTGTCTGGTAAGAGTTTAAAAATATTATTTCTTGATATTCCATATACTGTATTTGATGCCCAAGAGAGCTGAACAGAAAAATAGGTTTATTTTTTTAATACAAACACAACATTTTAGGATAGTAACCTCTGAACAGATTTCTTTTGGTGCATTTAATGTAATTTCATTTTTTCCTAAGTTGTCCTTGAATCCTTGAAATTGAAGTTTTTCTTCTGAAATGATAATTATGTAAAAACCCTGCATAAGATAAACACCTTTATCAAACTCACTATTAGAGTCAAACCAAGCAATACTGCCAAAACTTGAGCACAAAAGGCTGATATCATCTGACAAAAGAACTGGTTTCCAGCAAACTAAATTTTCAGCTCTACAACATTGCCCAAAGGCATTAGACCCTAGATAATAGGCCGAGACCTGGAAGCAAAAATAATACTCATTGAAGCTTATCATTAAATTATATTTTATTGCTTATTTGAAACGTTGAAAATATACTATTTAAATTACAAGCATCAAATAATTATCCGTTAATACAAAGCTTTCTTAAATGCAGAATGTATCAGATCAAAATAAAAATAGGAGGCATTTTAAGTTTTTAACACCAATTTTTAGTTATGACATTTCAAGACATGACGATCCAGAGATTTTCCACTCATATATTTTTTGCCACAAAATGAGCATTTCTCTGGGCGAATACTTGTGTGCTCCATGAGATGCGCTCTGATTAATCTCAAATGTGTGAACTGCATTGTGCACATCGTGCAGTCATACAAAATGCTGTCATTCAATTGCCCTTTTTCGGCCAGGCCAAGACAGTTCGTCAGCAAATGACCCTGAAGGGCAGCATTGCTGGGAAACTTGTGTCCACAAATCGTGCACCGGAAAACAGAAGAGTGTGATTTTTTGACATGGGCATTCAGTTTTAATTCTGATTTAAATATGTAGTTGCAGCTGTAGCATTTGAAGAGGCTGCCTGCTTTCAATTTAAGAAATTTTGACTGTTTAATTTTATGAATGGTCGAATGCTTGATCAACTTGACTTTCTCACTGGATTCAAATGGACAATCTTGGCACTTAAAGAATTTTCGGCCGGTGTGGTTATGCAAATGCAGAGTGAAGTCAGTCTGGCTTGCACAGACTTTAGAGCAAATACTGCACTTAAACTTTTTAGAAGATGGAATTTTTCTTACAGCACGATTCTCTTGAGATAATTTTTTCTTCTTCACGTGCGTTTTAACGTGACTCTCCAAACTCTGTCTCGAACAGCAAGGCTTTTGGCAAATATCGCATTCCAACATCACCACAGCAGTTTCATCCATAATTATTATTTTTACTGGCGAGTGGTGGAAACTGCAAAGAACAATCGAGAAATTGAATGAAAATATGTATTGTGTTAAAACTAGAGTCATGGAGCATGCTTAAAATACTGTTTTGAAATATATATTATTTCTTTATTTAAATTTACCCGGAAATATGACTGGAAATTTTGGATCTGATTGACGAAAATCCAGCAAAATTGTGAAGAATAGCAAAACTGAAGGGAGATCGGAGAAAAGGAGTTGTTATGGAGGCCATGTGACAAAAGTCAATGCAGACAGCCAATCAGCATCAAGCCTTGTTGCCGAATTGATCCCATTGGCTCGCATCCGCTTGGTTTGTTTACATCGTACGCCGCGCTGTTTTAAAATTCGCAGATGATCAGCCCGGTTTGCACTTTGCAGGCGGCGGCCTTGATTCGTTCCATTCGCGAAAGGCATAACTCGAGATTTTGTAAGTTTTCCTGCTATTCTGTCCCTCAAATATATTATTATGCATTACATTGTTATTGGATTGGAGTATTCTCTAATCGCTTGAGCTCTGGTCGACGAAACATCGATCGTTTTCATTTTCTTAGTCGATCGGCATACTTTTCTTGCAATGTATGTGTGTAGTCTTAATTTATTCAAATGTTCCGTTGCTGGAGCACAGCACTCCAATAATGTTAGCTAAAATCCACACTAAAAACGCCTAACGAAGACGACAGATTGCTATGGAAGCTTTTCTTATTCTCAACGTCCTTATGTATGTATGAGATGTAGGTACTTGAATTGAATTTGAGCCAGTAGTATAATTACATCAGCACACTAGCTCATACATTGTTAATTTTTTCAACATCCAGTAAGTCAAATTATGCAAATTATATTACTGTTTTTTAATAAACAAAAAATCAAGAGGAAAGTCAATTCAAGTGCCAATTTTTTCACTCTAAATATTGTTTTCGTTTTTTTATTAACTTATTATGTTTACTCTTTGAATTGAAATTATAATTGTATATTTGAAAACTTCTATCGGTGTTTTACAAAATACTTTGAAAATTATATTTGAATATTTTTGAACATTTTTCTCTCATAAAAATTTGATTATTAATTAGGCGGGTGGCATTATCTCAATCATGTCAAGATCAGTCAAGATTAAAAATAAATTATTTTTAATCTTGAGATTATTAACAAAGCGATAGGAGTGCTCAGAGTGATCTCACATATTGTGTAAACAGCAGCATACTTTTAAAACGTTCACTCTTATAAAATACATCGATGATGCAACCAAACAAACATTTCTTGCAGCTTCCCCTACCGAAAAATAATATTCGCGAGATCACGTAAGCAAACACCAGCAACGATTTTTCTAATCCTTTTCACACAAAACATAGCTGAGTGATAAGGGAAGGAGCGCGATTCTATCTGGTATATATCAAGAAAATAACACAAACACCAATTTTATCTCTGGCCTGACGGCAGGCGAATTTTCAAACGAAATTTATTACACCTCCAATATGTGTCAGTTCGGCAAACGAAGCTCAAAAAAATTAACACCAGCATGTTTGACTTTTTCAGGACGTACTTTCTGCGGCAGCAGTGCAGCGGCGGCGGCAGCGAAGAGGAAAAAATGCCGCCAGGCAAAAAGGCTAAGAAGAAACAGCAGCAGAGGCGGAACCGGAAGCGGCGCCAACTGCTGGAGCGCTCTCGGCGTAGCAGGGACGACCTGATCAACTCTGCCCTGGAAGAAACGGACGTGGTGGCCTTCATACCCACCCCCAGAGGCAGCATCTTTAGCCTCTCACACCACTCGACCTATTGTGAGACCTCTGACCTGCCACCCTTCAGCACCCCCTGCGGGGATGGAGTGGCCAAAAGGAGCCGCACCCTTTTCGTCAACAGCACTCCGAGGCGTCGAATGAGTTACTCGCCCTCTCCAAACCGAAACTTTGAATCCAACCTGAGTGCCTCGTCTTTGCTGGACCCTTTAATTAGTGCCGAGGATCAGCAATTTTGTAACTCCGACGACGAGACTGACCGTAGCACGGCTGTGCAATTAGCACACATTTCCAGCTCCAACGACAAACCTGACAAGACTGATCTCAAATTCCAATGGTTCACCAATTTCAAGGTCGCGGTTGTGACCCTGCTGAACACCATTTCATCTTACTTTTGGAAGATGTACTTCTCGCTGACGTCAGTGAGGATTTCCGAGGACAAGCCTAAGTCTCCTGCTGTCAAGAAGCAGGACGACGTTGCCTCAAAACTTGATGAGATTTTGAATTGCATGACCGAACTGAGCATGAAGCAAGACCAGTTTTACGAACGACAGGAGAATCTCTTCAACCGGATGGCTGCCTTGGAGGCGAGGTGCGCCCGCAGCGCCATACCACCGTTAGCAACCGGCTTGTCCTCGGGAGGGCCGCCGCCGCCGCCACCTCCAATGCCAAAGTTTGAAATTTCAGCAACACCGCAGCCCTTGGAAATAGTGAAGAAATCTCAAGATTTGACAACAAACCCTGCAGTTGTCAAACCCTCTCGACCGAGCATCACGCTTGAGGATATCCTTGGTGTCCAGCTCAAGAAAACTCCTGCTGTGAAACCGGTAAATTAACTTATTTTATTGCAGATTCAAGTAAAAGGATTAATTAAAAACAAAAATTTTTGTGCACACAGAAACTTACATTCAATTTTCTAATTTTTTTTGCGGCCAAAGTGGGTCTAACTATGTGTAATAGAAATCATTAAATTTATTGAACATGATAATTACAACATCAAATTAAATATTTATCTATAAATTACAGTTTTCTGAGCGGACTCCAACAAAAGCGTCCACTGGCCCTCGAGGACCTTTAGTTTCAGTGGACATGCTTCGCTCTGTAAAATTGAAACCCGCTATGATGCGCCGACAAAGCCTGGAACGGCCTCTTCAAACACCCAGCTCAATATTCCACCACCACACAAGAACACACAATTCAGACATAGCTGAAAACGAAATTTAAGCTTTACAATGTTTTGCTAAATACACCATGCAAAGCAAAGTTTAAGTGCTTTAGATCAAAGTAAAGAGCTCAACAAAACAAATTAGTGTTAATTCTTATTTTAGCTTGTTATTACTATTCATGCAAACAGCAAAATGATTATAACTTTGTCTTTGTAATAATATAATATTAATGATACAAAGTAAAAAATTTCTTGATTGAAGCCATGAGGGGATTATAACACTAGTTTTAAACCTGCTTTTTGTGTTAATGTCGATATTTGATTTTAACCATTTTTAAGCCTGGATAATTTTAATTAACATTTTTTATGACACATTCACACTGGAAATGACTATTTATGCTCTGGATTTTACTTAATACATGATGTATGTTCATTTTAAACTCACTTATTGACTAATGCACTTCTACTATTCCATTTTTTACCAATAATAAGTTTTAAAACAATTGATTGTTAAATAATGTGATAAATTTAATAAAAATAAATCATTCAAATATTAATCATGAACTAGGTTTGAGATTTTTTTATTTTAGATTCCATCTTAAAATTATTAATTTCACATTTTCATTTCCTTATGCCTGCATCAATAGAACCTTTTATGAAAAAAAAAAATATTAAATTAATGTCGCCAGCTTTTTGTCTTTATGCACGTGGATCATACTTTTGAATTTAAATAACTAAATCATTGTAGCCAACACAATTATTTAATCAACCTTTTGTAGCAATTTTTTAATGTGCATAATTTATGTTGGTACACTTGTTGTTTATTTAAATACCGCCAAACAGCAACAGAAACAGCAGTCACCTCAACCTCACCTCACCTGTGGCTTGGACCTTGGACTGAACTGAAAAGGAGTTGTTTTTACCGTTTTTACTATCGACATTATTGCAATTTGCATTCAAACTAAATTATTACTACGCAATGAAGGATTTCTCTGCGCAAACCACCCTAGATTTCTGCCCTGTCGACTTCATCAGAGCGCACTCTGCTGACAACAGTAAATCCGACATCCGGACAGAGGTGCGAGATTTTTTATTAAATTATATTTATATTATATATTTGACTATTTTTTTGCTATGCAATTACAATTTCCCTTGCAGATTTGGCAGTGTACTTTTCAGCCTGACGTTAATAATCCAGGAAAATTTACTTCGCTTGTTGCGACTTGTGGGGGAAATAGTGTGTGTGTTACTGATGTTTCAACCTCCACTGTGAAGTACAAATTCAAAGCTGAAGTTGGGTAATATTTGTTGATTTTTTTAAATTCAAAATTATTTTTGCTGGCTTTCCATTATGTATTTTTTTTTTTAAAAAAATTTGATTTCACGAACATTTTATTTTTCTTTTCAGTGAGAAGCTTTTTGCTCTGGCGTGGGGTACAAGCCTTTCTTTCTCAGCAAACGTTCTATTAGCCGCGAGTGGAACTGGAAGAAGAATCTTTTTTATTTCTCCTCACGAGTCTTCAGTTGTAGTTTCACAAGTTTTGGACAAGAGGATCACTAACTCTGTAATCTCACTTGTTTTCCATCCGAATCAGCTAGACATTTTATTTTGTAAGTCCAACAAAATTGTTTTTTTTTCTTCTCAAAATTACTTTAAGGTTTTGATTAAACATAGGTGGAGTAGTATCAAAGAGCTCAAACCAAATACTAGTGACAAAATTTAGTCCAGCACGACTGACGGAACTAACTATTTTGCACCGTTTGAGATGCCCAGATAATACTCTGCAAATAGTGCAAATCACCTTCCACTCATCGAACAGCTTTCTCTTCTGTGCTCATAACGAAGGCCTCCATGCTTGGGACCTAAATAGTAACCTCAACAAGCTTGGAAATAATGAGTAATGCAATTATTTTTAAAAGTGTAACATCCTCTTAATACAAGTAAATTTTCTTATAGACCTGATGATTTTCAAGTGATTCTTCCTCAACCGATGTCTAATACGACTGACATATTCAGGACGCCAGAAAAGATGGTTGACACAGTTTTATCACTGACAGGAACCTATCTTGTGGCGTGCAAGATAGTCAACTCAGAACATATCGTTGTCTTTGATACGAAAAATGTTGAGAAGAAGAACAACAAGATGAAGCCTAACATGTACCAATTGCTAACATGGGCTGATTCGGATGATGCCTATTTGTTCCTTGGTTGGGAACCAGGTATGTGTATAATTATATAGATATCTCCTTATTAATTGTGATTTATTTTTAAATGTATGAAGCTGATAAATTTTATAAAATTACAAATTGATTTCAGAGAGAAAAATTCTTGGTTGTGGCGATCACAAAGGCAGCGTCTGGCTTTACAACCTTGCAGATTTGAAGTTAACGTCCAGTGATAGAGACTCCACTCCACCATCGGGAATTTTGAATTGGCCGAAGAATCTACGAGACATAAATGTGGAAGCAGAACGTAAGTTGCAAGTTGGTACTTACAACATTTTGATATCTCAAGTTGCGTTGCATGAAAATTATGTTGTGTCCGTGACGAGGACAAATTTTATTTGCGTTTGGAAAGAACGCATTTCAAAAGATTAGGAATCTTGTACATTAAAGAATAGAGCCAAAATTTGTACAACGCATTTATTTTAATGATGGCATTTTAGTAACAATTATTATTTTGGTATCAGATATGCAATCAAATATAAATTACAGTGCAGTTCAATCTTTTAAAAATCCTTTTCTTCAAACATCAAACCTTAAAAAAATAAACCCAGCATTTAGCTACTCTCAACAATATCAAAAGTTATCAAAGCTCGCAAGCTTAACAACACTGGAAAAACCAGACCTGGAATTCATCAACAAGACATAAAGAACAAACGCAATTTTTTTGCTTTTAGAAACAATAACATTATTCACATTCACGTTCTTATTGTATCACTTGATTTGAGCCAGCTTTGGTTTTCTGCCACCTCTTTTCTCACAATCACAAAAAGCAATTTGTCAGCTACACTTAGTTGATCCTTGAGGTAGATAATGAGCTCTGCTTCCTGTAACAAAAATTTAAAATTTCACCATTATTATTTATAAAAATGGTTAATAATTCCAAAAAATACCTTTCCAATTAATAGGGGTTCCTCCAATTTTGAGTCTAGATTGTAGAAGTCCCCATTAATTTCTTTAATGGCAAACCAGTGTCGTCGATTCAAGGGCAGTGAAATTGGACCAAATTTGGTTTCGTTGGCAATGTTGAGAATAAGACCAAAAACTTGGTTCATGTTCAGGCAGCTCGGACTCCTTTTAAGCAAAATTAAATAAATTTTAGATTGCATTTACATCGGTTCAAATAATATAAAATCACAAAAAAATTATATGAACGAAGAAAATGATTATTATAAATTTGCTTGAAGAAAAATTATAGAAAGTTTTTATTCTTTAAAAATTAATAACTTTCATGTAGAAACTTTTGTAAGAAATTTAACTATGTTGATAGGTCATATTTTTTAAATCAATCTCACTTTCTCTTGTCGAACCACACCGCTTCATGTCCAACCCTTTGGAGAGCTGTGCTGAGCACGTTGATGTCATAGTTGCCGAGTCCGAGAAAAGATTTGTGTGGATTTACCCACGCCTTGGGGGCCAAGGAATTGCAAATAGCGTCCAGGTCGCATTGTTTGAAAGCGTTCTTTTTCTGGAAAATGTTGTTTAGGGCGTGCAGGGCGCACAGCTCTTTGCACTAAAAATTTGAAAGTCGAGATTATAAAAGAGTTTATGATGAAATAAAAGTTTGGTCAGACCTGACGCTCATGGTAGATATTGACTTGTTGATTCATCGGTGGATGCAGCTGGGGCCTTTTAAGTTTTTGAACTAGAGCACATTTGGCAGAGAGCTTTTGCACATTTTCAGTCCGTCTCTCACGTAGATAAATTAGCCTTTAGGTCTGGATTCTAGAGGAGTCGGAATGTAGCCGATGGGAAAGCAAGGCCTTGAGAAAAAGGTGTTTACTTTTGATTGGGAATATAATGTAAACAAAGAGTCACAAGAAAAGTGTTGATCAAAAACGTGATTATTCGCTGGTCCCTTGCTGCTGCTGACATCTGTAAAGAGCCCTCGGAAGTAGCGGTTTATGTTAGTAAAAAGCGGCCGGGCCGCAATAATTGCCAAGCAAAAGCAAGCACAGAGTTATTAATAATAACACTGTATAATTTTTGTCTTGAAGAATCCTGCATGTATTTTTATAAAATTATTTCTAATGAGGGGGTTGATGTGCAATGGTAAAAAAAAAAAAAAAAAAAAAAAAACAGGAAGCTCGATAAATTTAACTTGCAGAGGTTCTGGTAAAACGCGGATTCCACAATAAGAGGCCGCCGCACCTAATAAACACTTTTTTTAATTCAATTAGAGATATACTTAAAAAGGAAAACGTTAAAATAATTTTCAATATTTATATCAAACTAAAAATGTTTTGCTGCCTCCTCGTGCCAACAATCAATTATTAATAAGTAGGAATATTACTTTTTTATACAATAAAATATTAGTCACATTTTGTTAAATAAAACTTGCCCTCTCGAACACACAAACCTAATCTCTGAAATCAAAATAACAATAAAGCCCACATATTACGCATCAAACTCGCATGGAAATGAACAGACTCAACGTGTGTCCGCATGATTTATTCAAACTTATTTATAACCCATGCCCAGTCGCACACGCAGCGTTCCTTTTGTGCAAAATTGGGCGCCGGGTGGGACGTTTTGTTGTTTGCAGTGAGTTTGGCCTCCCTAAAAACGTGCTTCCCAACACAAAAGCACACACGGCGTGATTTCACCTGGTGCTCAATTGTCCCCGGCGACCCAGACCAGACGGACTCATTTACCGTACGCTTTTTTGTCCACGGAAAAGGCAAGCAATTTCTGTGAGAAATGAAGATTCGGGCTTTTCCTCGTTGCAAAAAATTGTTTTTTATTCAAAAACAAACGGCTCTACCAGTTTCGGTCACGGTCTGCGACCCTATTTCATGAGCAAGAAAAAATACAAAAAATCAGCAAAATTTAAAAACCACATTTTAACATAAAAATAAAAATCTTAAAACTAACAAATTCAAGTACCAACCTATTTCATGAGCAAACGCGCTGCTCGCTGACTAATACAAGAATGAGCTAGCTAAAGACAGATTGATTGGGGGAGGTGATCTTTATTGGGTGATTAGCGCGCGGCGCGGCCGACCACGGGGGCGCCGAATGACGTCGGGCACATTATGCGTTTTCGAGAAAAAGCTGTTTGCTTCCTCTCTCAAAAAGGACATCCACCTTTGATCGAATTGGTGGCTCGGTTGGCTTATTACATTATTACCGCATGCCATTGCCATTGCTTCCAGCACTTTTCTTTTTGATTGATTTTGTTCGAATTTAATAACCGTTGCATCTGACCATGCAAAAGAGTGGCCAAATTCAGTCGCGTGTTGAGCTATTTGAAAACCATTGCTGTCCGTCCCAATTGAAGCCGGATCAAAAGTTTTTGAAATTGCCCTTTTATGCTCGTCAAATCGGAAATAAACGTGTCTTTTTGTCTCCCCAATGTAAACTGAAGAGCAATCGGCGCATGGCACGCGGTATACACAATTACGCAGAGCAGGTTCACATTTGGGTTTTACATGCATTAAACATTTTCGCAGATTTGAAGAGTTTGAGAAAGCAACTCGTACTCTGGCAACTTCTTGGCTGATGGCCCTGATTTTCTCTGATTTTCCTTTAAAATAAGGAATGACCATTGTGGTTGAAAATTGTTCGGGGGCTTTGGGTGTTGGAGGATTTTTTGCTTTATTGTGTGCTTTGTTGATAAAATTTACGGGGTAACAATTTTGACGAAGAATTTTGTAGATGTTGGAAATTTCTTCTTTCAAAGAAATTTCCCCTGAGCAATAACTGTATGCTCTTTTAAACATTGAGAGAGCAACAGAGAACTTAGTTGAGAAAGAGTGATTTGATTCAAAGTGGAGGGTTGAGTTGGTGGAGGTGGGCTTGCGGTAAACTGAAATTGCAATTTTTTCACCATCTTTTTTTAAAAGTAGGTCAAGAAATGGGATTTGGTCATCCTTTTCAAACTCACAAGTTAATTGAATTGAGGGGTGGATTGAGTTGCAAGAATCTAAAAATTTTTCGATTGGGAAAACTCTTTTTCTGTAAATTATGAAATAATCATCTACGTATCGGACGAATAGACGGGGGGATTGTTTGAAAATTTCTAGGCATTTTTTATCAAAGTTTTGCATGAAAATTTCAGACAGCACTGGGGACAGTGATGATCCCATAGCTAATCCTGATTTTTGTTTGTAGAATTTATCTTTAAATTGGAAGAAAGTTGAATTGATGCTAAATTCAATTAGTTCCAAAAGTGCGCTAATTGAGAGGGAGGTTCTGTCAATTAAAGTTGGGTCATTTTCAAGCTTTTGTCTTAAAATAATTAAAAGATCATTTGTTGGGATTGAGGTGAAAAGGCTTTTAACATCGAAGCTACAAAATTGATCAAATTTGGAAAGTTTGAAATTTTTAATTGTTGGGAGGATTTGCTCTGCATTCTTAATGCTAATTGTTGACTTATCAGTTAAGGGTTGCAGGACGTTGGCAAGGTAGCGAGCGAGCGGCTGGAAAGCGGACCCCACGGTGCTCACGATGGGCCTCAGCGGTGCACCCTCCTTAATCTAAGGCGCCGGGATGGCTCGGGATGGACCCGAGCCATCCCGGCGCCTCGCAGAACGCCTACAAGACGCCTCACATCTACGGCCTTCCGAAGGTACACAAGGAGGGTGCACCGCTGAGGCCCATCGTGAGCACCGTGGGGTCCGCTTTCCAGCCGCTCGCTCGCTACCTTGCCAACGTCCTGCAACCCTTAACTGATAAGTCAACAATTAGCATTAAGAATGCAGAGCAAATCCTCCCAACAATTAAAAATTTCAAACTTTCCAAATTTGATCAATTTTGTAGCTTCGATGTTAAAAGCCTTTTCACCTCAATCCCAACAAATGATCTTTTAATTATTTTAAGACAAAAGCTTGAAAATGACCCAACTTTAATTGACAGAACCTCCCTCTCAATTAGCGCACTTTTGGAACTAATTGAATTTAGCATCAATTCAACTTTCTTCCAATTTAAAGATAAATTCTACAAACAAAAATCAGGATTAGCTATGGGATCATCACTGTCCCCAGTGCTGTCTGAAATTTTCATGCAAAACTTTGATAAAAAATGCCTAGAAATTTTCAAACAATCCCCCCGTCTATTCGTCCGATACGTAGATGATTATTTCATAATTTACAGAAAAAGAGTTTTCCCAATCGAAAAATTTTTAGATTCTTGCAACTCAATCCACCCCTCAATTCAATTAACTTGTGAGTTTGAAAAGGATGACCAAATCCCATTTCTTGACCTACTTTTAAAAAAAGATGGTGAAAAAATTGCAATTTCAGTTTACCGCAAGCCCACCTCCACCAACTCAACCCTCCACTTTGAATCAAATCACTCTTTCTCAACTAAGTTCTCTGTTGCTCTCTCAATGTTTAAAAGAGCATACAGTTATTGCTCAGGGGAAATTTCTTTGAAAGAAGAAATTTCCAACATCTACAAAATTCTTCGTCAAAATTGTTACCCCGTAAATTTTATCAACAAAGCACACAATAAAGCAAAAAATCCTCCAACACCCAAAGCCCCCGAACAATTTTCAACCACAATGGTCATTCCTTATTTTAAAGGAAAATCAGAGAAAATCAGGGCCATCAGCCAAGAAGTTGCCAGAGTACGAGTTGCTTTCTCAAACTCTTCAAATCTGCGAAAATGTTTAATGCATGTAAAACCCAAATGTGAACCTGCTCTGCGTAATTGTGTATACCGCGTGCCATGCGCCGATTGCTCTTCAGTTTACATTGGGGAGACAAAAAGACACGTTTATTTCCGATTTGACGAGCATAAAAGGGCAATTTCAAAAACTTTTGATCCGGCTTCAATTGGGACGGACAGCAATGGTTTTCAAATAGCTCAACACGCGACTGAATTTGGCCACTCTTTTGCATGGTCAGATGCAACGGTTATTAAATTCGAACAAAATCAATCAAAAAGAAAAGTGCTGGAAGCAATGGCAATGGCATGCGGTAATAATGTAATAAGCCAACCGAGCCACCAATTCGATCAAAGGTGGATGTCCTTTTTGAGAGAGGAAGCAAACAGCTTTTTCTCGAAAACGCATAATGTGCCCGACGTCATTCGGCGCCCCCGTGGTCGGCCGCGCCGCGCGCTAATCACCCAATAAAGATCACCTCCCCCAATCAATCTGTCTTTAGCTAGCTCATTCTTGTATTAGTCAGCGAGCAGCGCGTTTGCTCATGAAATAGGTTGGTACTTGAATTTGTTAGTTTTAAGATTTTTATTTTTATGTTAAAATGTGGTTTTTAAATTTTGCTGATTTTTTGTATTTTTTCTTGCTCATGAAATAGGGTCGCAGACCGTGACCGAAACTGGTAGAGCCGTTTGTTTTTGAATAAAAAACAATTTTTTGCAACGAGGAAAAGCCCGAATCTTCATTTCCATGATCATCTCCTCGAGTGTCAACTTCTTCAAACAAATTTCTGTGAGCTTCAATATAACAACAGAATAAGTACTTTTTGAAGTTAATACTGCTTGTGTGTATTAATTAATTCACCTTATTTGTAGGTTATGATTAATTAACTTAAATCAGTTCTCCTTTTTTAACAAAATTTCAACCAAAACGCAAAATAATCTGGAAAAAACCTATCGATAGATGTAAAAGAAAAATTAAAAAATTCCAGAGCGATCAAATGTTGCTTTACTAAATTATTACTATATTTATATTTATTTACAAATTACTCATTTGAATTCGATAAAATTTGCTTTGTTTTTATATTATGAAACGTCTTATCATATAGTTATTGCTTTCGTCTTTGTTTATTTTAATCAAATTTTCGTCAGGCCAGAACAAGAGGTCAGTCAAACACTATCATATATCTGCGTCAATGTTGAGTTCGCGAGATGAACCGTTTTTGTAAGTGCGCGTCATGAAAGGCAACTAACAAGAGCGTTAATAAATTTGCATTTGAATAAACTAGCGTTAATTTGGAGCAGTGCAAATAATAATACAGCTCGTAATTTTGCATTGCTCGCTTTTCTGTAAAGTGCCAAATGGAGCGGAAAATTTCACGCGTCAGGACGTCAGCGGCGCGCATGTTTCACAGGCGGTGTGTAGCGTGGGTGGCTTTGAAGCCGGCGTTGAATAATGAATATTGTTGGGACGGTCTCGACTCTACGACGATTTGAATTTGCAACGGCTCAATGCCTCCATACAAGAGCCTCCGACCCTGCCACTGGGCTGCAAACCAAATATTATTCTATCCTTTGCCCTTTCTCGCTGTCAAAACAAACCCACTGTATTTTCTGCTATTCCATTTTTCATTAAATTATAAAAAGGGGAAAATTTACAGACTTTGCCACAAGAAGGGTGAAACTTTTAACTTCTGCTATAAGGTTAACTTCATTGATTTTTTATTTTATTAATTCAGCTCAGTTTATTGAATTTTCAAAACAGAACTTGTTAATAAAATATTATTAGCAGGACGAGTATTTAGGTTCCTCTTGTAAAATTTTGAGGTGCTATTTTTTGTAACACGGCAATTTTCTCATTTCTTAAATTATTTGCTTTAATTTATTCCAAGAGAGCATCCAAGGCCGTTCACTCATTATAATTTTTAGAACCAAGAAAAGTAAAAAATAAAAATGTCTGTAGGCGCGCTTTGATCATTACATTTTTTAAACTCAAAAATAGTAGATTGAATAATTATAAATTTTGATTGAAGATGAAATTAAAACGGGCATTTAATTTCAAATTTTGAAGTGTAAACAATATTTGAAGCGTTGAAGCAAAAAGCCGAATAATAAGAAATTGAGGCTAATTGGCTAACCATTTGATGGTAAATTAATTATGTATTACCTCGTTAAGGGTTCTGTTGCTAATTAGAAAGCAAACAGATTGAACTATATTAATCACAAAGCACTGTTGCGAGATGCGAGAGTAGGCGGCTTGGTTCGCTATTTATTAATTACGGCGGCCGCACCACGTACCCTCATCAACTAGAAAAGGGCAAATGAAATAAACATGCCTTGAATATTTCCATGTGTTCAAAATCAAAAGGTTATACAATTGTTTTGCAAGCAAGTGCTGCCACTTCTGGTTGTAAATCTCACTCAAAAATCCGAGGAAACTCTGATTTTAATTTCAAGTCACATCAATTTATTTTTGGTTAAAATTCAAGACTGTTCAAGACTTTGTGAATTTTTAAAGTTTGGTTGAAAAAACAACGTTCCTTGGAAACTAATATTGGCAAGGGTAATTTACTTAAAACTGTTATTAAAAAAAAATTGGTTTTAATTTAATTTCATAAATTTTTTTATTGCAAATGGTTTTCCTGATCAAACTAATTTTTTTTCTTTCTTTTGTTGGTAATGATTAAAATTTCACTCCTGTATTGACGTTACTCAATTCTGTTTGCGTGATTATTGTAGCTGGAATAAAAACACAACGCAAAAACGTCTGCCGTGTTGCAAAATGAAGATAGACATGGTTGATTTTTCCACTCCGTCAAGACACAGTGCAACGCAAGCTGCTCTCATTCCTAGATAGGATTGCTTTTCCCTGAGAGACGTGTGCTATTTATATTATTTTTATTCGTGTGACTTAGACGCAAAAGTCAGAAGGCACAAATCATTGGTTGGTGCAAATGAATGTAGAGCAACAAGATGCTATAGCTTATGTTTTCTAGCAAATTTAAAAATTTAGTCAAATTATCCAAATTATTACTTTAAGTGTATTTTTTTTATTAACTGCAAAGATCCAGCGATTCTGAAAATAGTTTACAGTTTTCAAATAAAATAATTATACAATATAATATGTCTTTACCCATTTTTCACTGATTATTTGATAAAAAAAGATCAACATTCCAAAAAATGACAATAAATCGAGAAAGTAAGCAAGTATTATTGCTAAAAATCGACGATTGTCTATGTGCGTGTCAAAGACCTATCAGCTCTGATACAGCGAAGGAGGGGTCACCAAACATCAGAAAGAGATGCGAGATGCTTGGAGGTCAGCGAGGACCAGCAGCCGCACCAATACACACACAGCGCACCGATCATCTTAAGTTAGTCTCATTTGCCGAGTCGTCGAGAGCGGCGAATTGGTCCGACGATCGGCGGACAGCGGGTGACCTTCGACGCCACCGACCAGTATATGAGAGACGCACAATTTACATTTGCATGCATAAATAATACAGCAGCTGAAGGTATTACAATATTTACGTGGAACAGGTCACATATATTTTTTTTATTTGAATATGTCAAGAAGTTAATACGGAGTCGGTAAATTATGTTTCTTTTGAAAATACTTTTGATCTAGTTTTAGTGTTTATAACAAAAACACACAATAATATAATATGTCAATTCTCTAAAAATTTATCCAATTTTAAAAAGTTTCAAATCTCCTGCTGTTCACTCCTGGTTAAAATTTGAAAGTTAAATGTTATAAAAAATTTCTTTTTTTATAAAAAAATTCTAAAGAACTTGTTTAAATTTGTTTACTTTTGAAAAAAAAAAACTTTATTCTCCAAAGGAAATTTAGAAAGTTTGATTTTTTGATGCACCCACCAAGTCATGAACTTTGCTTTGATAAGGTTATGATAAAAAAAATAATCACTTATCAGTTATCTTGATGTCAGTGAACTTTGAACGTGCAGCTCGCATCTTATACATTTGGTTACAGACAGAAGAAAACAAAACAAAAACAAAGTGTGACAAAATAAATTTTGTAACCTATTTCATCAATTTCTACAACTTTTTCCTAACTGATAATTTTGAAATATTTTTAGATCAAGAAAAATAATGTTACGAGCAACTCGTTTGAAGTGGGCTGTAAGAAAATTAATTTTTTAATGATTTTTGCAAATATTGATTTATAAAAAAAAAATCACAGAAGTCGGTCCTAGCAAGGCAGAACAAGAATTGCCTTGTGAGGTCGATAGCGACAGTCCCAGAGAGTCACCAAGAACCCATTGAGACGCCTACAGTGCCAGAGACTGCTGATGTAGTTATTATTGGTGAGTTATAATTACAAGTTGTTATTTCTGCAAACGTCAATTCCACTTTGAAAACAGTTTATTCACTATGTTGTAAAACTAATTTGTCCCAAAGCAAATTAATTACGCGTCTGAAACATGCTTTGCTGCAAAACTTACTACTTATACTTGTTTCCTTTGCTCTAATGTAAACCTTCATTTTCTTTTCCACCCTGACTATATTCACTTCAAGTTCTCAGTGTTTCTAATTATAGTCTGCTCATGATAATTATACTCATTACACGTTCTCCGAAACTATTAAAAAGTAAAGCGAACTGTAATCTTAACATCTTAACACAAACTAGTCAAATTACAAAGGACAAAGTAAATTCTTTGAAAAATTTCACTTATATGAAGATTAAAAAAACAAATAATAGAAATAATTTAAAAAAATTTCCGATTCTTACATATAATGATTTAATTTAAGTAATGTGGCTAAAAATATTTGTAGGTGGTGGTTCAGCAGGATGCAACACGCTGTACCAACTAGCGCGGCGTGGTGTGCGAGCCGTGCTGTTGGAAAAGTCGCGACTTACTGCCGGCACCACATGGCACACTGCCGGCCTGATTTGGCGCTTGCGACCCAACGACGTTGAAATCCAACTTTTGGCCACCACGAGGGACCTACTGATGAGACTTGAGTCCGAGACCGGTGTCGACCCTGGCTGGATTAACAACGGCGGCCTTTTCATCGCCCATTCTAAAGTACGCAAACGAAAATAAAAAATTTCGTTTGGGCCGGCCCATGGGAATTCTCGAGCAGATTTGCTCTCATTAATTTTGCAATGCTGCACAATCTCCATTCCGGCACCGTTAGTCCTACGGGAAGGCTCAAAATTGCTTTTGCTCAATCCCAGTCAATGATCTAGGGAGTTCAAACCGGTAATTGCATTTTGCGTCGTTACTCATAAGCATTTTAACAATGGCCCCTCTGAGTATTTTTTTTTCTTTAAATTTTTGGACATTCAAAGCATAAAACCTTTATTCAGAATTTGCCTTACCTTGTACAAAAATGATTTTATTCACACTTTTATCTTGAAGTTGGAATTTACAAATTTACAGTAATTTATTTAAAATTAATCTTTGAAGAGAAAATATACTATGATTAGCCGCCACTTATGATACGTAAGGCTTTAATTTATACAATCTCCTAAATCCCTAACCACGAGTGAATTCTTCAGCACGAGCAACACGTAGACAATTTTGTTAAACTTCCTTTTCCACCTGAGTTGGACGCCTGTAGATTTGTAAATTATGCAATGCGGCGCGCATCCAAGTTCTGCTGGCTGAATAACCACCAATCTCGCCAGGCTCCCTAGGGGACGCAATTTTGCTAATGTGTTTTAGCGCCGTGAGTAATTCCGTCTGTTGCCGAAATGTTAATTAAAAATACGCATACATCAAGCTAAGTTAACGTTATATCCATCTGGAGGTGAAAGCCAGTTTTAATTGAAATGGTTCTCTTTATTTGGCTATTCTTTATCAAAAATTTGTGTGATAATATATACTATTTATTTTGCTAATGTGTCCACATTATAAATTTTAAGCATAAAGCAAATTTTTAACTGAATAAAAAAATTAACATAGCGTCCTAATTCAACATAATTTAAGTGTCTGCTTGAACACAATTAAAACACCGCATGCAGTAAAGTTAATCAAAATAATTTACATCAAAATTTTTTGAATTATTTAGAATATGAATATAGATGAGTACTAAAATTACCAATTTACATGATTTCTCTTAGGAGCGTCTGGACGAGTACCGGCGGTTGGCAACGGCGGGCAGGTATTTTGGAATTGAGTCGCAAATGCTGAGTGCCGCCGAGACCAGTCAGCTCTTCCCTCTGATCGACGAAAAGGCCCTTTATGGTGCTCTGTACAGCCCCGGGGACGGCACCGTCGACCCAACAGGCATGTGCGCCGCCCTAACAAAGGCGGCAAGCCGCGCCGGAGGCAGGGTGAGTTTCTCTCATGCATATAGCGAGCCGTGACAACGTGTGTGCTGCTAATTATTAAATATGAATGCGCATTCATTAGTGTTGCGTGCCAGAAAAGACTTGTTCATTCCCACCAAATTCACGACAGTCGAGACCCAGCAGTTTTGCATTTGCATTTAAATATCCTAACTTTAAATTCAGAATTTATCATTTTTTTTTAATTATTCAAACCATAAATTTTCAGGATGATTTATTCAATTATAATATTTCTTTTATATTGATCCTCAGGTTATAGAGGGTTGTCCAGTTTCGGGCATTCAGGTAGAGCGGAACATGTTTGGCACAAAGCAGATCACGGCGGTAAAAACGCCCTACGGCACCATCAAAACAGAGTGCGTTGTTAATTGTGCCGGTAAGTTTTTTATTTCACTTATTTTCTTACAATTTTGTAGCTCAGCAGCTCTTCTATCTCTCTGCTTTTCTCTCCACAAAAAGGAGTTGCGTCGCTCATTTTTATAAAAGAAGCTCACGTCCAGAGTTAAAAAACTTACTCAACTTCCTTCGTTGTATTTTCCCGGCTTAATTAAAAGTTTTTCTGTCCGAATCAAATGTCAGGAGTGTGGGCGCGCGAGATTGCCGCCATGGTCGGTCAGCACATTCCGTTGGTGCCGATGAAGCACGCGTACGTGGTGACTGAGGAAGTGCCCGGTGGAGTTAGGACTTTGCCAAATGTCAGGGATCACGACTCGTCCGTCTACTTTAGGGTGCAAGGCGACGCCCTCTGTGTTGGAGGATATGAGCCAAACCCTATCATCCTCGACTCGGTAAATCAAATTATTCTGACCTTTCTGGAAAATTTTAAACTTCGGGCGAAATTTTTCGATAATATACAGAGGAGCAGAGGAAAAACTTTCTGGTTTTGCAAGAGGGATATTTTTTAGGAGGAATAAAATGATTTAATTTGGGTTTTCTCAATAATTTTTTTTTTTAATGTCCGAAATTATCTTCTATTACCGGGATCAAGAGTTCAATATATGTGAAGAAAAATAAGCAAATAGCACAAAACATTTATTTTGCAAAATCAACATTTTTTAATTAGTATTTTTTTTTCAAAATAAATTTACTTCCTATTATTATTTTTAACAATAATTTAACAAGGAAACTGATTTATTAGGTTGCAAAAGATTTCATGTTTGGCCTATATGAATTAGACTGGGATGTTTTCGGCGTCCACGTGCGCGGCGCCGTGCAGCTAGCACCCCTTTTGGAAACTACGGGCATAAAGTCGACGGTGTGCGGCCCAGAAAGTTTCACTCCCGACCATAAACCTTTGCTCGGTGGGTGTCTAATTTAATGTGTCCGAGCCTTAATTTGTATTTACAACTACTTTTAGGAGAGGACCCGAAAATTCGCGGCTTCTTTTACGGGTGCGGGTTCAACTCGTCGGGGATGATGTTGGGCGGAGGTTGCGGAGAGCAGCTGGCTCAGTGGATCATCTACGGCCGGCCCGAATTGGCCATGTACGCGTACGACATTAGGTGAGTGAGTTATGACTAAGATGTGTATGAAGAATTATGGCAAGGGCTATAGAAACCATTTGCAAAATTAATTGAGCTGCATTCATTATTCTTCTCTTTGTTTATTAAGTTTTGTAGCAAAAATTTCATATTTAATTCCATACTTACAAATTTGTCAAAGAAAAAAAAATATGTTAAAATGCTTAATTTTTTTTATCAATTTCACTAAAAAACGCTAAATAAAGAAGCAAAATTGTTCTGATTATTCGGAGGGGTATTTTTTTCCAAAATTAAGAAAAAAATTGCAATTATTTACAATAACGTGTAAGTTATCTAGATTTTTTTCCAAAAAATTAATTTTATTCAGCACATGCATTATGAAAACAATACCAATAAATCCTCTTTAAAGCCACCCCCGCGGATAAATCTGCCTGGTGTAAAGCGCAGGAAATGCTAAATTGCTGCTTGGCAAAGCCGCTTACCCCCCATGAACGCGAATGGGCAATTCGGTTGTGGCAGCTACGACTTCGAACTGTGGCACACGTAGCGCAATTTCCCGGCATAAATTGCATTCACGTCACACACCAGTGGTGCTCACGTAATAACTAGGAAAAAGCTCCCAAGTTTTATTTCACGAACGTCACAAGCCAAAATCTTTTGCTTCGGATTTCACAATATATTTTTATTTTTTGCTTTTCGCTGGATGAACAAACAGACGCTTTAGCCCAGAGCAACGAAAAGCAGTGGCGTGGGCGAAGGAACGCAGTCACGAGAGCTACGCGAAAAACTACAGCATCGTCTTCCCACACGACGAGCCTCTTGCCGGCAGAAATTTCAAACAAGGACCCTTCCACAAGGTAATGCGACCCCCGTCGAACCAAAAATCTCGATCCAAAATGAGAAAATGAAAACGGCTACGACAAGAGAGGTAGTGTTAGAGGCTCTCAAGTTTTTTGATTTTATTATTAATACTTTCCTTACAAGGCTTTCAAACCTTTAGAGAGTTAAGAGGAAAAACGTCCGAGCTTGAGTGGGCCGGTGTAATAATTTCATAAATTTTGTTCATTTCATTTTATTCCGTGACGATAAAGATAAAAAAGATATATAAATAAACAGTAAGAAATTTTTGTTACCTGAAAATATTTGCTTGTTAATTCTTTGCAAACTGAATAAATATTTTTTTTTTTTTAATTCGTCTATTTTTTAATTTTTATGGCTGAGCACTCTGAAACAAACACGTTTTTGAAGTATAGATTTTTTTTTAATTTCATACTAAAAAATTCTTAAAAAAATATTTTTGTACACACTTTCAGAGACATAAATTATTAAATTATTATTAATTTTTTATTATTTTAATACCACTATTTTCTACCTCAATTTTATGATATTTTGTTTTTTCCTCAGGAACTTTTGGAAGAGGGATGCGTTTTCCAGGAGAGACTCGGCTGGGAACGAGCCGGTTGGTTCACCCTTCGAGGACCTGCCCCTGTGCCAAAGTACGACTGGTACGGCGCTTATGGCAACTCGAAAAACCCAGCCTCCAAGTACAAAGAATTACTTCAGGGCGACTACAGCTTTGGTCATCCCGAGCACCACCACGTGGTAAGAGAGATCCTTGAAAGTGGTTCATCTTTCTCTTTCCAGCTTTATTAAAAAAGTGGGATAAGGGAGAGAGAAAGAGAGAGATGATGATGAAAAGTAATGAAAGATTCGTGCGCAGATCATTAATTTTCGCTTGCTTTCATTAAAGTTGCCCTACTAAAGCTCGCTCGCTGAAAGATGAAAATGAAAAACGCGAAAATAATGGATGCGGAAAAGTAATTTTTCCTGCTGCTGAAAAATTTATTATGCAAATGGAATCGCTTGATACACTTTTGATAAGCCATAGATGTGAAATTACCCAGCAGAGAAGTTGGAAGCGACTTCTCTTGGTTTCATCCTTTTTTGTTCAATTCCCACAACGCAAGTTCTGCTACTTTAAATTCCGCCTTTTCACCACTAAAACTTTTAAAATGATGAACTTGAGAACATTAAGTTCTTTGATGAGCCATACACAATTGATATTGTTTTAACATTGCCACTATTCTTAAATAATTAATTCCTTCATATATTTATTCCAATAAAAATAAATTTTAATTACTTAATATTCATTAAAGTGCCCTTTTTTAAGTCATTATTAGAAAATCCGAGGAAATAATTTTTTTCTTTAAACCAAAATTTAATTTCATGCCTTCAAATTTCATTAAAAATTTAACAGATTGGCCAGGAATGCAACGCTTGTCGCAGCCAAGTGGCCCTTTTTGACATGTCCTACTTTGGAAAACTGTACCTTAGCGGTCCTGAGGCCCAACTGGCGGCCGACTGGCTCTTCACGGCCGACACGCAACGGTCGATCGGCAGAACCGTTTACACGTGCAGTTTGAACAAGCGAGGCGGCGTCGAGGCCGATCTGACTGTCAGCGCCATCGAAACAGGGCACGGTGGACAAGTTGATCCTATTTTTAAGGCAAGACTCAACAATCATTTTAGGCCTTGACTGAAAACTTTTGTATTTAAGGGTCGCGGATTTTACCTTGCGGTTGGTGGTGCTTCGTCTCAACATTCTTGGGCCCACATCAATTGGGTGCTCAAAGAGAGGCAGTTCAAGGCCCAAGTTTCAGATCTGAGCGAAGGAATGGGCCTCTTATCTATTCAGGGACCAAACAGGTGTTATTTTCAATTATTTCTAATGAAGAACATTTTTAAAATTAAATTAAATAAACGTAAAATAATTTTTTTTCGTCAAAATTTATGTGATTCCTTTTATGATGATATTTTTAAATTGCATTATATTTTACTATTTTCGTTAGCCGAGCACTTCTTCAGAATCTGGTTGACACTGATCTGAACAACGACTCTTTTCCCTTCTCAACCACCAAACTAGTCAAAGTTGCTGGTCACCTGTGTCGCGCCATGAGAATTAGCTTTGTGGGAGAACTGGGTTGGGAGCTTCACATCCCGCTCGACTCGTGCAAAAATGTCTACCGTGCCATTGTGCACGAGGGAAAGAAACACGGTAGGAAAATTTATGAAAATTTGGAATAGGTATTAAAAAGTCGATAGTCCCATTTTATGACTTTATAACTTCATTTTGCAAAGGTCAAGCGATAATTTAACGTTGTCTTTGAAGAGGAGTTATAGAGAAGATCTTAACGCTCGGCCTTGCACCGTAAAATTGAATTAGAAAGTGCACTTTGTGTTCGAGGGTTCTCTCTTTAGTACGCGCCTGCGATGAACAAGATGCAACCGGCCTTACTCTCACGTTAGCTCGGTTGCCTACCAACTATCTCGTCTACAAAGCCCCATTATTTGCGCAAAAGGCAGCAATTTTCTGACTGCTCCTCGACCATTGTTAAAAAATATACGATCGATTTGCTCGATGGTCAGCGCTCGGCTTGTAAAACCTAAAGTAGATAGTCACATCCATAACGATTCGCTTCATCACAATTTTTTATTTACAAATTAAATGTATATAAGGAATAATGCAATGAGATGAAAATATTAATTATATCAATGTACACATTTTGCAACTCTCAGATATTTTACATTTTCTAATAAAATAATTTAAAATACTCTTTTATGAAAACACACGTAATTGTTTCATAATTTTTTAACGTTCTTCATTCCATAAACTTAAAAACAAAAATGATAAAAATAAAATTATGAAAAGTTTCAATCTACTTTAACTCTGATGCTCTATCCTTAGTCCCGTTTTGCATGGCACGTTTTCCTCTACTTGACATTACGATTTTATTGGACGACGGTGAAAATTGCTATCAGAAATATAATATCCGAGCCGTCACGAAAATATTGGTTTATCGTTTTGCCGGCAGCGATAAAAATTGCTAAATTTTTCCGCGCATGAAACTGCAAAATTATGCATGTAGAACATCCATCGTGGTAGTCATAACGCCGTGCAATAATAGCGCATTTGAATAATTGTTATCCACGGCGCTGTGGCCACATTATGCAATCGATGCGCTTCGCTTACAAATCAGTTTGGTAATGATACTGATGCCTCTGGGCTACATTGCGGGCTAATGCACTCCGGCGTAATGGTTGGGAAACACAACGACGTCAGCAGAACCGGCAGAGCAGATGGGTACGCAGTGATTTGGGGCATATGATGTATCATGTCGCTTTGATAATTATACTGATAGAAAAATAATTGCATTGATGTAAAAATAATTCAATATTTTTTTACATATCAAAAAAGCATTTTATAGTTGCTTCGCAGAGGCGCAACACGCTACGTTGAAAAAAGCCCCTCCAAATTTACTTTGAAGGATAAAGGAGGAATAACCTTTGATATATTTATTCCACTTTTAAATGTATAAAAAAAAATTCCGAAAATATAAAATTGAGTTCTTTATCAGGTAAATGTTATAACTTAAAAAATTTTTTGTTCCTACTTTTTTTAAATTTTCATCTGATCTTATAAAAGGATTTAAAGATATGCCAGAACGAGAAATTTTCCCTTGGAAAAAGTCTATAGAAAACTGTCCGGAAAAACAATTAGGACTCTCTCCGCCTTGTTTATGGCAAATAAAGATAAAGGGATATGTTGGGATTCATGTTAGTAATGGGACTTGATGCCCCCCGGGGGTTTTGTTCCGCAGGTCTGAGGCACGCCGGTTACCGAGCGATCGACTCGCTGAGCGCCGAAAAGGGCTTCCATCTGTGGAACCTGGACCTCCGCTCCGACGACAACCCCCTCGAGGCCGGACTCGGCTTCACGTGCCGCAAAAGTGGCGGCGATTACTTGGGCCGGGCCACCGTCGAGGAGGCGCGCAAAAAAGGTCTCGCCAAGAAGAGGGTTTTCTTCGAGCTCAAAGAGTGAGAGACACTACATTTTAACGCCACTTTTGCTTTGTCCTTTTGCATGAATAAAGCCGCGGCTGCTTTTTTGTTACACACAGGCAAGTGCCCGTCTGGGGGTTGGAAGCCGTCTATAGAGACGGCGACGTTGTCGGCTACTTGCGAAGGGGTGAATTTGGATTCACGCTCAACGCCAGCGTTGGATTTGGGTAATTATTAATTTTATTTCTAAATTTTTCATCGTTCTATAATAATTTTTTCCAAAACTAATAAGGTTTATTTAGAATTGTTATGACATTTAAATTCAGTATATAATAATTTTAAATAAATTAGAATCAAAACAGAAATTAAACAAGTTTTTTTTTGGCAATCCAGTTCACTTGCATTCAAAATCATTTTTTTAGTATTATATTTTCAATATTGAATATAATAACATAGCATAAGAGGTCGATCATATGTTAAGGATGGGAAAATTTGTTGGAGACCTTTATAACCTATAATTCTGGAATCGGGAAATTAACTAAAATGAACTAATAAATACCAAATATTTGAGCATAAAAAAAATTCTATTGAATTAATTTCGTTATTTATTTATTTATTTTTTTGCCATTTATCAACTATTTTTATTTTTAAATCACCTATTATTTAAAAAAAAATTGCCTAAAAATTCCCCCTAAAATAATGTTTAAGCTTGCTTGAATTTTGACTTGAAACTATTTTTCATCTACAATTACCTTTTTACACTGAAAAGAAATCCCCTATTTTGCCCTTTAAATCATCAATTTTTCTGAACTCGAGTTAGTCGAGTTGATTTGATAATCCTGTTATAATTATCATAATAAATGTAAATTGCAAATGAAAATTAAAAATTATTTTGTATGTTTCATTTACAGGTACATCCGCCGTCCAGACGGTTTGCCGGTGACAAACTCGTTTGTCACAAGTGGCAGGTATGAGATCGAGGTGATGGGTGAGCGCATTCCGGCGGTGGCTCACTTGAGGAGCCCCTTCGACCCGGCTGGAAAACGAGTGCACGGGGTGTACGACGACTGATCCCATGCACGTGTGACGCAGTAGGTTTCGCTGCTGCCGCTTTTTCCATTGTGTGCAGGCAGAGTGAAAATTCAGCGCGCCTCCCACGGGATCTCGACCCGAGGGCTTTAATTTAAATGGCAGCAGCTTCAACGCTCGCGGAATGTGTGTGTAAATATTTGCAAGTAAAAACATCCGTTTCGAAGGCAGCCTGGCTCGCGTTCCCATGCGATTTCTATACCTTGCTAATGCTTCACTTATATTCGGCGGCTCTTCGTCGGTGTGCAGGGAGGCGGAAAATGGTCCAAAAGTCGATTTCGTTTCCAGGGTGTTTTCATTAAATTCCAACAGTAAAATATTGTTTTAGTTTTTTACAACGTTATTAAAAAAATACATTAATTTCGTAAATAATATGAAAACTGCCTTCAAAGCATGGGATATTTTTGTACGAAGAGAGATATCAAATGTAATGTTATATTTTGATTTTTTTATAATAAAAAGGCTTTTGAAAAAATAGAACTAGAATTACAGATTTTACTATTTCAATTTAACACTTACTAAGAAGAGGATAATTATACATTTGTAATTCAAGCGAAATAGAAATTTAAACAGACCTTGGCAATTGTTAGATTTATTTCATTAATTTGTACCAAAAAAGTTGAAAATTATTGCTGAAATCCACGAAAGGGAATGTTTAAAAGCAATTTGTTTTTTTATATCGTATTTTCATCAGATTATTAAATAAAATGATTAAAAAAAATCTAATTCAAAACATAGCAATAACTAACAAAATAAAACTTCTTTATTATGTTAGTCACATAATTTAGAGCAGGGGCAACTTGATTGGTCTGCCGAACGAACGCGTAGTCAATTGCCATATCATGGCAAAACAATTTTTTTATCGATTGTAAATAAAATGTTATCATTTTTTATGGAATTATTCAGTTAAAAATGTGTAATTAAAAAAAAACATAAAAAATGCTAAAAATCGTGCACTCCAATTTTTTTTATGATATTTAATTAAATTTGTGTTAAAAACTTCCATGAATTTAGCAAAGAGCTCATCTAATTTAGCTGTTTGCCATAAATCAAGGAGCCTGGCATTAAACATATTACCATCCTAGAGGTTACTTTTAAAGGTCAACAAGCGGTTTTTGAATATTTTAAAGAATTAATAATTAATGACTGAAGATTAGCAGATTTCCTTTTAGATGTAAATTTAATCTTGCTCGGCACGGCTCTATATAATTAAAAAGTTGAGCAGTATCCGTGTTTTCCAGATTTCTCCCGCAGAACTAGTTAAAATCAGCTGGCTCTAGTAAAAGGTACTTCGACGATGAGGTCAAGTTTTAAAAAAATATTTGGGCAAAAAGTCGCGAGCGGAGATTGCTTAATAAAATTCAAAATTAAAGGCATCGTCGATTAATGGGAAGGAGGTCTGGCGACGCCGATGTACGTAATGAGCTAAATTCGCCAGCAGGCGGTGGTGGCCTTGAATCAGGCAGGCTTTCCTGAATGACCAGCTCCTCGTCGGTCGCGGGGCCGGCGGTCGTGCGAATTACAAGAAGTGAGCACCGAAGCGGCGGCGGCGGCGTTTGGAAGGGGCCTTGACCGCCTCCGTTAAGTGTGCGATGGGAAGCCAGTGTGACTGACGAGAAAACGACTCACTCACTTTTGTTGTTGCTTCCTCGCAGGGCTTGTACAGTCTCAGCACAGCGGCCCAACACGTCTAACCTCTGCAACCTGCGGCCAGGTGAGTTCACCATCTAAGTCACGCTCTCGATCTCACGTCCGTGTTTACCCGTGATTTTTAATGAAAAGTCTTGGTATCATAAAAGATATATAGAATGTGACCGTATTGGCTTTGCTTTCTCCTATTCTTGATTGATTTCCAATATCATATGTACATATTTTATTACTGTAGCTTTCTTTATTATAATGTAATGAAATTATTTCTTATTATTGATGCGCTGCATTTTAAGTTAATGTACTTAAATTTTTCAACATTTTTTGTAATTAAAATTTTATTTTTAAACATTTGTTGTTCTAAAACTAATATATTAAAAATTAAAATGCTTTCTAATTAATATATCTTTGCTTCTTAAAATTGCTCTTAATAATCAATATTGTTTTTCACAATCACGGATACAATTGAAGGGGAGGAAACCGTAAATCCAATTAACCACTATTTTCTTTTTGTAATCAATTAATATCGCTCATTTTTATCCAAAAGAATAATTATTGATTGTCTTTACTTTAAATTACAAATATTTCTATTGAATATTTTTTATTATAGCAGTAAACGTATGTATAATTTTATGTTAATTAATATTAAATTTCACTCTTGCCGTGAAAAAAAAAACTCGGAGACATACACATTTCCTTTGTATAAAAATAAATATTGTGCTCCTTTCTGTCCTTTCAAACGCGTTCCAATTTATAAAGAAAATTTATAAATAAGAAAATCTTAACACACATAATATATAAGAACGAAAAAAACTAGTTTCTCTCGCTCAAAGCTCAAAGCAAGGCCTTGAGTGTTTTCATTCTTCGTGCAGCATTCATTGCAGACACGATTTTCATACACATTTTTATATTTCTTTCTTATTGACGTGCTCTTTGCACGTAGATTTTATTTGACTTTATAGCCTTGCATTTTTGATCAATAAGATTTTCTTATATCATCTGTTTTCTCATGCCACTTGAAGTGGTGACACGCAGCCACGAATTCTGACCGCAAACTTCCTTTCGGAAGTTTTTTTTGTGTCATCATGAAAAATAAATAATACGTCAATGCTTGGTGCAAATTGAGCTGACTATGTCACACACCGATGTGAATGATTGGGAATTTCAAAGTTGAGAAGCGTGACCACCTTGCTGAATGGCAGTGCTTTGTTGATTGTGAGCCGCGTATAACAAAGGGATTCCCACTTTGATTTTGTGTCACTTTGCTGTGCAAACACCGGCCCTATTTTCTGGCGTTTGACGTAGTTATTCTCCACTGACGTTTAAAATAATGCGTAATAACCTATAATTTTCTGGGAAAAATATTTTGTGTTGTAGTTCTAAAAATTATTCTTACAATTAGTAAAAGTATATAAACGTCAACTTTAATCTCCCCGAAACAGTGAAATGAATTTAAAAAATCATTTCATCCCCCTTTTAATATTTTTGTATTTTATTTTGCCAATTTTATGATTAGGTCAAAAGTTCTTCCTTTTTGATGCATTTTTCTTTTTCCAAAAAGCTAAATTTGAGATGTTACAGTTACAGGAAAAGAAACCCTGTAAAGTTTCTGATTAATTTGATATATCGTCGCATTCAATTATGAAAAAATAAAAAAACTTTCCCACTACCCGCCAAAATAACCGTGATTTGACATCTCTGACTGACAACTAGAGTCAATACGTCAAAACCGTTCAGCTTAATTGCGCAATTCTAAGCTGCTTGTCAAACTGACGCACATAGTTTAAATTACCGATGTCAGTTTAGCGTCACTCTGCTTTTGAACGTGACATTTGCTATTTGCTTTTGGTGTTACGTGTCGAACTGTCTGTTCTACAATATTATTATTTTGTCCTCAGGCGCGCACTCGAGTGTGCACCGAAACTGAACTGCTTGTGTAATAACTTTTGACGGCGCGTCGCTATTGTATTATTTCGGAGAGCCTCACTCTCCGACTATGACTTTGTCGCGCAGAGAGTTTGTTGTTCTCGTCTCTGGTTAATTAGCTGATTGCTGTGTGACCGCAGAAACACAAACGGAGACAACAGAAATGGGAAGTCGGCGGAAGGTTGTGGCCGGCACGATGCTGCTGATGACTTTCAGCTTGGTCATCACGGAATGCCACACGACGGCGATCACGTTTCCGCAGGTAATTAAAAACAAAAACAATGCGAACAACGCTCTCGCAAAAAAAAAAATAAACATCAATAATTACACGTGATGGGAATTGAAATGGTTTTCCTTGTTCAGCTGGGTTTTACTGTATTATTTTCCGTGTTGTCAGTTTTTAACATGTGGTTTTATTTTCATTAAATTGAACCAAAGATCATGGAAATAATATGAAAATTTTTAATAATAATATGGTCAAAACGCAATTTTTTTTTTACTGCTTGCACTTTTACTGAAGTTTTATATTTTTGACAAAAAAAAAATAGCACTGTCAATAATTATAAATCATTTGTTGGAATTTAAAACAATCATTTTCCGAAAATTTCAAATAATTTTATTGTTTATCGCATTTAAATTAAGATTCAATAAAAAAAATATGTCAATTTAAGAAAATAATATAATTTTATATTAATTCATGAGTGGAACATTAATAATTTTTCAATTCGGATCATATGGCATAGTAATTTTTTTAACCATCGCTACAATCAGTTGAAGGTATATTTTGTAAACTGTATTTTTCCTTGCTTGAAAATCTGATTTATCTAAAAATGTCAGGAGTCGTCAGAGAATAAAAGAGAGACCCTCATCCTGCAAAGAGAGCAGCAACTGCACATGCGAGAACAGGCGCTGAGGGACAGAGAGCAGCAAATAACGCAGAGAGAAAAAGAGGTACATTATTGAGCGCGCCACTGCGAAAAATTGGACGTAAACATCCTGGATGATTGTGCAACTTGTTCGCAGGTCTCGGAGCGTGAAGCTCACCTCGTAGCTGAGATGAAAAAGAAGCATGAAGCCGAAGCGGCGGCGGCTGCTTTGGCGCAACAAAGCATAATTGACAGGTTGGGTGCGGAAGGGGCAAAACTGCCAAAGGATGACCTGAACGAGTTTTTCACGGGACTTTCTGGCTTCTCGCTGGACATGATGCAGGTAAGGCATTTTCAATTTTCCCTTCTGCATTTAGATTAATTTTATGCCTTTGTATAAAAAATTCAAATAATCTTCTCTAATTAAATATTTAATAAATTTCTTAATTTTTTGTACCAAGTTATGAAGAAATATTTGTTTAGGTTTTATCGCTTTGGAGAATTTTATTGTTTGCACTCCCAATCAGACGTGTTAATTGCTACAAAAATGTTTCCTTTGATGCCATGTTATGATCCGGAAATTTGTATAGGGATTTTTATCTTTCAGAGGTTGGCCAAGAGCGAGACGAACGTTGCGTTTTCTCCTCTGACCACGTGGGTTTTGCTCGCCTTGATGAGCGAGGGCGCTCAGGGGTCAACTCTTCAAGAGCTCGAGACCACCCTCGCCCTACCCAAGGACAAAAATGTTACCTACAGAGGCTTTGAATCGATCAGAAGTGACATTATGGTTGGTTAAAATCAATTCAAGCTAATCAGTATGAACAATTTTGTTAAAAAATATATAGCAAATCATGAAAGGCAACTCGCTCATCAATTTGGGATCGGCTGCTTTTACTAGTCCACGATTGACGTTGAAGGATGAATTCAAAAGAATTGCGGAGGTAAATTAAATAAGAATTTAATTTTCCCTTTAAAATTTTTTCAAAATATAGTCGATGTTCTTTTAAGTAAAAAAACATTTTATGCAGGGATTTTTAGAAACAATGAGAAATTTTAAAAACTTATTTCATAAAACTTCTTATTATATGATTAAATTTTTTTGCTATTCTTCTTTTTTGTTGGTTTCAAATAACAGGATCAAAAAATTAAAAAAAAAAAAAATTTTGTTTCAATTTATCAAGTTTCAAGTTCTAACTCTTCTTGACTGTGAATTTTTTAGATTTCTGACATCTTTTTTTTTATTTTAAATTTTGTATATTATTTATTGCAAAGTTTTAGTCACAAATTTTTATTTTTAATTTAATCATTTTATATTTCCACCCAATTGCTTTTATTACTAAACTTACTTATTCTTGTAATTTTGAAATATATTTTTTACAGGTTTGTTACAACACCACCATTCAGAATGTAGAGTTCCGAAATAGATCGGCTGCTGCCACGGTGATTAACAAATGGGTGGACGATCTTACCATGGGCAATATTAAAGGAATCGTTCATCCAGGTAATAAGAGAGGTGTGGGAGGAATATAGAATTTTAAATTCAAAAACGAAACTAGATGACCTGGACCGCGCTGAATTGGTGCTAACTAGTGCCCTTTACTTCCGCGGCTCTTGGAAAGACGCATTCAATGAGAGTCTGACTCGCCGAGAACCATTCATGGACGACAGCGGGGCGAGGGTGGCCGAGGTCGATATGATGTACCAGGTGGGCCGATTCAGACTCAGCTTCATTGAAGGTCTCAAGGCGATCGCCCTCGAACTGCCCTACTCGGTGAGTCGCACACTTTCCTCTCAACTTTCAGGGATGGAATTTTTTAGAGAGGAAGAATAAAATAATACAATTATTTCCCGAGAGTGGTATGCAAACTTTCCCTTGTCGACACTCGAGTCATTTCGCTTTCAATTATAAGTCGCAACTCTAGCAAAGCACTCGGGGGCCTACACTGCACACTTGTTTCGCAAGTGAAAACAGAAAGCAACTCTTAACTTGTTCTTTTTTCTTATGTTAGCTGCCTTTCATCTCTCGTTTAAAAGCAGAAAATATTTACTTTGAATTTTTACTTTTCTACAATAATTCAAATATATGAATACACTTTAATTACTATGCATTTAAAACATTTTAATTTAAATCTTATAGTTTTTTCTTTTAAATTCGCATGAATGTAAAATTTATAAAACCTCCAAAACACTTTAACACAAGAATCACACCAAATAATGAAAAGTTCGCTTTTGCCCTGACGGCAAAATGGCAATTTTCCGCCTCACAAACTTTTCCCTCTGTAGCCCTCTGGTATTTTTGATGCACAATGGGATGAAATTCGCAGCTCGCAGTGCCATTCATCTACTGCGTTGCTTTCATCTCCGGCTCCTCGTGTTTCATACTCGCATTTGAAATCCGTCGGGGCTTCTTTCAAAATTTCACTCTCTCGCCCCGCTTTGAAGTCGAGCTGAAGGCATCCCACGCCAAAAAAACCAAACCCGCACGCTCTTCTAACTGATAAGCTAGGCGCGGGGATTAAGTTCCTCGCGAATGAAACTCATTAAGTGAGGAAGGATTTATTTTATTTTGCACGCACTTGCTAAAAGATTTTATTAGCAGGGCTCTATTTTGGGCACGCGCAACGCTTCCAACACACGCTAATTGGATTTAAACTTTGTAACTAGAATGTGCTTGCTCTCAGAACATAAATTTATTTCAACCTGATTGAAAAACTTATTTTAAATTTAAGGAATGCGTGTTTCTAAGATAAGAAAATAATTTTAAATTAAACATATCCACATGCATCAGTAAAATGCGTCAGAACGTAATAGTCATTATAATTTTTAATCTCAAATAAATATTTTTAGAGGTAAAAAAAGGAATATGGAGATGATTATTTACTTATTATTTTTTTCTTTTTAAAGAGCGAAAGAAATTCAATGCTCCTTTTGCTGCCTCGTCGTGGAAGCACCCTTACTGATTTACTTTCCAACATGGCCAGCTACACGGAACCACTTGTGCCCAGCATTATGAAAAAGTGAGTTGTTTCCTCGTCAATGAAGATTAATGAGAACAATTTTATTTCCAGATAAAAACTATACCCTTGTCAAAAACGAGACCGTTGGAGGTCGTACTCGAACGACCTCATATTTTTACATGGTAAATGTTTAGGGGCAACGGGCGGTCGCGATCGATCTCGGGCGGCCGCGATCGACCTCGGGCGGCCGCGATCGACCTCGGGCGGCCGCGATCGACCTCGGGCGGCCGCGATCGACCTCGGGCGGCCGCGCTCGACCACGGGCGGCCGCGCTCGACCACGGGCGGCCGCGATCGACCACGGGCGGCCGCGATCGACCACGGGCGGCCGCGATCGACCACGGGCGGCCGCGATCGACCTCGGGCGGCCGCGATCGACCTCGGGCGGCCGCGATCGACCACGGGCGGCCGCGATCGACCTCGGGCGGCCGCGATCGACCTCGGGCGGCCGCGCTCGACCACGGGCGGCCGCGATCGACCACGGGCGGCCGCGATCGACCTCGGGCGGCCGCGATCGACCTCGGGCGGCCGCGCTCGACCACGGGCGGCCGCGATCGACCTCGGGCGGCCGCGATCGACCTCGGGCGGCCGCGATCGACCTCGGGCGGCCGCGATCGACCACGGGCGGCCGCGATCGACCTCGGGCGGCCGCGATCGACCTCGGGCGGCCGCGATCGACCTCGGGCGGCCGCGATCGACCTCGGGCGGCCGCGCTCGACCACGGGCGGCCGCGATCGACCACGGGCGGCCGCGATCGACCTCGGGCGGCCGCGATCGACCTCGGGCGGCCGCGATCGACCTCGGGCGGCCGCGCTCGACCACGGGCGGCCGCGATCGACCTCGGGCGGCCGCGATCGACCTCGGGCGGCCGCGATCGACCACGGGCGGCCGCGATCGACCTCGGGCGGCCGCGATCGACCTCGGGCGGCCGCGATCGACCTCGGGCGGCCGCGCTCGACCACGGGCGGCCGCGATCGACCTCGGGCGGCCGCGATCGACCTCGGGCGGCCGCGATCGACCTCGGGCGGCCGCGATCGACCTCGGGCGGCCGCGATCGACCTCGGGCGGCCGCGATCGACCACGGGCGGCCGCGATCAATCAAATAATAAGAACTCGTTACTGGAACCTTAATGAAGCAATGTAATTAGTGACTCTTAATTAATCCGCCTTCGCAGAATCCGTTTAATCCCATGTTTTGTACGGGCACGCCAGCACCAGTTTTTGCCAAAACAAAATCGCGTTTGAGCCACTGGCTTGCTGCGTAGGCGATATCTAATTACTCGCCATACAAACCGCTCCCTTTGGTGGCGAACCACCCCCTGCTAAGCCAACGGGGTCACGCGGGATACTCTTTCACACTGTTATGTTTCCCTTTTGCAGGCTCGAGGAAGACCAAATAGCCGATACTGAGGACGAGGACACTCACGTTTACCTGCCAAGATTCGAGCTCAACTCCAAGCTTAAACTTGTGGACCTGTTGAAAAAGGTAGAACATTTTTTATTTTATGGATTTCCGATAGATTATACGGACTATACCTCATCGATCGATTAAAAAAATGTAATTTTGTTTATTTTTATTGTTTCAAAATATGAGTGTTTAATTTTTAACTAGTTTAATAAATAATCAGGATTTTTTCATTAAATTTATATCAAATCAATTAATATTAATATTAAATTAAAAATTGAACAATGAGCTGGATGAATTTTTTTTTTTTTTTTTTAATCATTTAGTTACTTTTCCTTTTTTCTAGAAGAAAATAATTTTAATCATAGTATCTCCATATTATCGCTATCTAATATTTATTTAAAAAAAAACCTAGATGGGCATCAAGAAGTTGTTTGAATCACGCGCAGATCTGAGAGGTGTGTCGACTTCTAATTTGTACGTCAGCAACTTGATCCACAAGGCGGCCATCAGCGTCACCGAAAAAGGAACCACAGCTTCTGCGTCTTCAGGTACACAATTAAATTACTTTCAAGATTTTCAGGTTTAGGAAAATGACATTTTATTCTAGCAGAGAAAAATTCATATTCATATTTCATCAATTAAATTACATTTTGACCAATCGATCAATTTTATGATTTCAGCGGCTGTGTTGCACAACTACAGTCTTCCCTCCACATTCAAAGCGAATCGACCATTCCTATTCATGATTATCCAACGGGCAACCAACGCAATTCTGTTCGCCGGAAAGGTAGGCAACCCCTCGCCCAGCGTGCAAACGAGGACATACTAAAGAGCGACGCGTCGAATCTACATTTATTTACCTCTGCACGCCGCCGCCACGCTGGTAGTTGATTAATTCATTCTGAATTCTCTGTGTAAGGTCACGCAACTTCGCGTTTTTTCGTGCGTAGGAAAAATAAGTACTTTATTATTACACTGATAAATAATAAATTAAATATTCAGTTTTTCGTTAAACGTGGAAAGAGTTTTATTCAGAAAAATTACTACTTTTTTTTATTACACTGATAAATAATATATGTATAAATTAAATATTCAGTAGTTCTTTGTTAAATGTGGAAAGAGCTATTTCCTTGTGCCTTCTCGATGGAGCTCAACGGCCGGCTAAAATAATTTATTAAATTATTTTAAAAGTTGAAAATAAAAATTTAATTTATAACCTGTTCCTTGGTACGGAATAGGTGCCACGTCGGGATTGTGGTTGTTGTATGGGCAAGTGCACTGACCGTTCATCATAACTGAAATGTTAAAAAAGGGCTTTTTCCTCGTTTAAATTTATTTTTTCGTAAAGTTACCGCCTTTCTTAATTCCTGTAATTGATGTTTTTGGAATCGAGGGCTCTGTCACAACAGGTGCAGCTGTGGATAAACTTAAAAAAAATCGTGAACCCAAAATTAAGTTTTACCTTCCTCCAGCGCGTCGCTACCAGCGTTGTTTTCTTCCAAGCCTGTGTGTTTATATTTTCGTATTCATTTATGAGTACATAGCGCGAAGGTTTTATGTTACGAAACAAAACATATATTACCCGGAGGAATCACGTTTGCTTGTTCAGCCGCATCATTTGGTCGGAGGCCTTGGTGATCATTATCAGAACCTAACGAGGCGTCATGTAATAATAATGCACAGCGGAATAACAAATGCGACCACTCACCTGAAATTTCATCCTCTGACGCAGAAACGCCGTCCGTCTGCTCGTTTACCAAAGCTAAAAGTGAATTAAATTCAATTTTGGCGGAAATAGTAATTTTTTTTTTTTTTACAATCTGCTGGTGGAATGGGTTTCGCTTCAAGCGTTTCAGAGAGCACCTCGTCTGATTAAATTTCATTTTTTTAGCGAAAAAAAAATCCAGACACAATTAATTCTTTATTACCCTCAGGTTGCAACACAACAGGTGGAACGGTGGTGGTTCGGTCCTCGACAAATTTTCCAACTGTGAATATTAATGGTGATTAATTGAAATACGGCGGGTAATTGGGTCGCTGGGGAAAATGGCCTCAATGAGTTGATATGGGCAGAGATTGCCCTGTGGTATGCTCCAATAAACTTCATTTGCAACTATAAATAACTGCGCTGCAACCCGCATCACATCAATACAGCACTTGTTGCATAACCGTGCATTGTAATTAAAATTTAAACACCCGCAGGCCAACGTGGATTCCCATCTGATGATTATTTGGAATTGGGGTAAATACCTGGTTTCGCTGCTGGTGTAACTTTACTCGACACTGCATGTTGTGAAATAAAAAAAATTAAAAAAACGATTTTTGATAGTTAGAAGAATTGGTTACCTGGATTCACAACTTTGGGGACTTTGGTTGTAATTACTGGTCTTACAACTATATTTCAAAAATGATTTAATTTATGTAATGATAATCTTATTTCTTTTACCTTTTTTATTGGCATTGGATGGAGGCACTACAGGACTTTGTGGTGCACTTTGAGCTAAGGCCAAATTTGTAATTTTTTAGAGAAACTCGACAAACACGTTATACCTTGAGAGGAAGCGGGTGGATTTTGCGCCACAGGAACCGAACCAACTGGCCTTTTTGGTGGCATAGCCGGAACTTTTGAAAGTTGAACTGGTGATGGATTTTGTTGAACTGGCACAGCTAACGATATAATTTTCGGATTAAATCGAGTATAAAATTATGGAATTTCCTTTATTACCTGCAGGGGGAGCTGGTCTTACAGGAACTTTCGCGGGAAGCGGTCGTGCAATTGGCGCTGCGGTGGCTTGTGGCACCACAGGGACTTTTTTGTTTACACCGACTAGCAATAAAATGGAATTAATTAAAAAAAAAAATAAAAATTAATAGTTCTATACTCGTAGCTATTTGGTTGGTTATGGGAGATTTTCCTGGAAGTTTAGGCGGTGCTTTTTTTTCTTCGTCAGAATCGATATTTTGACCAGCAGGGGCAACAGGGAGTGGTTCTTTGTAAACGGGTCTAGAAACTAACCCGGGCGCCGGTTTGATTTGAGATACGGGCGAAGTATGAATAGGCTTTGGCGTAACGACCTTTGGCTTCTTTTTCTTGAAAATCTCCTCCTCTGATTCCTCGCTTTCAGAACTGTCCCTGGCCGGGACGTTGGAGTTCAAAAGTGGTGCTTTGGGTGCACTTAACGCCGGTTTTATTGTTGGCCCTTAAATATAAACACAAAATTCTTTAAAGTTTTTAAATTATATTCTCATAAATAAATTACGTTTCACCAAACTTTTCGGCTGCTCGGTTGTAGGGTAAACTTTTGGCGCGGTAGGAACTTGAGGAACTGAAGTGTTAAGAGAAATTACATATTTTCAATTTCTTATAATTTTTTGAACAATACCAGGCTGCTTAACTGGTGATTGGATTGGGCTGATTGGGTTAGCTTGAGGAACTTGTGGCTTTTCATTGACAGTTTTACTGACCGCAGGCGAGACTTTAAATTGAAATTTTAAAAACACGAGATTGATTGTTTTAATTCTTTGAATACCTTTTGAGGGCTGTGCCGGCTGTGGAATTGCTTGAACGTTGCTAGGCGCTGCCTCAGTCTTTGCTATATTTTCTATAACGTTTGAATATTGCAGAATAAATTATTCTATAAAATAAGATTCACACTGATGTATTAATGAATATTTTTTGAAAAAAATTTTCTTTTTTTGAATCTGTAGTTCATATTTTTAAGATTTATTTTAATTAGAAAAAATATACCCAAGGGAGCGGTATAAGTGGCGTCAGGAGTTTGAACAGGTTGCTCGTTATCAACTTCAGGTCCTAAGTGATACCAGAAGTAAAACGAATTATAATTTAGTATTGAAGAAAAAACCTGTCTCTATGATGTCTGAATTTTCATTATCAACAAGCTCTGGTACAATTCCATCCTCCACATTTTCAGGTACTAGAATACATCTCTAGTATTTTTTTAGATTTTCACAAAACAAATGTAATTACCCGTCAAGCCTTGGTCTAAGGGCGCTTTTAATTGAGTTTTAAAATTAATATCTTTAACATTTATTTTATGAACCTTCTATTGGGCCCTCTACTGCTGGCAATGCAATTGGTAACTCATTTTCAAGATCCTTTCCAACTGGTTCGACTAACAGAAATTATTTTGAAACACGAAATTAAAGATGTTTTTTTTTAACAAAATTTATTTTAACTGACCGTTCATGTTGTTTGTGGGAGATTCAATGTCTGGAGTAGGAACGTCTTTAAAGATTGGATAAAGAAAATTTGAGAGTTAAATTGCAATTTGAATAATTAACAGTTAATACCAGAATTAATTTGCACCTCAGGGTCCTCTACAAGTTCCACATCCGCGTCGGGGCTTGCTTCAGCTAACACGGCAATTTTTTAATATTTAGTTTTCAATAGCAAATTTAAAATATTTTTACGAATATTTGCGTCAAGATTCTGTGGTATTTCTGCGGGCACAGGAGATTCATTTTCCTGCGCCTCATCAACCGCGTTGTTTGCCAAATTTTCCTCGTCCTGCTCGGGAAGAATATTGCTGACGTCAGTTGGTGAGTCTTCAATAAGCTCGGGGTTATCTGCCGATTCTGAATAAAAAAAGCAAAATTTAGGCTGAAACGTTTGCACGGGTTATTATTAAACCTTCTGCGTTGTTTGTTGACTCGCTTGGTTCACTTTGCGGATTCGTCAATGGGTTCATGTTTTGATTGTCAGTCGGCGGCCCAATCGGTTTATTGAGAGCTTTCATGGTAATATTATTAAATCTGAATAATGGAAAGTTGGTGAGCGTCGAGCTTACCTGGGCTCATATTAGGACTCTGATTATTTATCAAATTTGCAAAGGGACACGTACACTTCCCGTTTTTAATAACTGATATGAAATAAGAAAAAAATAATTAATTAATTTTTTACGAATTAAATTGACATACCTCCCATTTGCTCATTATCCTTGGGCTGAATATTTTGCAAATTCTGAGCAAAAGTTTGACCAGATAAAAAAATTAGGCACAGCGAATACCTAAAAATTAAATTTAGGTTATGAAAAATTTCCAGTTGTGAGAAGGTCCTACGATAATACTGAGAAGTCCATCGTCATCCGGTTGCGAGCAGAGTTTGAATTGCAATGGCAAATTCCCATTCAGAATTTGCGAGATCGTTTTATACGTGCCACGGTTTTGCATTAGTAACGTTTATCACGAATTCCTCATTCACAAGACAAATAAGCGCAATGGAAATTCCGTCCGTATTGACTCAGCCAAAGGGCACATTTCCCATTTTATGTAGAGCGTGCATTAATTGATATAACTTTGCCAGCTCCGCTAGAACGAAGTAGGTCACAAAAAGTAAACTCTTTTCCAACTCTCGATCCGTTACATTTACACTAGCAAGTGGAAAAATCCCAAACTTTAATGCGCAAAATGGATAATTATAAATTTGTCCTTGTTCAGCCCAGCGGGCCGAGAATTGATTCCTCTAAAAAATACTGCTCTACGTCGCGATCAATTAGAGTAAACTGTTAAATTAATTAATTTCAATCAGTGATGTATTTACAGCATGCAAATTTTATACAAATTGCTTAACTGACGCTATATTGCAGAATCATTAATATTTTTATTTACACTGTTTCAGTTTATTTTAAACAGCTACAAGCAAAAAAATTGGCTTCTTTAACTACCAAGGAAAAAGATATGGTCTTTTGTATACAAATTCCATTTGAAGGAAAATTTATTTAAAGTACTTCTAATTCTTTCACGTAAAGAGAGCACTATAATTTATCATTGTTTTATTTTTTATTCAATATCCAGCCAAGCAAATGCTGTCTCTCGTGCGTTCATAAACAGTTGACGCTATAAATAGAGGCATCAAGTTTGATTTGTTAACATTCACTGAAAACCCTAAGGAGACAACAACGGCACGATGGTGAAAGGGTAATTTTCAATTAATATACCTCAACCCTTGGGAACTTTTATCTTGAAATATTCAAAGGATCGTTGTTCTTTTGGGCATATGTGCTGTCATCGCTCTCACCAAAGGCACGCCAGTGAAAAATGCAGTCGATGCTAGCAAGTTGCTCAAAGGTATGCATAAAAAAATTTCCGTCTATTTGTATCAATATAAACATTTTGCTTGATGCTTGATTAAAAAATATTTTGTCATCTTATTATTATCTTTTAGCTCTGAATGATGCCACTGTAGAAAAGCCAGATGTTGCTGGAGTGAAGGCCAATGGGGAAAAATTGCTTGCTGGAAAAGCAGCAGGTTCCGTGGTGGTTGCTGACAAAAAAGTTGAGTTGCCTTTGCCCGCGGACCGGCGTCGCAGGGATGCTGTCAATGTAGACGACTCGGAGATCAAAGAAAAACTGGGCGACAAGGCGGATAAAGTGAAGGACACGGTGGAAAATGCAAAGGGCAAAGCAGGTACTTCTTTGCAATTTTTTCGGACCATCAAAGTACGCGTAAAATTTAAACAGGTGAAAAAATCAATGAGGCACAAAAAAAGGTTTCGGAAACGTTGAGCGGTGCCACCGATACAGTTGGTAATTAATGCAGTTAAAAATTAATTTCTAAGATAATTTCATTTTTGAAATTGATTGCACGTCTAGGAAAAGCTGCTGAAGAAAGCAAGTCAAAGGTATCCGAAATGTTGGGTAAGAAATATACATTTGAGAAAAAAGCGACGTAATTTGGAATCGTTTTTCAACTTTTCAGACAAGGCTAGAGATTTTCTTGGGCTTTAATAATTGCGAAGCAGAAAATTTATAATAAGTTGGCGCAATTCATTTTTACTTAATCGTTGTATAAAGGCAAGCAGCTGATATTTCCTCCAAGCATAAATATTGTTTTATTTAATAAAATAAATTATCCTTTAAAAAGTAATGGTGGTTTGGTAAGAGTTTATTTTCAAAATAAAGATAAAATATATCACTAATCATGACTTAAAAAATTGCAAATAAGTCATGCTGGGAATTTTTTTTAAAGAAATCAATGCAAAGAAAAATATTTTTTGAAACTGAAAAAATTTCCATCAACATTTTTCATAAAAGTAATGCAATTTAGTTTTCTTCAACAGAATGTATTACACAAATTTAACTCTAAAGTAAAAAATCTCGGCGCCGGGCCTGGAGGAGTTTCAATTTAATAAAAATTGAGTTTCAATTTAATAAAAATTGAAACTCGAGGCTGGTCGGATCATCTTAGCGTGAAAAGATGTTGGTCTATCGTTCATTCTTTGAGCTCTGGTGCGTCTGCTCAGCGTTTCGCAAAAGTGAAAATAACGGCGGGGCGATAAGGGATAATGGGATGAGAGGCGAGGGGCTCGAGGCGAAACGACTTGCTAACTCGATTACAAGGCGGCAAGTGAGTTTGTGTCTGTCTTTCCACACCGACCGTGTTTTTTGCCAAAGAATAACACGAACCGCGCAATTCCATCAGTTTATTTGGTCCCCATATCAATATAATAAAACCTTCTGAACAATAATTGTTTCACCGAATCGATCGCCTGAGGCCCCGACGTCATAGGTCAAAGGGCCACGCGAATTTGCATCAGACAGATCGATGCATGGTTTTCCATTCAACAGATACCTTGAAAAAAACTTTGATTTTCAATCCAAATAGACAACTTTTGGCTTCATAAAATTAATTCCGGATTAAGCTTTTGATAAGCATTTAGCTTAAACGAGTAAAAATTTTGCCGAGAATTATAGAACTGTACAATGTTTTGGCAGGAGTCATCTGTTTTTGATCAAATTTTTAAATAAATGCGGTTCTCATTAAAAAATCGCGATTATTCACATTAAAAAACCCCAAATTCTTATTTAATTACTTAAATAAAGAGTTATCATTGTATTGTAAAATGAAATAAGGTTTTTGATTGATTCTCCCATTATAATTTTTGGCACAAAAAATTACAATATCAAGAAAACGCATAAATAATTAAAAAATTAAATTTTTGTGTTATTCATGTTTTTATAAAAAAATTTGACTATGAAATGTTTATTCAGAGTTCAATGCTATTAAAAATGTAATAGAAAAAATCGGTTGAAAACAAAATAGCACGAAAAAATGTAATTCTTCTATCGACACAAAATGCAAGTTCTAATAATTTCATTCAAAAAATTTGTCTCCTTTAAATCTTTTAATCCTAACTTTTTAGCTAATTGCTTATGGTTATCATTGGCTAAGCATGACTATACTATATCTTATTAATATGTGATATGTTGTTGGTGTTGGTTGAAAGTGCGTGCAAGGCAAGGTAATAATACATAGTAAATGACATTTAAAAGGCGAGGCGAAATTGGACGATTCATCGAGCGTCATTGGCACACGTCGCGCCACATGAATATTCATCATCATTTTCCAGTGTCACGAATTGCGCACGTCTGTCCATCACAGGTATAGCTGTACCGAGAGTAGTTGACAAAAGAATTCGGGCCGCGTGCGACTCGAAGAGAATCCATCGCTCACTGCCGCTGTCAAGTGCGAAATTCCATTTGGCTCGCCCGTTCCACTCCGCACCTGCCTGAATGGGCCGACAGACAATTCACCTCTGACCTACGGAAAATCAATAGTCGGCACCGCCGTTTTCGCATCGAGAGATGATCAGCGCGCGCGAGTAAATATTGGATCGAGCCAATAAAAAAGTCTCTGCGGAAGGCGATTTTGATGTCCGTGTTTCTCGAGAAGCAGACGATTCAGCTTATTGCGGCTTGTTGTTATTTTGAGCTGACTACCAATATTATTTTATTTTTTTACAATGGTGCTCACGGCGTATAAAAATACTAGCACACAGAAAAACAACTTTTGTAAGAAGTTAGGAAATAAGTCTCAAAATTATGTTCCAAAAAGGCAAGCTTACTGGGTATATGATTGCATAACCAAAATATATTTTACTCTAAAATAAATTATAATGAAAAAATCTAGTAGTAAAGGTAATCTAAAAATATCATGTAAATCACGAATAAATATTTCATTATTTTAATTAAAAACTTTTGTATCATATTTTTTTAAATAAATCACAATAATATAAAAATAGTTATATTGTTATTTGTGATAAAAAAAGAATTAACACTATAATTTAAAAATTTTAAAATAAAAAATTTTTATTATTAAATAATACATTTTTTTTTTTAATCAATAGCCCCTGTACGTGAAAACTTTAAGGATTTAGAATGTTCAAATACGTAACATGTAACATAATAAAATAAGTAAATATTCAGTTGATGCACCAATTATGTGATAATCTTTGCTTATCATTGCCAAATAACTCCAGAATATTGCGGGAACAAAAAATTTATATTATACACAAAAATTAAGTGTTCAAGCTGAAATAAAAAAAAAAAAAAAAAAAATGCAGTTATTGAATTAATTTCTTAGACCCCAATTTTGAAAATTTAGCTAAAATATTGATTCCTCCAGTTGCTAGTTCCCCGTTGAGTGAAATCTTGAGAATTCTTTGGCAAATGACTTCAGAATAGCAGTGAGATAAAAAAATTATATATTAACAAAAATTAATTGTTCAAGCTCCAATAAAAAAATGCACAGTTATTGAATTAATGACTTAGACCCCAATTTTGAAAATTGAAACCTAATTATTGATTTCTTCGGTTGCCAGTTTTCCGTTGAGTGGAGTCCATACATATGTGTATAAGTTTACATTTTTTTTAATCAATAAAAGTGAATCCTACTTGATGGTTAAAAATTGAATCAGCTTGGAAAAATTTATTTGTTCCTTCTCGTTTCAAAATTTCTTTCACCCAACAACCGTTGATATTTCACTTTTGATCTTTATACAGAGATGTCGTAAACATGATTTGGCGCGAGGCAGCCGCTGCACTATTTTTCCCGGGAATTACTTAAAGCGGAAATCTTTTTTGATTCATAAAAAACCTGACAGCACCCAGCATACCTCGTAACAACAAAGCGCTAATCTGAACAAAGCAGCACGTGCTGGTGACAACACGTCGTTATCGCGTTGACGGCGGTTGTTTTATTCTTGGATTTTTTTTATCAAGTTGCAGTTCAATAATCTGACGAATAATGAATGGGATGCCGCCGACGCTCTCTATCAAGCACGCGGTGTTACGCATGATTCGTACTTAACAATTAAATTAATTAATAATTTTCATATTATTGAATGTCGATATAATTAAAGCTGCATTTTTAATTCATTCAAATAACAGTAAAAGCGACAAAGGCGTAAAAAACTTTGAAGGAGATGTTTGAAAATCTTTAAAAATCCAAATTAATCTTGCTGTTGTCATGTATACATATTTTATTTTTTGATTTTATCATAATTAAAATTAAATAGTTGTAATAAATTTTTTTCCATGATTTGCATTTTTTTAACCGTAACCCACTTGCTAATTTTATTTAGTCGTTTATAAGTATTTATTATTTTGAAAATGGTAATTGAACATAAAGATGATATATATAAAGAAAAAATGGTTTTATTAGAACTTTGGAGAATCTTAACATTGGCCGATGCGGTTGAATGCCCTGAGCAGCAAAACAGACAATAAACTTCTAATAATAATTTTCAAGGAGAGATGGACGATGTTGATTGATGGTTTCACTTTTACAAATTTTGAAAGTTGTGTGCGCGCCCGTGTCATATTTATATTTTTGACGGACGAGCATCTGGCGTGTAAATTTGCTTTGCCTGGACCGCGGCTTATCAGCGAGTGGGGACGTGCGTGAAACTGCAAGGTGCGTCCGGTGAATCGGCCGACGGGAGCAGCAAGGCGGCAAGGACCCTCTGCTCTCACCTTCCTTCAATTGAGGCCACTTGCTTAGTCTGCGTCAGGTGTCGAGATGAAGCTGCTGGTGCTGATCGCCGTGCTCGTGGCTTGCGCCGCCGCAGCCTCCACTCTCAATCAGGTACGCGCAAACAAACTCAAAACATGCACCTATAGTGCTCCAGAACTGTCATTATTTTCTTTCATACACACTCGAGAAGTAATTTCAAGTCTAACTGCTTGTTTGATTCAACGCCAAGAAAATATAAATTACTGCGCGCTGTTATTATTTAGCCTTGTGCGGCGTTTTATGTAATTTAGCACAGTCAGCGCAGATTAAGTGGAAAGTTTGTAATTGCAATCTAAGTTTTATAAAGCCGCCATTAACTAAAAAAAAAAAAATGAATACAAGTTAAATTTTTTTAATTAATATCTTTTCGGTGCAAGTTTTCACCATTTATATCTTTTGATTTTGATTATGGACAATGTAATATTTTTTTTAAAGTGAACGCTTTAGCAAAGCTTAACTTATTTCAAAGTTTATTTTGTAAAAATTTAACCGTCTATAAATGGTATAATTTTTTTTTTTTTAAATCAAGCCCTTATTTAAGTTTCCACTTCAATGCTGCAGGTTGTTTGATCAAAAAAATGTTGTAAAAATCCACAATTAATCTTTCTAGACTGATTAAAACCGTCCATGTTTCAAATTTGAGTTTTTTAGTTGGGAAAATAACAACGAAAATTTATGCATCCGATTTGCCAATTTTATTTTTGAATTATTTCAATAAATAGTTGTAACTTAATAAATTACTCTCAACGTATAATGTGAAATTTTGGATTTAGTGTATTTATCATTTATCAATAATTTTATTGAACATAATATTTTTTTAGTACATAAAAATAAAAAACAAACATATCTGATTTTGATATTATAACAGCAGGTTCTCCGCTGACTTTCTATTGCAAAAGTCAAAGGGTTAAGACGTTAAGAGATGACTTGCCGCTTAAGTTAAGCTGCTTTTTGTTTTCCGTCGCTAAACACAAACATCGTGTGCGCAATTTCCTTTTCTTCCAACAAGTATTATATCAGACGAGCGTCTTGATGAGCTGATGGCGATCTCACGTGCTCGCTCGTTGCAACAGCAATTATATGCAACTAATGCTCACTTTCACTGCGTTTAGATCTAAGGTTAATCTCCCATCTTTCAACAGCAGCAACTTGCGTTACTCCCGGCACGAAAATTAATCTTGCAATCCAGAGCAAAGAACTCGCCTTCCACCCAAAGGGAAATAATGATGATAATGGTTTGGAAATTAGCACCGGATTATCTTCCGCATTAGCAATTTTTTACGATAGGCGATTGCGGTTCGAGACGGTCCCATTAAAAGTGAAAGGCCGGCTAAAAATTTAACCTGCTTTTTATTATAATTTACATGCGAAATGAACCAGTTTAGTTCAAATTTTTTTATTCGGAGACCGCTCACTGATTTTCAGCGGTAAAACATGCTTGGTCTGAGAAAAGTGCAAAGGTGTCACTGGGACGAAAACGCGGTCGATTGTGCAGCCGAGTCAGCGACCAGAACAGTAAACTGGTCTCGTTGGTATATATTATTAAAGTTGTGAAACTCCCATATGTTAACATTGCAGTGACTCGGCCTCAAACATTCACATCAAAAACGTAAAATCCAGAGAGTAAATGGAAAACTTGACAAAGAAGCTGCAAGCTAGGATGTGAAATTTTTATTAAAGGGGAAGAAATTTTTTTGTATCAATTTTTACAAGATATCTTTAACACTCAAAATTTGTAATTATATGGTAAATATGTATATAATTAAAAAGTACTTATCAATATTATTTTTATATATTTATACAAGCGGTATTAAACAATATCAAAAGAAAATGTTTAATTAAAATTTTTATATTAACTAATACCGATTAATAAAAAGCTAATTATTCTATATTATCAAATATTTATACAACTCACAAAATAAATTTGTTTGACAAAGTAAAAACTGTGAAATAATTATGACATAATATGACGGTAGTCTTGACAGCTACGGACAAAGCAATTTAATGTTTCCGAGGCAATTCCACATTTCACATTCATTTCCCTCTTTTTTAAAGTACGCATGTTTGTATTTTTGTAGTTGCCACGCAGCAAAAATGTATCAAAGGGATCATTTCGTTGCAAAGCTCCGCCTGTCTCGCCGCAGAAAGTGGAAAAAGTCATCAACCAATGTCAGGACGAGGTCAAATTAGCCATCATCCAGGGTAAGAGAGGCAATTTTTATCTTTCCCACATCTCTGGAGCAATTTTCTTTCATTTGGGAGATGAAATTTTCTGCCCGCAAAGAGACACACGAATGTAATTTTCCTCTCTCTGAAAGGACTGGCTCTGAGTAGTCTGAGTAGCAGACATGATGATAGTGCTCTGGTATTTATTGAAATTTAATAAGAAAACTTGCAAAGTGAATTTCGTTTGAAGTTTTTAATTGAAAATGAAAGTATAATATAGGCAGTAAATTCAAAATAAACACTTGAAAAAAAATGAAATTACAGAAAATTGCTTATTCTAAAAATAAAAATTTTAATCAGTGCTTATTCATTAAATTTATCCTGAAAACATATACTTGCCTTTTTTCTATACCATTCAAAAGAAGGAGAAATAAAGAATAATTTACGGCCAATTCAAAAAAGAGCGAAGCCGCTCATTTAATTGGAGCGCACCTTATTAAGGAATTTACGAGAGCTCTCTCTTGATTTAATTTTTTTTCGCAGAGGCCTTGGAAAGCTTGCAAGAGGTGAAGGAAGAAGAGCAAAAACAGCAGGGCATTCAAAGAGTGAAGCGCCAGGTTTTCTCCAAGGACGAGAAGAAAATCGCTGGGGTAAACGAACGGCGAAATACTCACTTTCCACGCGTATTGATTCGCGAATTATTTTTTCAGTGTCTGCTGCAGTGCGTCTACCGGCAGGTGAAAGCGGTGAGTCACAAATCAATCCTAATTAACTCAAATCCATAATTCATTGAAAGCAAAAACGGCCACGAGCCGAAATTGATTTTGTGGCCAGGGAGAAATTGCGCGGCTTTTCCTGTAGCTGCGTGTGCGGATGGGAAATGTTATAATTGAGTTTTCATTCGGTTTGGCGCAGGTGGATCAGCTCGGGTTTCCTGAGACGCAGGGATTGATCAAGTTGTACACCGAAGGCGGAGACGACCCAGAATACATCTCTGCCACCACGAGAGCGGTCCATGCGTGCCTGGCAATCTCGAGCAGAGTTATTGCCGAAAGATACCAAGGTATACATAATATTGAATGGATTTATTTACAGCAAAGAAATTTACAGGAAAAGAAAGTATTTTTCCTTTCCAATGGTACTCATTTTTATTGGAAAATAAGTTCACGTTATAAAGAAAGAGGGAAATTTTGATGATTTATTTAAAAAAAGAAGACAAAAAAAGTAAAATAAATCTTTGACAAAATGTAAAAAGACCACCTAAGACTACTAAATTAATTTTTTTTTTTTGAAATTTTCAATTCAAACTAACTCTATCGTTTTCCTAAATTTTTTTTCGAAATTAATATTTATTTGTTGCATCCAAATGAATTTTATTTAGGACTAATGCAAAATTTTAACATATTTTAAGAAATTTTGGAGTTTTAAAGTAGTATTTTTTTATAATTTCATACCCTAGGTTAATTCAACTAACAGGAAAATAAAAACTTTACTTTATTTTTGTTTGGGATAGGATACTAAAAGCAGAAAAAGTTAGTAATGTCCGACCACAGAAGTAGATAAAAAATTTATATATGATATTTTTTACCAGAAAAACGCAAAACATATCATTTTTTTCTCATTTTATTGTATTCGTGTGTCTCTCCACGCTATTAATCAATTTTCAGAGCCTGGTCTTGCCTGTGATGTTTCATATGACGTGTTTGAGTGCGTCACCAACAAAGTTGCCGAGGTAAAGTGCTAAATAATTAATCTAAATTTAATTGAAATATAAATTCGTCTGTGTGCTTATAATTTTAATCAAATGATTCCAAATAATTCCAGTACTGCGGCACAATTTGAGCGACGGGAAAACTATAGGCGGACTTGCTTTTCATCTCATCCGAAGGAAATTGATTCTTCACGATTGCTCTCTCACATCTCGATTGACTATCGCTTATTTCACTTTGTTTAATATTTATTATATTGTGTACCATTCTCGCAGATATTTTTATCTGAAATCAAATCGTGCTCGAAAACATTTCAATTTCACATTCAAGTTCCTTGGTTAATCTATGAGCTGCCTTTTGATCTGTTACAAATTGCACAAAGCAAGTGAATTTTCACCTTAGAAGCCATGTTGTTTTTAATTAAATTTGAACAAATGAAAAGTTACAGTAACCTTTTATTTATTGTAATTATACCCACACATCCAAAAAACGGGGAGACCTGAAAATAAATATACAGTTCTGCACAAAGATTTTTATGGTTTTTCAAAAATACCACCGACTAAAAAAATGGGAGAGAAAATTAATTAACAAAAACACACTACGGAACGCACAAAAGAACCTTCAGAGTTGCTAGTTGCACAAAAAAAAAAACGAAACGCGCTGAAATGAAATGCCATCAGCGTTGGGTACAAACTTTTGCAAATTATTCTGCGGAACGAGAGAATTGTTTCTAAAAATAGAATCGTGAACACTCAAGAGAGCAAATTCCAACACTTGCTGCTTTTTCTTGTGAAAAGTCTTCCCAGATTTGAATTTTGTTACGCGAAAGTACATACATACGGCTGTTGTAAACTTATTTGCATGTTCTTGCTTATTCGCGCCGCTGGCTGCTATACTTGTTGTTTTTCTACACCTTCTTCAAGACGCGCGCTGCGAAAATGTGCTTTGCTGAGAAACAAGAAGGCTTCTGTTTTCATCGTGTGCGCCAGGCATGCTGTGTGGGTGTGGGAAAAGTCACTTGTAAATACAAAATTTGAGGTAAAATTGAATGTTTTTTCTCCAAGTTCATAACCGATTGCGATTTCAAATAAAAAATGAGCACATCTGTTTTACGGAATTGGTAAATGATAAAATCAAAATTGATTTTTTTGGAAAGATATCAATCAATATCAAAAAGACTATTATTTGTTGAAAACCTTAATGTAAAAAGTTGGATGCTTAAGAAGCAACTCTTGAAATTAGGACCACAACTGGTATATAATATTAATTATTAGCATCTTTATTATAAAGAACAAGGAAGTGCCACTTGTTTTCTTACTACTTCAGGATTCAATATAAAATGACGCTTTACAAAAATCTTCCAAAAGTCAAACCACTATATTGAGAGTCTCTTCTGTTGCTCTAGAAATGGCTTTTCCCGGGGTTTACGACCGCCATTTTTCACGGCAGAATCAAGCACTTTTCTTTTTAATGCTTTTTCTCCGGTTAGCATATTCAACGTCGCGTGGACGGAAAATAAACACGCGGTGAAGATGAATCGTAAATATTCATCACAAACTGCAAGTACTCGGCAGAAATAAACTTGTAAACTTAACGCCGATGCAACTCCTCGCACGTGTCAATATCGCGCAGGTCGGGTTTTATGCAAATTAGATGTTGAAGATGAAATTGTCAAGGACTTGTTGCAATTGCGAGAGAGAGTATGTATATAGGAGATTCGTTTAGCACGCTTTGCTTCTCCTTGCGAGCGGATGGATTGGATGGAACGAAGCTCGTTGGTATTAATTTTACTTTACTAACGTTGGATTTAATTTGCACTAACAACTGATACAGACATAAGAGATATGACCTCTCGAGTAGAGAGTGCATCTCCTGCGGACTCCCAGGAGGTAGAGAAGTAAAACGAGCGATTACTACTATAGAAACTAGAAGAAAATCCATAACCTGACTTTCAAATAAAATTATTTGATAAGATAATTCACATTAAAATGCATATAAATATAATTAAAACTAAAGAATGCATCCGTTAACCAGTTTTTACAGGCTAATTTTTACTCATAAATATTTGGTCGGTATCCCCAAATAATATGCTATTTTTATGGATCAATTTGGTTTTAATCTATGCTTCTTTTTGGTCAAAACGACAATGAAAAAGCGATTAATAAATTTTCCAAGGTTATATCACTACGATTGTTGAGTGCGTGCACGACGAATTTCAATAAATCATGTGTTCTCTCAAGGCCAATAATGATTAAGCTTTTGACGTAAATAAAATTTGCGTGATTAACTGACGCGTGTGAAGGGCGCTAATTACAAAAACTCTCATTTTGATAAAGGACGGGCGAGAATATTTTTGCATTTTCCTATCTAAGAAGATAAGCAAACGAAGTAAAAATTGGAAAAAATCTGATAAAATTAAAGAGCAGCTTTAATGGCTACTGCAAAAAGGTTTGTTTCCTGGAATACGCCGCTTTTCATTCGCCCCATTTCCTCCCACCAGAAAAAAAGGAAAATCTTCTTATAGCACTGAGTGAGGATTTCCACGCATTTCTACCTGGACGAACAGGAAAATCCTATTATGAATACATTTTTTATTTTCGACGAGTTGCTTTTTATTTATGAAAAAATTCTGGGAAGAGTTTTTGAAGACTCTCACAACGATAAATTTCAAATGAATGGAAAATAGTAATAAATAAACAAAATATTATTTCCATATAATCTCAAACTACTCGGTTTTCAGTAAAATCATTTGGCGAAAAGCATGAAAATAAAAAATCCTGTTAACCTTAATTTGAACTATAAGTATAAGCATAATCGAGAAACGAAATTATTGCTGCCATTTTCTTTTGATGCAATCCTCCCTTTAATATACGCCCTTAATTTACAATAAATTATTTAATTAGAAGTTTAAAATTATCCTACTGGACCACTCTAATCCAATCCAAAATACAATCCACAGCATAATTGGTATACTAATGCACTTTTAAGCAGTAATGCCCAGCCGCAAGGGGTGAAATCTAATTAGTACGAATTACGTTAATTTTAATTTGAGTTGATTAGAGCTTTATTCTAACTGTGCACACTTGTCAGGCATAATTGGAAAATTGGGGAGAGACAATAAATCCGTCCCAACCACTTCTAGTCGAAAGAGCAATTTTACGGTTGACTTATTAATTAAGTTATTAACAAGAACAGGAGGCGAAATGAGCACCCCATTATCTAGAGACAAGACGGCCGAGATTAGAATAGGCAGATAAAAATTCATAAAAGCCGCCGCGGGCGAATAATGTTGGGGGCTAAAGTACGAGTGGAGTGAGTCTTTGTGTTTGCGTAATGCAAATTAGGAGCCATTAGGCTGGGCTCTCTCTCTCGCTCTCTCTTCGTTCTCTCTCGCCACCTACAACCAACTGCAAAGGTAGAGCAACGGGGATTGGTCGGGGCGAATCGATAGCAGTGGCTCGGTGGTGGGCGTAGGCTGGTGCTCTATATAAGCAGGGGTGGTCGCTCGATACCCCAGCAGTGGCACTCGCAGCACCCCAAGCGCCTCCACCTCCCTTGCCTGCTGCAAGAAGAGCGCATCCGAGGGCGCCCTTTAACGCACCACCAATATGTTTAAATTGCTTTTGTTGTTGTCCAACGTTTGGTTCCTGTCAGTGGCCGCCATAGACCTGACCAGGCTCGGCTTCTACGGCCGCATCACCTCCAAGCGCAGCAGTGAGTTGCCCAATTCAAACGCTCGTTTCTCGCTATATTACTTCACTTTTCAGCCTCGAGCACTCCTCAGGGTGGCGGATTGAAAATTTTTAATATTCTTATCCATTTTCCTCAAAGCTTTTCTGTCAAAATTTCAAAAATTTCCTCCCTTTTCACTGGCTGAAAATCGGTCCTGGTCGGAAGGGACTTGTTGAATACTCGGTCTAGTAGAAGAGAAGAGGGCTATATAATTTTATCCTGCGTTGGTTGAGTGGAGCTTTTCTCTCAGGATACTGAAAGTACTTTTTTATCGCATTAAATACCAAATTTTCACCCAGACAAATCGTGCTCGTTGATTTCAATTCTTAAAGAATATTTTCTTTTCGTGTGCTAAAAGAGGTTGCACACGGACGCTGAGCACGGTCGTAAAAAGTACCTCTGTACAAATTGAAAAGACTTACTGCGTCGTAAAATTCATCATCTCTCCTCCTCGTAATGACTAACGAGCAAATTTTCACAAAAGTAGCGTCTCTGATAAGAGCCAACCAAGCATTTGCGGAGCTCATTTGAAGTGTCTGGAACTTTCGTGTGGTGAATATTAAGAGAGAAAAGTCTTTTCAACCTGCACATCTTTCTTTGCGTTTGTTCTATTTCCGTCTGGCCTTTTATGTCTCCTTCATTAAAACTAAACAAGCATTGCCGGTGCTTATCTAAACTCTTCCCAGAGGAGTTGAGGACCGTGTTTTCATACAAGAGCCACTCTTTTTTTCTAATTTAAGAGTTGCAAGTCGCATCTTTGTTCCAGCGACGATCCGCCACCTTGATATTATTCCTCTTCTGCATGTTCTCCAAATTGCACCCCTTGTCCCACATTCTACCATATTATTGCACACACGCACCACCCGAAAAGCAAGCAGACTTAGCAGACGTTTAGGAGTTTCCTTCTTTCGCAGCCACAGGTTTTTTTACGACACACGTCAAATTGGTCGACGGGCTGTCAATTATATGGACCATTAAATTCTGGGCGCCAAATTTCCCTCTTTTTATACACCCCCTTAATTCAGTTGAATGATTCACCCGGCAAAAAGTTACTAATTGAACCGTAATAAGAGCATTTTTATTTTGTTTCTTTAAGAAATGCGATACATTTTCACCATTTTTCAGCTTTTACTTGACTAGAGAAGTAAGTGAGCAGTCGCCGCGTAATTGCTTCCGACTTCGGTATCGCCGTTCTGACATTGCTATGCAACCGGCCGCACTCGCGTGCAGAGCGAGTTGCTTAAATCAAACTCCGATACACAGCCAACAAACGGGTTGTTGAGTCGTTGATTGATTTCCTCGACTTCCTTAACCGACCGCCGTCAATTCGAAAAACATTACTGTGATATTAACTTAAAAACAGTTCTGAAAGTAATTATATTTCCGGCTTTTATACGCTTTCAAAAAGTGTGTCGTTTTTGCTCAATTAAGACATTTGCAGCCTATCAAAATTTAAAATTTAAACGTAATATTACTGCTTTTTTATTTAAGAAGACGAGTCAGAAATTGATTCAAAAGTAAATTTTAATTATACTTCAATAAATTTTGAAGTAACTTCAGGAAAATTATTGTGCTGGAAATTGCATCATTAAAACCAATTCCAATGTATCGATGAAAGGAGTATTTTAATTTTTTTTTTGCAACAATACAAATTGTGAACTGCTTAATAACTTTTTATAATTATTAAAATGAAGAACAGTGGTCATTAAAATTTCTAATTGTTTTCAATATAATTGCAAAAAATTGCTCTTATTGTTGTAAATACTTGATTTAACTATGGCAATAAGGTGTCCTTAATTATTCGCATGTGATTACTAGACTGCCTGCTCGTTTTGCCAGCGATTCGTGCAACCCAGTTATGAAATTGTGTGCCGTTGTCATACTTCTCTAATTGCGCATGAATCTCTTCCCGAGAACACGCGACGAACTAAAATAAATTGCGTTGGGTGAAGGAACTACTTTAGTTGCATTCTCTAGGAACAAACTGGTAACTTGCCAAACATACCTTTTTAGTCAGAAGGCACATTTAAATAACACGCGGTTGACCCCGTGATTGCGTGAATGAACAAATTTAATCCAGGCGGCGTTAAAACGGAACCCACGAATGGAATCGACATTTGGCATTTTACAAAAGCTTTTTATCAGTCGGCAGGATCGTCACATTTCTACTTTGCCCAGCTCATTATTATTCTATATTTCCACTTTCGGGCAGGTCGAACTATGCACGCACTTTTGCCCGGCGGCACTAACGGCGCACTTGCATTTTTATCGATTCGGCCGCCGTCTGCTATCACGGCCCTTTTGTTTTCCGACCAAAATTTGCCGGCGGGTGTGAGCGCCGTGCCGAAAATCGTCGGTAATTTACATTTGGCGCTCAATGCTCCGCCCGAGTCGTACACGTCTGACGTAATTTGAATTTTAAATTTCCATCCAAGCTTTATTTCCTGAGAAGAGCTCCCTTGAGTGAAAAGCTCATAAATTATTTCAAGCTTTATATAAGGTGTAACGTTCTGGGAAGCCAAGAAATTCCTGTTTATTTTTATTTAATTTTTTTTAAAGTGAAATAGAAAAAAGAATTTGTTTAAAAAAAGGTCTCGGCAGTAAAAAAAAAATTAATCTTAAAATGCATTAAATATGATTTATTTGGAAATTGATTAACAATATTTCATTATGCTCCAACCTCCAACTAATAGAAAGTTTTAAGTAATATATTAAATTTAAAAAACAAAAAAACCCAAAAAAAACTTTTAAATCTGCGATAAATTGCAAAGTTAGCAAGCAAGCCATTTGTATCAGTCGAAGTGCACACTTAAGAGTAAAAATTATTTATCTTCTCCATGAGCATGAGCAGGATGATTCAGATACATCTAGTTTACATTTTTGTATTAGTTGGTGTAACTTTTATAAACCAGGTATTTTTTTAGAAATTTTGAATCATTCCTTTTAGCAAATCCTCAAAATATTTTGTAATTTATTTTTTAAAATAAAGCTAAAAAATTTCATCAGCAGCAGATTTAATTTTCTATTTAATAATTCTTTGAACTCTAAATTCAGGATTTAAAATTTCCCCTTTGTATAATTATGTGATGGCGCATCCCTTTCAATAATACTTTTATGAAGCTCTTACATGAATTGAAATGAAAAAATTTATCACAAAGTTATATGCAGACTATTATTTGCATATGAAACTAGCCCTCCCATGCTAGGCACTCACTTTTGTGCCGCGAGAGCACTTGAATTTTTCTCTTTTTGCACGACCGCTTGCAATTTTATTATACGTAGGCAAAAAGGCTCGCGAGTTTTCCGCTTGCAATATAATTGAGGTTGCGTGTGTGTGCAATCCCACGAGCGCACAGTAGCATAATTTGCACCGTTCTTTCTTTTTCGTTCCATTGTGTGGCAGCACATCAGCACAAGCAGCACCACTTTGCACGCCCACGCGGCAATTTGCACTACTTCTCGTTGTATTGTCACCACCCGACTTGATTTGCCCGACCCTGCTGAGGTGAGTTCCATTAATGAAATGACCGTTGCAGACTTCGGTTTCGTAGACTGCAGCTGGGAAGTTTTCTTGTCTGTCTGCCGACTGTAGAGAAGTTCCATCTTTTCACAAATTTTCTGCTATCGACACAAAAATAATGCTATTCAATAAAGCAAACCAGATTATCCCTTCATATACAATTTAATTAAAATAAAATTAAGAAGTAAAAAATCAAAATTTATAATTCAATAAAGATATGTTTTAAATTTTCAGGACCCATTCTTAGGTTTTAATTGTGTTATTAATTAACAAAAGTATGGAACAGTTTCAAAATTTCAGATGATTTTTTTTTTAAATTTAATGTTCTTCTCTGGAATTGAATGTATATGCATAATTTTTGGGTTTATTATTAATTTTAGTTTCCGTTTTCCAGCTGAAAACTGTCACCCGTATGAGCCATTCAGGTGTCCAAACGAAGAGTCCAAGTGCATTTCGATCCAGTATTTGTGCGATGGCGCCCCTGACTGTCAAGATGGCTATGATGAAGACTCGCGCCTCTGCACTGCAGGTGAGCTCCTTTCATCTCTGGTTCGCCTCGGGGTACAATTTACAGCAAAGATCAAATCAAAGCAAACTCCACTCGCACACAATGGCGTACAAAATACTAATGGAAAAGATGAAACAAATTTTAACCTTCAAAAGAAACGGAAAAAACTTATCTCTCTGTAAATAAGTAAATATTAAGTAATGCTACTTTGGCCTACATCATTATTTGCCAGAAATACACAAAATCCTTCTTTTAAAAAAAAATATAATTTTCTCGACAATAAGGATTTTTTTTAAAATAAACATAATATTGTGGATTCACTTTTTACATTGATCCTGAAAAATAAAAGTCAGGAATTTATAATCCCATAAACAAGATTTTTTTAATGATCGAGATTTATTTCAAATTTATCTTATATCTTAGATTAGAAGCACACAACTCTCGTTTTTTTTTTAGCAGCATGCTTTCCGCATTGTAAATTATGCATCATTTAATTTTCCACGTCACTTGTTCATAAATTCCGGAGAGATTACGCGCGGGGAATTTCCTTGAACGAATGACACGCGACCTAAATTTTTATGGCATACTTGACGCCTGAACTTTGAAACGAAACGGAGTTTCGCGTTTTGACGTTCCTGGTTTGTGGGGGGAATTACAATGCCCTCAAAATAAGGTGAACGAGAGTGCTCGTGATGAAAATGAAAAAGGCTTTCGGCGCACCGAGATAAGTTTGAGCCCCAAGGCAGCTTTAAAACGGATTATATAGAACCGCGCCCTGTGAGGCATCATCGATCTGTTTATAACGCGCGCCGTGTGTTTTTCAGATAATAATGTGGGGCTTTGGTAAAAGCACAAACAAGGGAAGGTAAACAGTCTTGATTGCAATTCCATTACCTGAGCTAATTTTGTAACACTCCAAATCCAGACTCTAAAAGCAAAATTTGAATTTATTTTCTCAGAATATTATAACACATATTTTTTGGAAAAACTAGAGGATTTTGAGTGTTTTATTAGATTTCGTACAAGACAAGACTGCTCTTGAAGAAAATTTACTGCATAGCAACTCATCCATCTTGCTCTCAACATATGTAGCTTCATAAACATTGTCCCGAGAGACCGCAAAAGTTTATGCCAAGGGCAAACTTGCTACTTATTCATCGACGGCTGCTGAAATTCAGGCAAAGCGCATTGCATGATTCATGATGGCACGTCGCTTCTGACGTCCAGTCTCAATCCTGCATGCTAAACTCTGGCTTGTTTTAAAATTTAAATTCTAATGCACTTACGTGCTGGAAAGGTTGCGGAATGCAGGTTAAAATTTAAAAACTCAAAAGACTTTTAAGCTAGAATGAAAAAGTGGTTTCACCTTTTCTGAACTCGAGATTAAAATTCGCGATGGCATTTGCAATTTTCGACTGCCGCGAATTAATAACTGCGCAGCAGGCGACAATTTAATTTTGCAACTCTTTTTCCTCAATTAATTTATGCCGTGTGGTGTGGAAAATGGTGGTGCTCATTAATATGCAGCGACCCATTAATTTGATCGCACTCGACGGGAGGCGAGAACAACACAAATTTAATCGCACTTGAGCGCCTGCCGCGGGTTTGAATATGCAACCCGCAGCGCTCCTTGATCAAAAGCTGCTGCAACAGAAGTTATAGCAAATAACACGACGATTTCCAGTTAGAAAAATAGCTTTGATAATATACACTCGGTCTCTATAAAAAGTATTTACATATTTTCCGTTTCTGGTTTACAGAATAAAATTGGCCACTTTGCAAAGAGGGTTTTCATTTATTTTCCGAAACACAGAAATCTCATTCTCTAACAATGTGAATTTTCGCAGCAAAACGACCACCTGTGGAGGAAACGGCGAGTTTCTTGCAGTCACTGATTCAGAGTCACGGACCAAATTACCTGGAAAAACTGTTCGGCTCCAAGGCGAGAGACGCCCTGGCACCTTTGGGAGGAATCGACAAAGTGGCAATCACACTTTCGGGTAAAAAACAACTTTTTACATTGGATTTTGGCTGAGTAATAATTGATGAAGCATTTTTGGGGGTTTGAATTTTGAGCCGGTACAAAAGATAAATTTCAATTTTCAACAGAGTCGCAGACGATAGAGGATTTCGGAGCAGCTTTACATTTAATGAGATCTGACTTGGAACATCTGCGCTCCGTGTTCATCGCGGTCGAGAATGGCGATCTCGGAATGTTGAAATCTCTTGGCATCAAAGATTCAGAGCTCGGCGATGTGAAATTCTTCCTGGAGAAGCTCGTCAATACTGGCTTTCTAGACTAAAACAGGCAGAAAAGGAAAAGCGTCAGTTTAGAGAAATGTACCTCGTAGAGAAGAAAATTCATCAAAAATTAATTCGTGGTAGTCAATGGGTTCGGTTGGAGAAGAAATTTGTTTATTTCATCTAGAAAAGTCAGTGAATGATTTTGGTTTTATTGGTTTGTGCGTTGCCGAGATACCAGAACTAAGAGAACCCTTATATCTATATCCATCCATCATTTAAAAATATCTCTCGAAAAGAATTGACGAATCAAAAGAGGAGTGTTTTTCTGTCCTGTCTGTGTAACCTTGGAACCTCTGTCAATTTTACAAAATTTGTTAAACTAAAAGCCAAGCAACACGGTTTTCTTCTATTAGAGAAATTATTATAATTAACTCGTGACTTATTGACAGCTAGAAATATGTAATTTGGTAATTACGGTAGAATTGAATCACGTTTATATTAATTTTGTTGTCAGCGAAAGTGGTGCAAAAATTAGGTAGCCATTATTTTTGTATGTATAAAAGAGCAATACACCTATTTATCAGCGCGCATAAGATTAAGGATAGAGTTGGAGCAATGGTAACTTACAGTACATCAATGATATCGATTTGAATCACATTAAAACATACACACACACGCAAATCCATTCTATCTCAATGTTTAACGTTTAACTCGGGGAAAATTACTTGGAGACTTTTAAATCGCTTGATCTCTACTTAGAATGAAAAACGCAAAAGAGCCACTCGTACTCGCTTAATATGATTTCAATCAATCGCGTCCGTCGCTAACTCCAAGAAATTTTCCTAATCAAGACTGACATGGTACGCAAAATATGAAATATTTTGAAAATATTATATATCACACACACACCTTAATTAGAATGAAAATATTCTGCATTGCTGTTACCAATATACTTATATCAAAACAAATATTAGTGTACGAATTTGGGACCGCGGGAGCTTGGATGAGTTCGATGGCATCAAAAATACCACTACGCGTTTAGAAAAACGTTCTTTTTCTTCTACGTAATATAGCATACACATTAAAAAGTATTATTAATAATTTATAAGCCATACTTAGATTGCGTAGTCATAAATAATAGTAAAAAATTATGAAGCGCAAAATGAGTGATTGTTTTTCACAAAATCAGAAAGGATGGTTTGATATGGTTTAAATGTGTTCTGTGATAGTAGCTACAAGGTTAAAAAATGCACAGAAGTATGTTGAAAGTAGAGCAGCGGAATTTAAAAAAAAAATCTTAAAATTTCAGCAAGCTATTAATTGTTTCAATTGAATTTGGCGTTGACCGCCACCGATTGGCCTAAAAAAATTATTTCTTTTGGCATGTGTGGAGAAAAATTGAAATTATTTTACTTTTCCTCGTCTTTAACACTACATCAAGTGAAAAACCATACTGTCTGTCAATTTTTCAGGTATTGGGCTTTGAAAAGCAAATGGTTAAAATTAAATTTTTTATTTCGCACACAATCAGTTGCGTGAATTATGCAAAAAATCTCTGAAACCTCAACGGCGATTGAATTTTCTTAACATTGTCTGACTCTCAACTTGACGCGCGCCGCTTCAATCAAACGACGTTGAGGCAAAGAGATTTTCAAAGTGTACATCTAATATTAATTGAAGTTGGGCATAAAGCTGAAAAGGAATTGAATGTATCATGTGTGATTAGTTTTATTTTTAATTTTCAAATATATGTGTTAAAATAATAACGACTTTACTTCATTCACCGTCTTTCCTTGTATCACACACTGAGCAGGAGAATTCAACGCCAGGGATTTCAAAGAATCAAGGATTTTTTTTGTGATACTCTCATCTTGATTTTATTATTCGTACATTCTCTTTTCAATATACATTTTTCTATTTTTGTCGGGAACGATTAGACGTAAAGGATCAAAAGGATGTGGAATCGGATGGATTGGGAACTCGGCTACATTAATTTTTTTCACTGGAAATCTTTTCCCCCATACATTTCTTTTTTCTTTTTTTTTATTATATATGGTGCTTTTTAATTATTTTTTTTCTTTATCTTTTATAAATTTCATGAGACCCCGGTAGGTGCGCTATTTTTTATGTCCTGAAACATAAAAAATATTATCTCGAAGCACTCACTTACCTCTGGAGTCATGAAAGTTGATGAGGATGATACCATGGAGACTAATTTTTTTGTCAGTATTACACAAGTACATAAGAGCAACACCAGATTCGGGCTAACTTTTTTGACCTCGCAATCCCCAGTGAATTTATTAGATAGGGGAAATTCTTTTATGTGCCCAAATTTCACATTAAATTGACGAGATCTTCTTACATTGGAAATAATAATTTTTTCTTTGTGAATTAGATTTGCATTAATCGTACAACCTTAAGAAAGTCGCTAAAATTACTACAACGTCACAATCCTGACGCTTCATTAAACACGAAAACATAAATACGGCGGACCGATTGATAAAAATAAAAACGGAGTTTGTTTCAAAACTAAACGACAGTCATCGAAAAAAAAGAGTGACCAAAGTTGGAAACAAATGAGCGTCTCTTGTCGGAATCAACCAAGCACACTGTGAGGCGCGTCTCGAGCCTGTCCGTAAATCCTTTAGTACGGCGAGAAATACGCCATACGGCGGAAACCCCTGCAACGAGATCAAATTTTTTTGTTTTAGTCACACCGAGCAGCAAATTTTCTATGGCAACCCTTATTTAATTTTAGAGATATTTTTTAACTAAGTCGATATGCTACGCCGAACCTTCACACTTTTCATGCGCGAATTTAAAGTTCCAAAACGATAATACTCATGCGAGAGACTTTCAAATGAAGTAGAGACAGCTTAATCTTTAGTGATATGATAAGGAAAAATCAGCAGCAAGGACGAAAGGATCAAGGAGGGAGCTGTGGTCAAATAAGCAATGGAAAAAGGGGCGTCGTTTGTTTGTTTTGCAGCCAAATAAGAAACAACATTTAAGGTTTCCATAACTTTATTAGAGATGACCACAGTTATTGATTTTTTCAGTGTTGTCATTTTTTCCAAATTGTCAGTCATCTCCGAGTTGTCCACCAATGATAAAAAAGTAAAAATAACGAATGCAGCACTAGTAGCTGTGGAGCAATAAAATGGTTTGGTGCGAGAGTTAATCAAGTACAACTTCATCGTCTTCAACAACAAAAACCCTTTTTCCATTGGTTATTCAAACAGAGTGTACAAACAGAGCAATCATAATAACAATTAAGAGACAACTTAATCTTCAACATCAACAATAATTATCATAATAAGAGGTGATTCACCATAATCATCATCATCAGTTTAATATTATCTCTGGAGTAATTAATTGTATAAATATGAAACAACATGGCGTTACAAAGTAGTGCTCTAAAATGTGGCAAGGGTCGATTTATCTTGTAGCTTGTATAAAAGGGGGTTGTTTTTACATTGCAGTTAGTTGGTTGGGTGGTTGTGTCCGTTATTGTAACAAAAGTTTCATCTTTTCGATTTTTTTTTGTTGGTAGATAAAAATTAATAAGTTGCTCTCCAAATGCGTGTGAATCAAAATCGTATATATCAATATAACTTTCTGTTTTTGTCACTATCAAACAAGCCCCTGACGATAATAATTGTTTCATTTTTCTCAAATATGTCTGCGTTTTCTTTCACTAAGTATAGTAGTTCAGCCTTAAACAAAGCAGCTAGCCCGTCTTGCGCGGCGGCCCCCCGATAATATACCAGGGTGTCCGGCGAGCGGGTGCCGCGGTAGCTTTTTTTAAGGTCAGCACCAAAACACATGACTTGACTGGCCCAGGGGCGCGCGCAAAAAGTAAACGGTTTTGCCGACGACCCTCCACAGGGCCAATCATAACAGTTCTAAGATTTGCTTCATCGTGTGTTGTATAACAAGAATATGCGATACAATTAAGTTTATTGGATGACGAGGAGGAGGAGAAAGTAAAAGCAGGCGCACATTGCCGTAGGTCGGAAAAGTCTCTCTCGGACCCCCAAAAGCCAAGGGTCGCTTCAAAATATCAGATAATGGATGGAGGAGGGAGTTTCGAGTTCCACGACACAACAGCTACGGGAGGAATTTCGCGAGTGGATCGCTCTGCGCCAATCCAAAGCGTCTACTTGCTAATGTGCACTTGCGACAAGGAGAAAACGGTGAAGAAGTATAAGTCTAGTAATAATTATTTTCGCAAAGACAGGCCGCCGGCCCGGACGAGAGGGTCTGGCCGGCCGGCCGAGGCTTGGCAAGATCAACTAGATTCAACTCTGCCCACACGTAGCCTTCGTAAAAAGACATTGAGCATTTCAGGTGCTTCCTCTGTTCGTGAACATTGCTTAAAATCTTTTGTAGAGGTAGCGGATATTCAACATAAAAAAGTGAACAGCCAAAGTGTGGGCATTTCATCTAACAGTTAGAGACAGGAGCGTGTTTGTTGATTAATTCCATTTTCCCACTAACGAGAGATAGATAAAAATAGTACAGCACAGAATTGTATTTTAATTACTTATCATTCATCGTTTGGGGCGTCTGACTTCATAAGTCAATGACTCGGTATAATTATATTGGAGTTGCTTTTTGCTTTGACTAGATGCGAATCAACGCAGTTAGTTGACACACTATTACTGCCAATGTGCATCTTCCATTCGAAACAGAGAAAATTAACAGCAACTGCTCACTTTACAAAGAGAGGGATTATTTAACTTGAACCAGGGCACGGCAGGAGAGAAGTTGGAAAGCGGCAAGGACCAATTTTAGTTTTCTGCTATTCCATTCAAAATAAGCTCCACGTGTGTTGTTTTACCAATCGTCCTCAAAATTTGCTCTTATGCAATAACGTGCTCTAGTCATAGGAGACGAGTGTGGGTGTGTGTGTGAACAAGAAATATAATTATCTCCACATACAAACACTTTACGATATAAGGTTCTTGAACTACACAAGCATTAGGAAAGTAGTGTGTGTGTGTATGACGACAGCAACAACTGTGGAATATTACTTTTTTAACATTGCATCGTCTTAATTTGTCGAGTAAGAAAATCCGACTCCTGCTAATTTGCTAAGCGGCAGTATCGTTTGATTAATAGAATCCTTATAATCCAAGAGAAAAACAACAACTCCGTACGATTGTATTCAAATTCAAATAATGTAACAACACTCCTTGCACGCTAGATTACACAAGGTAGAACGCAATGTGCAAAAATAAACACGACAACTTTGTTAATAATTATGGCAGTATAAAATAAATGTGGAAAGTCATCATTAAAAGTTGCTTTCTTGGTTTGCTATCTGTTTAGTCGACGCAGCAGCACAGAGAGTACCTCGGCGCCTCTCCCTTCCCCGCTGGGAAGAGACGAGCAGCAGCAATGGGTTCTTCAATTATCATTTTAACTACTATACAAAAACGTTCAACGTAGGGTTGAAAATTACGACGGTGAAAATCGCTTACATCAGTGGTAGCATTTTAAGCTGCAGTCAAGCATGGAAGAACTATCAGAGCTCTGGAAAGGCCCTGAACCAACCAGAAATGAATTTCTAAACTACCTGCCAGGTCACTCATCTGGCATCAAAAGAATAAGAAGACAAAAGTACAAGCAACCCAATGCCTGATGCAAAAGAAATGAGAAAAATGTGGTTGGTCAGGCTTCCAGAGCTCAACAGACTAATTGTTCAATAGCGATTTTTTGTCGTGTCGGAGGAAGATTGCTGCTGCTCACGTGTGCGTGTCCCTTCTGCTTCACTCGGGTAGCAGATGGGTCGGCCACAACGGAGGCGCAGAGGTGGCCGCCTGTCAGTGAGGGAACTGTAGCCCCAAGGTGGGTGGCTGGTGAGGGTGGTACTGAGCCATGATTGGCATCACTTGAGGAGGGGGCGCTTCTTGTGCAGGAGGCGCAACGTACCTTATACCCCGACCACGAATGGCCCCACGGTAGCCCATGAAGGCCGGTGCACCTCGTGAGCCGCCGCGGCCGCCACGGAATCTGGCTGCCCCCATGCCTCTGGGAGGGCGATCAGTCTTGGATAGGCCTGGTCTGTTGGTTCGTTTTGGCATCACCTGCAAAAATATTATCTTAATTCACTAAGTTTCTAATCAAATAAAATTTAAAAAGCAGCATTTCCTTAAAAAAAAGATAATGTTTTCACTTTGGGTGCAATAAAAAAAAAAAATTAAAATCCAAAACTTATTTAAAATGTGACCCAGGCAATCAAAACTAAGAAAAACATTATTTGTTCCATGATATGAAAGTGCCTGTTTGCATGAATGTATAAGATTGATTTCTTCACTGAAAAAAATAGCCACAAAAAATGAAAATGTTACTAATCTCAGGTAAATATTTATAATACACAATGCGCTATGGTTTAATACACAAGAAATCCTCACCTTGATCTGCCTGCCACGGAACAAGCTCTCATCCATGGCCATGGCAGTGGCCACGGCCTCTCTGTCAGCAAACTCAATGTAAGCAAATCCTTTTGGGTGTCCGTCATACTTGTTGCACAAAATAGTGACTCGGTTGACACTTCCACAGCCATGGAAATGCTGTTCCAGCTCTTCTGCGGTGGCTCCGTAGTCAACCTAGAGATTTTAGAAAAAAATTGCATAACCAAAACAGATAAATTTTGATCCAAATTAAAGAAAAAAGAAATGAAACCTACATTTCCAACGTACACAGACCGAGCATCAACCTCCATTTTTTCTTCCACAGACAAGTTTGAGGCTAAATTTAAGTAACATTTAGCATATTAACTAGTTTATTAGATAGGGTGAAATACATACCTCCTGCTGAGGGGCTGTGCATTTTCATCTGTTTGTCCACTTCACTTTGCAACTGCTTGAGTTTTTCAGCCTCCTCCTCCATCTCCCGAACTCTGGCCTTTATAGCTTCCAGTTCCTGTCAGAATAAAACAAAATTAGGAGTTTTCATTTTGAGAGCAACAAGAAAACTTACGGCATCGTCGGCTGCTCCAGCCCCAGAGTCATCGAGCAGCATGTCAGCCCCGTTGCCTGCCCCGTTTTCCAGCCCCTCCATGTCGCCCATATCTGCCTCTGCCGACATCTGAAAGCAAACAGAGAATGACTATGCACTCGAGAACATCCCTCGTGCTTATCCGATTAAAGTTCAATCGCTTCTAATTCAATCGTTCAGCCCTGCGGCATACTGATCATATGTTTGCAATGTCGGAAAGTCGATCGTGTTATTTGGTTACGCCCTAAACGGGACCTTCTCAGACTTTCGCCGAAAAAAGTTAAATTCTTGGCTGAAAATCTGAAGAGCGTCGATAATTTGAATAAAAAATACTTAATTCCATTAGTAAAACGCTATAAATTGTGCAAAATATGCAAGCGGACGCCGAATTGCATGTTTGCCATGGAGAACAGAGGTGCCGACTTTTCACAGCGACCGGGATTTGCAAATATTTTGCAAAATTATGTCTGCAGCGGCGGAATTTAAAGTTCATTCGCGAGATAAATATCTAAAGATTCATCTAGGCTACTAATTACATTCTAATTGAGTAAACAAACGCCGATGTTTACAGATTAAAATAAGACAGTTCAACTTTACCTGTGATTTTCTTTGCGGCAACTTGAAGGGCTACCAACCAAACGGAGTGGCGAAACGCCAGAGCCCGCGACCGCCCAAGACTTGCGTAAAAGGAAGCATGTTTGTATTGTGTCAATTGTGTGCGAATTGAAAAGCGAAAAGATAATGAATATTTCCAAGATCGGTGTAAAGTGAAGAGATATTTTTCAAACTTTTTAACGTTCAACGTTGAATTCACCTTTTCAAATGAATTTCCCTTTAGTTTTTATTAAAAAATTTAAAAATTTCATTGAATGCAATTCGCAAAATCAATGATATTTTGCAAAGAAGTTATCATCATGCATTGATTATGAACTGAACAGTCATAAATATATTATTACATACTGATTATTACATGAAAATAAAGCAAATTTTTAATTATATTTTATATTTATTCCACTTGAACCAATATACTTATCATAATTATACCCCGCAGTTTTATAAAATCATAAAAATTTCATATTTTAGTATTCACCAATTTTATTTTGATTTCTTTTTTAAAAAATTCAATTTTAATTTGATGTACATCACACTTACAAATGGTCAACTCCTTAAAAAAGTTTTTCTTTTCTCTCCAAGAAAAATCAAATTGAAAAAAAATTTATATATAAAGACAAAATATTTACAAAAATAATTAAGCTTATTTTCTTATGTTTTAATCCTATTTCGGTTTTTTCAATATTGCATCCTGTACTTGTAGATTTTTGTTGGCATTTTTTTTCAAGGCCTTTGGCAACATTTAAGTTTAAAACAGTTCATATGAAAACATTCTCGTAAATATATTTTACATATTTTATGGCGTTGATTTTATGTGTGAATGATAAAACATGATAAAAAAATATTTATGGCCATTTATGGTCAGACGAATTGGCAGTGCGGCACAAAAAGGGACATTCGTCATTTTACTAATTTATAGTGCATTTTTGTAAATGTTTACAGACATTTTAGAAAATTTGAAAGAAAATAATAGATTTACAGTCTCTTTAGAGCATTGAGCAAGTTTGATATGGATAATTTTTCCTCTAGGGAATAAACATTGTGTTACACCTGATTAAATAAAATTTCTCTTGGTGCCTTGGGTGGGTGCAACGGAGTCAATAGGGCGAGCTAGGCTGGAGTTCTCTTTTGAAGGTGCTCATCAGTCCTTGGAAGTGGCCACTGTTGTGAGTGGGAGAGTTGCCTAAAATCATTACGTCCCCACTGGTGGGAGGCTGCTCGATGTCACTGCACTCGAGACTGCTTCGCGGCGGACTGGAGGGATCATCGACGTCCGTCCCAGGAGAACTGAGAGCTGTGCCGTAGTTGTGCACAACTGCGCTGCCGTTCATACTCTGCGTGAGTCCTAAAGTGGCGGACCCATTGGGGACAGACTCATTCGTAGCCCCTAAAAGTAAAAAATAATATATTGATGTAAGTAAATTTAATTAAAAATTCCATCCGGGGAACTAGTTTCGTTTTTGCAGAAAAAAATATTGTGTCATGTTTATGTTAAGATACAAATTTTTCTAAGGAGGAATATGATTATTTTGATATTATTAATAAAATCACAGATTTTAAGTAAAAGGAGCTTTTAGCAATTCTAAGTTTTATTTTATGTCAAAGAAAAAGTTGAAAGTAGAAAAATGTAATTTAAATGAAACAAACAATGTTGAAAGTTGAACAAGCAAGCCACATTATTAAATGACAAAAAAAATTAAGAACAAGAAAAGAAAAAGCTACATTTTAAGCCCTTGTTGATTTAATTTGGGTTCAAATAAAAATTACCTCCAAGAAGCATCTCCTGCAGAAGAGAGTCAATTCGAGTAACGCCAAACAATTTGGCAAACTGGATTTGCTCAATCATCTGCCAAGTGATGGACTGCAGTGCCGGGAGGGTCAAAAGCAGCTCCCCGAAGCGGCCTCTTGAGTTGTACTGGCGATCACTGATGTAGTCCTCCAGGTTGATTTGCACCTGGTAGCGCATCGCCTTTATCCGCGCTGTCTCATTCAAGCCTTTTGCATCTACAAAATTAATAAATTGATTTTTTAGTTCAATGCAAAATATTTAATGAGAAAAAATACTCACTTGGATCAAAAAAGACTATCGCTTTGAGGCAAGCGAATTCTGTGTCGTCGATGTTGGCCTCTGCCAAAGGCTTGACCAGCTCGTCCATAACTCTGCAGCCAACACGGCTAATGTCAAGGTCTGAAGACATTCCAGACTCTGCAAAAATTGATTTGAATTAGTTAATTTAAAATATTCATGAATAAAAAAAAATTAACCTGCTGGGTATTTGGTTATGATGCAGTTGTTACCGAGCAGGAGCACCTCCTTGAGATGAAGGGAACGTCTCGCAAGGCCCAGAAGAAGATGTTCACCAGCGTGCGCCCTGAGAAGAGCCACTTGGTCGTCCAGGGGCAGCTCGGTGAAGGCGGGAATGTACTTGGCCCATTCCACCAGCATCAGCAGCTGCTGTTTCATCGAGTCGCACACGTCAGTGATGTTGGCGATTTTTCTGTTTGAGATCTCATTTTCAGTGCAGTTTATCTAAAAAGTCAAAATTAAATTATTGCGGATCTGATATAGAAATTTCCAAATGTAAATAAATATTTACCTCGAGGGCTGCACCAACTTGGCGTGAGAGCAAGTCTGCGTTTTGGAGTGAAGCCACCGAGAGACCATTTCCGACGGAGGACTCGTCGTAGCTAGGACGCCGACAACTTATCCTGTCACGCTCATTTTGTACGGCTGAAATAAAAATTGTTAGATATTTTTTTTAAATATTGCATCACAATAGATAATATACCTTCTTTTTTCATGCCAGCTTTGAAGCACTTTCGCAGACGGCAGTATCTGCATTGGTTTCGCTTGTCCTTGTCTACAACGCAACCTCGACTGAATCTGTAGGTCAAGAGATAATAATGCTTTTTGAGTACTTCAGTTATATTAATGATAATTATATTGCTTAATGCAATAAACTGACTCATGCATATTTAAATTATGAAGTAATTTTATGGATAAAAAATAGCTTATTAATGATATTATTTCAAACAATTAAAGATTTTAAACTTTCTTAATTCAAAATAAATAAAGGTAAAATACTATGAACATTACATTACTTTTGCTGCCTTTGGTTTTTTAAGTTTAAAAAAATCAGACGATATAGCATACATTTTATAATGCCTTTAGTGAAGTAACAGCAGCACATTTATTTATTTTTATAAACATTTTATTTTTAAATTGATGAACAATACGAACAATTAGAAATAAATTTTACCTTTGCTTTAAAGTCTATGTTTACATTCAAGAAAGTTATTTTATTTTATACTTATTTAGTCGCACATAATTTCAGACAAGTTGAAGCTGATCAAATTCATAAAGCTTAAATAAAAACTTTAAAAAACTAAAAACGGAAAGTTAAAATAAGCGTATGTAAAAAATTGAAAATTCAAACCTGCAGGTGTACAGGTGATTTTTGCGGACGCTGCGCCTAAAGAAGCCCTTGCAGCCGTCGCAAGAAGAGGCGCCATAGTGCTTTCCAGTGGCCCTGTCACCGCAGATGGCGCACTGCTGTTGAATCAGACCCTGCGGAGGGTTGCTCCCTGGCGAGTGCACCTGGCCGGTCGGCGAGGACGAGCCGCTGTTCATGATGGTGAAGTTTCCCAACTCGGGAGAATCTGCCAAAATAAAAGGCACATTTTTCAAATTCTGATGAAATGGAAAATCTTTCAAGTACGCGGACGTGACTCGAGAACCGAGTCAAAAGAAAGTAAGTGCTTGGCCGGTTTGAAGAGTTTTTCGTCCAGCATTCTGCTTCGCGCCGTTCCACAGAGCATCATATAAAAATGCAGTTTGCTCCAGGTTGAAATCAATTTAATTGTCCATCAAATGAGCCTCTTATCGCGGCAACCCGCACTTAAATATTAAATTAATCGTGGGTGGACTTTGAACTGGCTATTTTTGCGCACATCTTTTTCCCTTCACGCATGAGGTGTGAAGATAAAAATCTACTGCTCGGTAAACAAGGCTGATCTTAAATTTTATGATAGGAAGACTATTCTGCCATCAAGATTTCAAGTTGTGCGCGCGCGAGAGGCCACTCTTAATTGATAAATTAATTCGGTTTTTTTTATCTGACAAGCAAATTGAGCCGCCAAAACGATTAATATATGCGCAGACACATATTATAGAGATTGTTTGTTATCTATCTTAATAATAAGAGATCAGGGGACGTACGGTTTATCACTCTGTTCTCCACGAGGTTCTCTTTTCTTATAAGTCTTTAGTCACCTCTGGCGATCCTTGCGTAATTAAATGCCAATTATTTTCCACGCATCCATTGTGATAAAAGGCATAATAATATTAAGTGCATTTAATCAAGGTTTTACAATCGTCTAGCCCTTCTTCACATTCTGCTCACATGATTCTGATAAGATTTTCGTTATGGTTTTATTTTTATATTTTATGAGACATGAAAACTGGAGAGTTATAAAAATTGCTACTTTTAGCTGCTCCTATCGAGAGTCAAAATGGTTACACAAAATTAATAATTATTTAAAAAAATATTTCATCTTAATTTTAGTGCTCGCATCTTCCTTGCATTTGGTTGCTGAGAGCAACAGACATAAATGATTTATTTATACATAACCATGTACAATATTGAAGTGACTGATAAGCGAACCCGGATAGCTTGGTCAAAGGTCACCACGAGGTCATCATGCATTATCACGTGTGTCAAGTGTGGATCCAGCAAAAGACAATTATTATCGAAGAGGGAAAAAACGACCAATTTTTTTCTGTCAGTCAGGGAGCAGGCCAACTTAAATAAAAAATATAACAGCAGAAAAAATTATCGTTTGCCGCAAGATCCTGATGCTGAGCTAGTTTTGAAGATTTACTTTGGAATCAATATTCGTCGCAATTTATATGACAAATAAATAAGATGAAAAGTTTTCAGAAGAGGTCAAAAAAGTCAAGTGGAGATTGTTGTTAAAATAAAAATAGGATCATATGTTGAGGGAAAAAAATTAAAAATTTCTGCATCAACGCTGACGTGACTCGGCGAAAATAATGAGCAGCAAAGCAAACCTTGAGAGCGAAAAAGTTATAGTTTGGGGTTGTTGATGACGAATAGCGAGGCAAAGTTATTTGCTGTATATCTTGCCAAGCATGGGAGCAATGCGCTGGATGCCAACCTCGCACACTCTTGTTATCTCGAGAGACATCAGACAACACACACGGAGGATTGAATATTTTGCAATTAAATACTGGGGCTTTGCATGTCCACCACAGCTGTGTGGATGTGTCAACGCGGGTACGGCAAAAACCAAGAAACGATAGTAGTAGAAATAATTAAAATAATACATGAGCGATCAACCGGCATTAAAAAATCAGATCAAAAAGTTATAAAAAAATTTCCCATGTAAAGGAAAAACGAATTAGTTTTCTAAAAAAAATCTTCTGACAATTTTCAATATTTCTTTTTAACAAAAAATAATTATTTCAATATTTATTGTTCGTAAAAAATTACTTTCCCCCGATTTTTTTAGCAGTCAAAATAATAAACAAAGTGTGACAGATGGCACAAATTTTAACTGTGTTGCAATTTTTTCTTGTGAAAATGCTCGTCGGCAAAATTTCCGCGGCAACCGCAAAATCAAGCGAGGCGATGAAAACATGCGTCCGGTGCCCACAAAGCCATTCATGAAAAACAACGTATTTTTCCTTACCCGGGTTTGCTTTCATGTCCCACTGTCCGGACGGTACGTACGAATCGACGTAAAAGTTGCCGTTGAAGTGTTCGGCGGCGTGGTTGAAGAAATCGGCGGTGCAACCGATCGGCGGCATATTTTGCTGCTTGTATGAGATGCAATGAGAGCACACGTGAAAAACCAAGAACGAGTTGTTTCAATTCTGTTCTCGTCCGCGCACGAGCTCTGCGTGAATGAGACTGTAAGGCCCGCTCCCTCGCAGTCCAAGCCGAATAAAAAGTCGAGTGACGTCACACTTCTGCCAGAGTGACTAATTTGTCATTATTGCGAGCCGATTGTTGGGATTGTGATTGGAATCTTGAATGATGCGGCGATTAGGGTTTTCTGGACAAACACACAACCCCAGCGGGGAGAGAAATAAAATGATCTCGCGCTCTGCACTTCTGCAGTTGGGAGGGGATGAGTCACGGTTGCTAATTGATTTGTTTTGACCAGAAGTTTGCTTTTGATATGATTTCAATTTTTTGCTGCGTGTTTCTACAATTCCAGTAATAATAAAATTAATTATTTAATAACTAAATGACATATTCTTATGAAATTTTACTTCCGAAATCATTTTTTGATTAACTATTAATTATATTTTATTTATATCAAATATTTAGTTAATTGAAATAATTTTATAAATTTATTTAATTTTTCATTGCTACTTTTTCAATATTTTTTAAAATTAAATGAAATATCTGTCGTTTGTTCGCCTACAATCGCCTGACGCATTCCATAAGAGAATTAAACTTTAAAAAAATGCACTGATATTAAAAATAGTGAAGATTTTAATAACAATAATAATTTTCTGCATCAAGCAGCTTCAAATTGTCATAGCATTGAATTTTATACGTAATCCTATTTTCGAACGTTGCATCAATAAAAATTGTCTGTTATTTGAATCAATGTAATGAGAGTATAACTAAAAAGAACTGAAAAAATTTAATTGTTAATTATTGTTGATTACAATTTTTCTAAAATAATATTATCACATATTAATATACTGTTAAAACAACACATATAACTGGTCATATTAGTAAAAAGTCTTAAAAGAAATAATAAGTGACCAGAAATGAGCAACCATAATTATATGATTATTCTTAGCTCTTTGCTGGTGATAAATGCAGATAAATTTTCTTTCACAGAAAAAAGAGCAGTCGCAATTAATTTCAAGGATTGCGAGTGAACTATGACTTTAACAAAGTCAGTTTTTCTGATAAAACTCGCAGCAAATGCACACATCCTTTTGGCACACTTCCCGAGCATGTTTTCCATAACGAAACAATGAGAATAGCAATTAAAATAATGAATGCACTGTTTGCAATTTAAAATGTTTTTTTTTAACAAAGAGGAAAAAGCAGAATAAAATCGTTTCATTATTATTATTATTTATTTTGCAAAAACTGAAGACACGAGGTTATATTCAGATTCAGAGTTAACAAAAACACCTCTCGTTTCTTGTTGCGAACGAGAAATTATCTTTATTGCCCTTTACAAAGGCGCAAATAATATACCTGAAAACAAGTGCAGTGTTTGAAATATTCACAAAATCGCAGCGATTGATTTACAGCGGCTTTGAACGCGCACGACCACCGCCAAGGACGAGGGCATTACTTTTCTCAGCCCTTATCGCGGCACCGACTCGGAGATAAAGAAAGAAACGCAAGAGAAAGAGCCAATCCTCAAGCACGGCGGCCTATCGAAAATCATCATGTTTTATCTTTTATTATTGATTACATTGACGGATCACTTGTGCTGCACACGTCAAAAGCAGCATAATGGAAAATAATTTCTACACTTTTCTCGTTGCCACGAAAAATTTTCAAAATGATTTGGTTGCCGACTTAATTAAATTTTTATCATTTTTTTTCTCGAAGGGCGCGTATCTAGGATCAGGAGGTGACGGGTGGGTGCATCTTATTCAAATAGATAAAAAGATAAATATCAAGATGGGGAAGAAGGTCAAATACAAAGTGGAATAAGTGGATGACCCTGCTTTTAACATTACGAATGTGTGTGCATTTGTGTGTTATCGAAGGGTTAGAGCACGTGATAAGTCAGAGAGGTTGCATGATCCCATCCACTTTTTCGATCGTTCGCCGGCAAAGCATAATATATTATAATGATTATTCAACTCGCAGCTTTAATTAATTACCCTCCTCGTCTTTGAACGAGGATGCCTAGTAACAAGCACATGGTACTCCGCGAGCTCAATTTTTCTGCGATTAAAGAAGAAGAAAGCTAAGAATACGTTTACAAAATATCCGGTTAGACTTTTTTTCAATGAAATTTTAATTAAATTTCAAATAATTATTTTGAAAGTTCTTCTTATCTTAGCAGGAGATTTTATACACGTGTTGTATTCTGCAAAAATGCCTTCAAAACCGCGAATCTAGATAAAAAAAATTTATAGTGATAAGTGATATCAAAAAGTGTTGCAGCCAGTCAGCGAGTGCCAGCAGTAATTATATTGGCATTGCATAACCCCGCCGATTTAACATAGCAACGCCCAAAATAACCCTGCCAAGGACGAGAGAAGATTGAAAATTAAAAAGTCAATAACAGTGGGACGTTTTTTACTAGAATATTGGAGAATAACAAAAGAAGAAGTTGTCTCGGCGGGCGTACACAAAACGCTGTTCGCAGCGAAACGAGGAGACTTTCACGCGGGAGAAGGATGTTTCTCGCGGAAACACAATCAGCAGCAAAATGCGGGCGGCTCAGCGAATTCTTGACGATCTACCTGAGGCAGGCAAAAAGCGGAAACCGCAGATTTGCTTGATTTTTTTTTTATTCTGGATGGCGCCGATTTGCTAACGCGTCTGGCTGAGCACCGAAATAAATTCAATAATTATTTTGTCTGTCGACGTTTTCGATCAACATTAAAAGTTGTGACGTTTATTGATTTCGGCCCGAAATACTTATTCCGGCGGCCCGTCATTGTTTAAATTGACACAGCGATTGAGTTTGTTTGCATGAATGTGTAAGACGGGAGAATTGTGCGCTTTCCGAAATGATGGTCCGACTGATGGTTCACGCGCGCAGCGGCTGATAATACGACGGGCAATATTAAAATCAAATAATCCAAAACGCTGTATGAATTAGTAAGCAGGATGGCAGGATCTATTTTGTGCAAATAAATCAGAATGATAAACTAATTAAACACACAAATGTTTTGTTTTCAACCAAATCATTGTTGGTTCTAGCAAAATAAATATTATTTATATCTTTAAATTAACATTGGGTTAAAAAAATTATAATTTTTATTATCGTGAAGCATGAAATTGTCTTTTTTCATATACTTTAGGTAATCCAATAATTAAAATTTGCTCAATATTATATATTAAATTAAATTATTTTACTGACGCTGCATGATTACTTTTGGGGAAAATAATAATTATAATTTGGAGGATACAAGTTATTTTAGCTTCATTATTACACAAAAATGTCCTAAAATGAACTGATTTGTTTGAATAATTTAATTCCAACATAATTGTTAGCACTATTCATGTCACAATCAGTAAATGATAATATAATACTGTGAATTTTTTAGTGAATTTCTATATTTTTATTAAATATCTAATAGAATTGTTTATAATGTACATAAAGATAATTGTGAGAAAATTTCATTATTATATATAGTTGTGAGCGAGATTAAGACATTTTTGTAGTAAAAGGCTATTAGGGGTACAAAAATCAGCAGAGAAATTAAATTTATGCAAGATTCAATAAAATATAATAAGCAAGACCTACCGTGGACAGTGACAATACTGCCGGAGCCGTTGGTTACAGACGAGTTGTGGACAATGACGGAGGGCGAGACACCCTGCTGTTGCTCCACGGTGACGTTGACGTCCATGGAGAGGGGTGTGCAGCCAAGGGCTGCCCTGCGTCGCTGCGGACCCTGGATCATGACACCCTCTGGCGTGGAAAGGTCATCTGCAGAGGCATCCTATCGTGCCTCGAATGGGCCGTCCAGCTTCTTGGCCTGTGGCGCTCCCTGCGGTATCGCACCAACTACTGATAAGATGCGAGAGCCGCCGCCGCCGCACGCTCACCACTCGCACGACCACGGCACTTTTTCGACTAGATTGACATCGTACTGCGATGGATACATGGAATTGGACCCAATTTTCTCGCGACTTCCATAAACATCTCTACACCCATCGATCCGATAAAACTCTGCCTAACACGTTTATCTTTATCGTGTTTCTTGACCTTTATTTAGTTTTTATTTTGTTGCAATAAAAATATCAAAAATATAATATGCTGTATATATAATACAAGCATGCACATTTTTTTTATTGTTTAAGATATGTTAATATTTTGATCACAAATAATTTTTGTTTTACAATAACTTAATAAATCTAAAAGTTAATTATAAAATTATATTTATTTCTGCTGATACCTCCTAACCCCTTTTTCAACTAAATTTCACCTGGGATACAAAACATGTTTTTTTTTTTAAGGTTGTAATTCCGTTATTGTTTATATAATGTGTTGGGGATGTGTTAATTCACTGCTGCAAATATGTTTTAGTTATTGAAAATATTCAATTATATGTGAATTTTATTGAGGGCAAAAATCGGATATTTTTTCATTGTTATTTCAACACTATACATATAATTTATTTGAAATGGAGACAAAGTCATCAATTTGACAAAACCTTAACTTGCTAGAACAAAAACATTTGCACTTTTGTTTTAAGAACCCTACCCAACAATTAGAAAATCAAATCATAAATTGGCCTGCTGCCCCTGTTGGTCCTCATATCTGGATAACTCTAGTTGATATTGATAACGCAGTTTATCCTCAAAAGCCATATCCTCTCAAACTTGGCCCTCTCCTCGATGGATAATTTCTTCCACTCGCTGGAGACAATTTTGTTGATCCTCTTTGGCTGAGGATCCATGTCCTTCAGGTCTGCGCACCTCTCTTTGACCTGAAGTAGTTATAAGCAGTTCGTGGACCAACAACTGGAAAAGTCAAAACCACAGGCTCTTCTACAGAACCTGCAGCCTGTTCTACTCTTGCTGGCTGTTTTTCTTCAACAGGCTCACTTTATTCAGCTGGTTCTTCTTGCTTTTGAACATCCTTGTTGAAATTACTGGCTTAAATTCTTCGGCTCGAGCTTCAGTTTGATCCTCCAGCTTCTGGTCGGTACTCTTGGTTGGAGGCAGGTGGTGAACGATGAGTTGCGGAGACACGTTATTTTTCAGCAGCGCTTCTCCAGCTTGGGCTTCAGTTTGTTTGCCAATTTGATTTTCTAGGCCAGCAGCAGACTCCTAAATTTTTAATAAAAAACATATTCATTCCCCAAAGCTATAATTTATGTTATATTTTGTCTCTCACCTCATCTTTAACCATTTCAGCTACTTGAGCCGGATCCTCCGGCTTCTGGTCCTGCCGGGTCATTTCTCTTGGTTAATGATCGATGTGTTCCGCAGATGTGCGAGGTCTGCTGCTGCTCTTCACATTGAAGAACATCACCGTCTGGCGAACCGTCTTCATGGTCATGCTGATGAACTTTGGCACTCTCTCTTGCTGACCCTCGTCATTTTGCAGCAGCGCTTCTTTGGCTTGGGCTTCACTTTGTCTGCCAATTTGATTTTGCAAACCAGCAGCAGACTCCTAAATTTTTAATTTAAAACATATTCATTCCCCAAAAAGCTATGATTTGTTTGTCTCTCACCTCATCTTTAAACTTTTCAGCTACTTGAGCCGGATCCTGCAGCTTCTGGTCAGGGTCATTTTTCTCGGACGGTTTGCATTGCTGGTCAATGTGTTCCGCAGCTGTGCGAGTCTGCTGCTCTTCATATTCACCGTCTGGCAGCGAACGGTCTTCAAGGTCATGCTGATCAGCATGAACTTGGGCACTCTCGTCTCCCTCCTGCTGACCCTCCTCATTTCGCAGCGGCGCTTCCTTGGCTTGGGCTTCACATTTACCGCCAATTTAATTTTGAAAACCAGCAGCAGACTCCTAAATTTTTAATTAAAAACATATTCATTCCCCAAAAAGCTATGATTTGTTTGTCTCTCACCTCATCTTTAAACTTTTCAGCTACTTGAGCCGGATCCTGCAGCTTCTGGTCATGGTTATTTTTCTTGGACGGTGTGCGTTGCTGGTCGATGTGTACTGCAGGTGTGCGAGTCTGCTACTGCTCTTCACATTCACCGTCTGGCAGTGAACGGTCGTCATGGTCATGTTGATCAGCATGAACTTGGGCACTCTCATCTCCCTGCTGACCCTCCTCATTTTGCAGCAGCGCTTCCTTGGCTTGGGCTTCACATTGACTACCAATTTGATTTTGAAAAATTTTTAATTAAAAACATATTCATTCCCCAAAGCTATGATTTGTGTTATATTTTGTCTCTCACCTCATCTTTAACCATTTCAGCTACTTGAGCCGGATCCTCCGCCGGCTCCTAGCTGGTCCTGGTCATTACTCTTGGTTGGTGTGCGTTGGTGCGGTCGATGTGTTCCGCAGATGTGCGAGTCGGCTGCTACTCTTCACATTGAAGAACATCACCGTCTGGCAGCGAACCGTCTTTTATTCATGGTCATGCTGATGATGAACTTTGGTACTCTCTCCCTGCTGACCCTCGTCATTTTGCAGCAGCGCTTCTTTGGCTTGGGCTTCACTTTGTAGTAAAGCGCGCTATGCACAATAAACCTTAATTTATAATTCAAATAAACTTCGTGCAAATTAATCTTTACTCCTCATTTTAATTTTGGAATAAGTTCTGGATTGAATTTAGCAATTTTAATGCGATGACATCAAATTTTTTGTAAAATTGGGAAATTGGGAAAAAGAAATTGAATTTTTAAAAATCATAAGCAAAGCTTGCGTGCACAATATACCTTACTTTATGATTCCAGTAAAATTCTTGCAATTTTATCTTTACCTATGATTAAAATTTTGGGATAAATTCGGAATTTAATTAACAATTTTAATGCAAAACTATTTCAAAATTGAGAAATCGGGATTTAAAATAACTCGTAGTTTGCTACAATTATTTCAATTTTTATAAGTGATCATAATTATCAGTAATTTTTCTGGAGATCATAAATTTAATGTATATTATTGATTTGAAAACAATAAATATAATTCAAAGAAAGGGAATATTTTATCACGTTTGAAATTTACATTTCAGAATGTGAAGGGTTCACAGCATGCGTGTGTCACCAACAGCTAGCCTAATTTGATACGGAAGATGATTACATTAAACTCTAAAACATCCGCTAAAAAATTGGGTTATGATATTTAGGACAAATTTTGTTAATTTGGTGGTGATTTGAATTTAAAATCGCCTTTTCCTCGATGGGTTTTTGTGAGTTGTTTATCATTTCAGAAAAACAATATCCTGCTCTACATGTTTCGGCTGCGGGCTGCAGCCATAATTCATGAGCTGCGGAAACATTTTGACAAAAATTAGTACAAAAATAAATCTTTTTTCAAAAATTATTTTTCTTTCAAATCGACAATTTTCCGTGAAAAAATTATTTAACTTAATCTTGAAAAAAGGTTTATTTTTGTACTAATTTTTGTCAAAATTTTTTCGCAGCTCATGAATTATGGCTGCAGCCCGCAGCCGAAACATGTACAGCGGGATATTGTTTTTCTGAAACAATAAACAACTCACAAAAACCCATCGAGGAAAAGCCGATTTTAAATTCAAATCACCATGAATCAACCCTCGATCGTGAAATTCTACCACAAAATTGTTAATTTGGAATTACATAAGATTGAAAGATTTGAATAAATGGAATTTAAAATGAAAACATCTAAAAAAATATTATATTTTACTATAAAATGAACAGAAAGAAAAAAAATATCGTAAATAAAAAATAAATTGACAATTGACACAAAAAGTCAGTGGCTGCAAAAATGAATGTAATTCTAAAAAGATATAAATGCTCAGAATTGTCTTTTTTTATAGCTTCCTGGGCCATGATAATTTCCCGTTACCAAATTATAACATCATTTTTAGCTGAATCATTGTGCATCATTAAAGAAATGAAGCATAAAAATCTTTATAAACAATTCACGAACTAGCTGAAATATGGCGAGACATCACCGACGAAAGGGTTAATGTAATTATGCTGCACTCGAGTTTTATTGTTCCAAAGTGTTAGCCGCGCGAGGCGCGAATAGAATGGACCTGAGGAGAGCTAAAGGTGAGCAGCGCGCGTAAACAAGTCTTGCAACGCTGGGAGTTTCATAAGCGCCGCCGTCGCGCAGCCAAGGTGCAGGGCGGCCTTGCTCTAAAAAAGAAGCGCCTTTGATAGCCGTACTTTCATATTCGCGCGAGAGAAGCCAGCCAGTTATTTGGCTGCTCGCTCACTTTGCTTTATTGCCAGGCACTAAAATTTTGTGGCCCTTGGAGCTCCTCTCGCGGCGGGGGAGTAGGTAGGTGGTGCTCTTTTTATATTTTCGAAGCAGTGCGTGCCCGAGCCGCGAGTAGCTCGCCAGGGAATGTGTTTATGTGTCCCGAACGACGGTGGATGTTTTTATTCAAACGCGTGTGTGATCGGGCTGGTGAAAAGTGACAGTGCCCAATCAATCTGCTTCATAAACAGAACAATACACCACAGGTCTTTGTTATGCACTTTTGAGTATTAATTTTACAATAATTAATTAATTTGATACTATATTTTTTAAACCGCATGCTACTGATTTTTAATTGCAATGAAATTTAACGATTCCAAAAATTATTTAATTACTAACTTTCAGGTGTCTTGTTAAAATTGTTTTTATCAATTAATTCATTTTCTATTAAGTTAAAGTTTAGAACTTTTTTCTTCCTGCGTCAAGCAATCTCATATAAATATTTACAGCAAACGAGCATGATTTTTTTTCATTGTTTTCTGTTTTGTTACTTACGTAACGTTTTCCAAAATAAAGTTCAGTATGAAGAAGGAACAGATTTAACTATACTAAATTTACGGTAAAAATTAATTTAATTAATGCATTTCACGTTTTTTCTCCATTGAAAATGTTTATGTTCAACATAATTTACTGCCAGCTTTTCATTCAAATTTTCATTGCAACTGTCTTTCCGAGATTTACTTGTTATTCAGATTTGTTTCATTCTTGCAATACTATACCTCCTTACAAATAGCCATAGTATTGTTGATTTATAAGTTAAGGCATTACGCTCTAAAACACTCTAAAAATAGATAGACACAAAGCGGCTTTTGTTGTGCAACGACACGTTAATGCTGTAAGAAGTTAGCGCCTCGTTTTACATTCTTTTTCTGTACCGACGCACGTACGTTCAGTTTTTAAAATCTCATGTGCAATTTTTTTTTTCCTTTTAAAATTTAAATTTGCAAATTTTTTCACCACCATATAATACGCTTCACACTCCTTATCTATCAGAAAAGTCACGCCACCTTAATTTCATTTAATAGTTTTTTTTTGCTAATCAGCAATCAGCTCTCCGCACGTCACTTCTTACATTCACGTGAGAGGCAACTGTAACGTGAAGACCTTGGTAGTCGATTTAACTCTGCACGTACCCCTGCCATTCATGACATAGACTACCCCCATTGCAACACCGCCCACCCAGTTGCATACCCTCCATTTATGAATGAATAAAGGCAAGTGGGGGTCGCGACTAAGCCGGTCTTAGCCGATTTCCATCGCAAAAATTAAAATTCAATTTATAGTTGTCCGCCTGATGTTTGCGGTGCGGCGTATTTTTGCCAAATTTTGCGGAAATCGGAGCGTGGTTTGCGAATTTTGCTGTGTGTGTTGGCAGGCTTGCGGGCGCCGCGACTGCAGCCTCGAGAGAGTTGGCAACGTCGCATATTCAGCTGTGCGTAAAACTGTCAGAGAGGAAGCAAGAAAAAAGAAGGACGATTGGAATACGAAATAAATCGGCTAGTTTGTCCGTCCGAGCCGAGTGACAGCGGCGATGGCAGTACCCTGAAGGTGACCATGCCCTGAGCGGACCGAGGATGCCGGTGGTGCTGTTGGACAGACTACCCCTGCCCTCGCTGCCCGCGTACACAGCGGTCAGCGTGTCCCTGCTCGCCTGCAGCCTCTATTATGCGGCCCAGAACGCCCATCAACTCGACTTGGAGCGACAGCCGCCCTTGGCCGAAGGACAACTCGACCTGGCCACCCTGTGCTGGGTCTTCGGCAGGCGATGCTCGACAATTCTCACCTTCATGATCCACGAGCCCTTCTGCATTTGGGTTCGTCCAAATCAATTGCATTGTTGTTGGTCTAGATTTTTATTCTGGTTTGGCCTTGCAAAAAAATTTGACTTGAATTTTGGCACTTTTGAAATTTTCTTCAAACCTTTTAAATCTTATTCTCGTGAAAATGTATAGTAAATTTAATAGTAAAATTTACACCGATTTTCAGGATTTTAAAAACAAATTTTGGTGAATAAAATCTCCAATACAAATACATAAATAATTCAAGGTCTTTGACAAATTTATTTACATACGAGCTTGTATTTAACATTATATTTTTTTAAGCGTACAAAATTTAGCAGAAACGTTTGCAAAGAAAAATGAAACTTAATTTAAAATTTTTATGTTATTTAAAGATAATTAATTTTGATAATTTCTTTCAATTTAATTTAAATTTAACTGGAAAAACAGCTAAGATAAAATATATAATTTTTTTTCCTAACATGGATAAAAACTTTAAATTATTCCTCACTTATTTCTTAATTTACTTTTCACTAAATAATTATTATGTAAATAATTTTCGCTAGCTTTTTCTCTCTCGTAGCAGCAGTGAAATGTTTTTGCGTCTTAAAATTAGGCCGTTGATCTTTGACCTGTGCCTTTCTTTGCAGCCGCTGGTGAACATGGCCTACTGCGTGTTGGTGCTGCTGGGAAAGTGCATCCAGAGCGCCGTTTTTGGCGAGCTACGCGTCTCCGAGAGCAATGCCATTAAAGACACGTTCTGGAACTTTGTCTTCTACAAGTTCATCTTCATCTTCGGCGTGCTCAGCGTGCAAAAGCTGGAGGAGGTGGTCCTCTGGTGCTCGTGGTTCACCCTGCTCGGCTTCCTCCACCACTTGGCCCAACTTGCCAGAGAGAGGGCCGAATATGTAATTTTTTTGCTAATATTTCATTTTTTTTTCTAAAACAAAAGTTTAAAAAAATATGCAAAAATTCCCTATTTTTAAACATTTTACTGAAAATGATTGATAATATTTTTTCCTTTTTCTTGAATTGCTTTCTACTAATTTATTATTTAGCTTAAAACCAAATACTCATATATTTAGTAAATCGCATAATTTCCCAACTAAATTTAATATATTTGATTTCACTATACTTTAATTTAAAATCTTTTTCCATTCAATTAACTGAATTTTTAATTTAAATTTGCAGTTAAGTATGTCTGTGAGCCCTGGACGTGAAAGATGGAGACACGTTCGCCTCCTAGCCTTGCTTGCGGCCATTCTTCTGGCCTCTGGAGCTATGCTTCTGGTCTGTGTTGCAGTCGGCCTTCTTATTTCCCTCAACACCTTTGCTTTTATGGGTGCAGAGGTAAACAAACTACCTATGGTGCCATTTTTCCTCCTATAATAAATATTAAAAATTTCAGTGCATTCTCCTTACTCTGCGAACGCTTCAAACAATGCTGCGCTACTTGCTTCACCTTTATGATGTGGCCCACTCCGCAAATCCAGTGCATCACTTCTTCCCTAGTGTGAAATTCCCAGCGGCCAAGGGTCACGCCCGACAAAAACTTAATGAGAAACTGAGTGGCGACGAAAAGAGCAACGACAGTTCCTTGAGAGATAATGTTGCATCAGATGTGACCGACAACACAGCCTCTAGTCAGAAGTGAGATTTTTTTGCATTTTGAATCTGAAATATTGTTGAAAGAGGGTTTTTAGCCTTCAAAAGGTTTTTTGTTGATTATTGTTTTATTATTACTTTTTTTTTAATTTCAAATTATTTTAGTACTATTTACATTACTGCCATTAAATTTGGTTATATTTTGCAGATGGTGGGTGCGTGGTGGTGGCGCCTCGTATTACCTGGAATTGCTTTTCGAGCTGGCAGCCTTGCTGCTGGACCTTTTGCATCACATCCACATGCTTCTCTGGTGCAACATTCTCTTGTCGATGGCCTCGCTGGTCATTTGCATGCAGCTCAGACTGCTTCTGCACCAGCTGAGAGCCCGCCTGGCCAGGCACCGACATCGTCTCCGACTGCAGGCCTACATGAGAAAACAGTACGTTTTTATAATTAGTTATCCAAGACTTTATTAATCTTTCTTAATTCTTTCAGTTTTCCGTCAGCTTCCAAAGAAGAGCTAAAAACTCTTGATGATGATTGTGCTATTTGCTGGGAAAGTCTTTGCACAGCACGCAAACTACCATGCTCGCATTTTTTCCACTCGTAACTGTCTTAAAATTGATTATGATCCTCTTATAACATTCAATTTTATTAGTTGGTGTTTGCAATCTTGGCTGGAGCAAGACCCATCTTGCCCAACATGCAGGATGACCCTATCCATTGGAGACTCAAATCCTTCGGCAAACCTTACTGCCTCAACTGGCTTTGTGGGGTTATTAGGCAATGTGCTGGGAGGCCTAGTGGGCTCCATTAGAGATCATGATACCCTGCTGGAGAATGAACAGAGGGATCAGCCTCAGCAAATCAACAACAATGCACAAGTCTTCCACTTTGATGGTAAAATTTTTCACAGTTCTCTCTTGTAAAGATATCATTATTTTTTTTTGCACTACAGGATCTCGATATGTTTCGTGGCTGCCCAGTTTTTCGGTGGAAGCTGCACATTCGCAGTTGGGAGGCCATGCCGAGTTGAACCCGTCATCCCAGTTGCACAACATGGCTCTGCAAGTGCAGCAGATGTTCCCGCATTATCCATTGTGGGTGCTTGTTGCTGACTTGCGAGTCTCTCACTCCGCAGAATTGACGGTCGAGAACATTTTAGAGGGTAGGCTTCTGCCTCCAGCCCCAATGTTCAACCCGGACATGACGGAAACTCCAAGAGATCCTGAGCCAGCTCAAGAACAACCTTCTCTATTGTGAGATTCTCTAAAACGACTTATCCTCTTAAATTTATTTACAATTTTATAGTTCTGATTGGCAAGAAGAAAGTCCTGCGGAAACAGCAACAGATCCATTTTCTCCAGTTGCATTCTCAGACGAGGCTACAGAAAGGCAAAGAACTCTAGCCAAACGAAGAGAAGCTTTAGTCCTGCAAGCTAGACGAAGGTTCGTATCAAACAATATAATGTAAATTTTTGTAAACTCATGGTGATTTTTTAACTAGATATCTGCAGAAGAGCTCAAATTCCTGTGAAGCTTCTGCTTCGTGCTCTCACGGTGGAATCTCATCCAATACAATATCAGATGCTTCCTCTAGCTCATCTAATTAAGTATTAAGTTTTATCTTCTTTTCCAAATCAAAACGCTAGATTTAATTTGAGTAGGTTTGACCTTTGGAAAGGGGAAAGTGTTTTGTGTTCATTGGGACAAAGGTGGGATTCAGATTGCAGTCTTCCTTTCCCTCCTGAAAACCATTTAATTTACAAGTTCGGCTAATTAATTAAGAGGTAGAAAATGCATGGAGACTATTCATATTAAAATCAGATTAATTTAAGACAAATATCGCCCGACTTCCATCTCCAAACACCCTAAAAAATTAAATTGTGCTGTATTTTCAATTGAACGTTTCCCCAATGAACACAGTTGTCTGTAAACATTTTTCATTTTTATAATTTTTATTATAAACATAGAGAACAGTAGATTTTTCATTAAATTTACTTTTATCATAATGCCTTTTACAAAACCCTAACATTTTTTAGTGAGAATTAACTCAATAAGTTCCAGACGCAATTCATAATTTGACTTCTAATTTAGGTTTTGCAATAGAAACCTGTAAATATGTGCCTGATTTTTCAAGCTATTGCAAATTAGCTATTATTGTAATTCAGTATGCAAGAGGAAACGGAATTTTGAAAAGACAATATATTACAAGAAATGTTATAATCACACTGTGTGTCCTGACTGATTTAGGTTGTTACTATTAATTTTCTTCTCTCCTGTCCAATCCTTCTTTTATTAAGCTTGTCAACACCTTTAAAAGAGCAAAATATATTTTAGTGTGCTGATTGTGGCATCATTTCCAACAAGGATGCAAATAACTGAAACGCCAATTTATCAAAACAAGCCATTTTTCTTGTTTTTTTTTCTGAGAAGGAAAATGCATCGTGAGTCAAATGTATGACTGCAGAGAGCATAATATATATTATTAAAATAATGAGAAGTGACGTTCTAATTTACAACAATAAAGTAAATTATTTAAATGCATTAGTGCTTTGAATGATTTGTGGAAATGATAAAATGCAAAAATAAACATCAATTGAGCAAATTTCAATTCTGATTTTGATTTTGTGTCATGTATAGGCAGCTTTATTACAATTAAGAAATACCTTACCACACAACTCTTGTCTAAAATTGCAATTTGTTGCTCTGCTTTTCTTCTGGAGCACCCTATTAATTAATGAGCACGTTTTAATTATAAAGGGCGGTTTTCATCCCAAGTAGTGCAACACACGTTTTAACCCTTCCTCTCCCTCAAAACAAGCCACAAGAGCAAGCCTTAAAATGCTGGAAATTTCTCGGCGCTATTTTCCAGCAAATTAAATCAGGTTTTGGCAGCAGCGCCAAAGGGGTGCTGAGCAATCATCAAACATCATTCAGGTACTGCTCGACGTGCCTCCTCTCAATCGAGCACTTTGCTATTGTTCTCTCCACTGCTGTTAACTGACAAAACGGTGGCCCTTGTGCGTTTCGCAAGGTACACAAAACGCCTCTCATCTTGAATGTGTAACCTCTCTCGGCTGCTCTTACTTTGGGTGCGCGGCGTGCATGATGTGAATTAATTAAGGGTGCTGTATAGCTCCGTTAAATCAGAGCGCGCGCTCTTTGTGATGAGAGAGAGAGAGAGGGAGAGCTTCTTCCCAAAAGCTTCTGTGACTGAAGGTTGCTCACTTCTCTGCTTATTTAGTATTTTAATTAGCGCATACATGTTTAAGTAACTATAGGTGGAGAGTACTCGGCTGTCTTGTTTCACTTATTTCAACCACGTTTTGTTTACAGAAGCCGTCCCTGTCACAGTTACAATAAATGTTTATTAAAATATGTATTTATCATTACCACTCTGCCATGTGGATAGGGTACATTAAACTATGTAAATAAAGTTAAGGCTTTGGAATTCTTTCATAATTTTATGAAATAATCAGTGAATTTAATTAATTAAATTAATATCGTTTTCATGGAAAACTTTTTAATTTTGGATATTCAATATTTCGCTCTCATCAAAGTGAAATTGATTGCTTTTCCACTAACTGAGAGGAGGAAAGTTATTTAATAGAGGGACGTGCTGTGATAATTGCAGTGCACCGTGCTTCAAACAAAAAGCATCCATTATCGCTAGTATCCAACTTTGGAGCTCAATCAGTTTTCTTACTTCCCGAGATGCAATGAAGAAATAACACATTGCCCTGTATTTGTGAGAAACTCTATAGTTGCGTTCCACTTAGCTCTCGGAGCTCATCATTGTTGGCGAGTGCGGGTGACGCCTGGTGAAGATGGGGAAACCTTTTTTGCAGACCAAATAACATGAAACGAATAATATTGCAGTCAACAACGCGTGCTATATTTACACAGTTACAAAATATAAAATATGCTGCTTGTATCTCGACGAACATTAGCCGTCCAGAGAATACATTTTGGAAATGACAGCCAGGCAACTTGTTGAGAGAGAACCTTTCAAAAACAGTCGTTCCACCATCGCGAGCTGTCAATTTTGTGCGAGCACACGCGACTCTCGAATATGTGTAAATAATGCTCACATGGCCCCTGGCAATGAATAGAGAACCAGCCAAATATATTCGCCCATTGTTCTGCGCGTTCAGCATTCGACATTCACAAATTAAAGCTGAGGTTCGGAGCGAGAAATAATGAAGCATTAAAGAACCACTACAACTACACGATGACATGCCACTGCTGGCATTGTTGAAGCAAAAATTTTATTTCAGCAATTTATGCATATAGACTGAAAATATTTTTTTGGGACCTTAAATTTTTTTTAACTTATTGCTATTTACGCTATATTGAAAATTAAAAAAAAAAAACTGCAAAATTGTTAATGCCAAAGTAAAAGAATAGGCCTGACTTTATGTTTTTGGGGTTGTATGAGAGGTGAAAATTAAAAACATTTAAATGACTTATATTTCAAGATAAAATTAATAATTAATTTAAAAACAATTTTTTCTTTTAGCTGAAAACTATTATTTTTTTATATAAAAAATGTATCATTCGTAAAGTCGATGTGAGTGACATGCTTCAAATCTCATTTCCCAGTTACCCTCCAGTACCATAACACTAATATAACTCTCTGGTACATACATTAATGATAGGTGCACCGCAGTGAAGGCTGACGGGGCACGCAAAGTGTGTGCATATAAGCCACCACTATTAGTGTCATTTCGAAATCCGCAAGGTGTGCAAATACGTGATGGGAAATGGATTCTGGGTGGAAAGCTTTTAATCTCGAGCCACATAGACGAAGTGATGAGTTGTCAAAGTCACTTCGTGCAAAATGATTGAAAATCAATTTCTACTGAGTGTGTGCGTCACTTCTGTGCGCATTACCGCCTGCTTATAATTTTGATTTTATATTGTTTCATTAAATAGGTCACGAGAATGAATGGAACAAAGAGTAATTATGATGGCTATTTGAACGTTATGAGAGCCAAAAATAAATGTATTGCATGAAGTGCGATTAAAATCTTACGAAAATTAGTTTGCACTGCTGTGCTAATCGATCAAAATAAATATGAGATTTGCGTGTTATAATCTAACTGTAGGAAATTAGTGTGTGGGATTGCTTAATTTAGCCCTAATTATAACAAAGAATAATGGATGAAAAATTTATGATCTGCCTAGTCATTTTTCATGAAGTTCTAATCTATATTTAAATTTATGGCAAAATCAGAATTTCCTTTTTGAAATATATATTTCCTTATTTCAGCCTTGACAAAATATTCTATGACGATTAATTTCTTTTGATTTAACTGACATTCTGGACTCTCTGGAGCTACCGCCACTTTAATTACATCTGTGGATTTGTGCCATTTTGTCTTGACTTCGCGATGATGCAATTTCTGAACAATAAAATCAAGTGCGTACAGGACTTGAAGGAGAATTGGGGCAATATATATTTTATGGTACATGCACAATATGGAAGTCGCTTTGTATAGGAAGCCTTTGAAAATTTTCAGCTATAAAATGATATTATGTGGAGGACATCAGCTTGTCGCATCTGGACCAGAACATATGCAGCCAATTCAATGTGGCCTTATAGTCATTTTATGCGACTTGAGATGAAAGAAAACGGGAGAATATAGAGATGAAAGAAAGCAAAGCTTTTGTGCATCCCGCACAATTGCATATAACCTTGACACATTGTAACGCACTTAACCCAGCACTTCATGCATTGTGTGCGATAAAAGGTGAATTTGATCTATTTCTAGATTAACAAAAATATATTTCCATTAACTCTAAAATTGTTTTTAAAGTCCTACAGCTTGAAGACACTTAAAGAGAAATTTAATTGTAAATAAAATGGAAAAGGAACTCGTTTTAAATACTTGCAACTTCCAAAACAAGCCAAATTTATTTTGGGCAAACAAAACACTTGCCTTGATTAAGCTTTTTGTGGCATCAGCGCCATACATAAATTAGACTTTTTGCGTCTACTACCGCAAAGGGAACTTAAAAGATTGCTCAGAAAAATCCCCGCGGGCGTTATTTCTTCACTGCAAGAAGAATTTTCCCTTGGTACTGTGCTTGGGGTGTGCCGAAAAAGCAATAAATAAATAAGAACTCTTTGCCGTTCGTCGTCGGTTGACTTTTTTGCTCCGAAGGCGGCTGCTGTCGGAATTATTGTGAACCCAAGCAGGAGGAACAAATTTCCCAGCGTCGGTCCTACGACCGCCTGCGGGGCCGAAGTCGCGCTTCGTTTCAGCCGCGAAGGGCTCGACCGATACGCAAAGGGCAAAAAGTCTACGCAGTACACAGAAGTTGGGAATTTGTGATTTTAAAGGATAGATAATTCATGCTCTCCTCTGCACTCTATCTGTGCATCAGAATCATGGTCCGTTTGAAGTTTCACTCGCAAAAGTTATAAAGTTAATATCGCAGCTCACATCAAAAATTCTTCTGTTTACTGCTTTCAGAGAATTTTCGCTTTAAACCATCAATAGCAAAGTGTTTTCCAAAGGATTTCTTTGAAGCTACAAAGCAAAAACGTAACTATAAGCCAAAAGGTATGAGAGGATGGATAAAATGAGAGCATTTCTGTAAAGTTTCACGGAAAGAACGGCGCATAATATAATTTTCTGATGCGGAACATTATCCCTTTTTAAACTCGGCCTCGTTTATTTTTAATAACTTTAAAAGTGCTGAGGATTAGTAGAGAAAATAATAGAATATTTACAAAGTAATAAAGCTGATTTGTGACTCATAAAGAGCAGACGTAAAAAAAATTATTTAAAATTCTGTCTGCTCGTGAAAAAGATAATTGGTCTCAATCATCAAAATCCAGATATATGCCAGAAGTCATAATTTGACAATATTTTTAATTAAATTCGAAAAATAAGATTTTCTGGAAAAGTTTAAAAAAAGATACCTTGAACAACGATGTTAAAGTGCTACTCAGATAATGGCTAAAATATATTTCAATCATCTTTTTGTGTACATTATAAAATAAACATTTTTTCTCTTTTAGGAAATTGATAGCTTTTTTCAATCATACTGTGAATTATTTCGAGTGGGAAGTTACACCAGACAGATCTGGATCAAAAGCCAATAGGGTTCAATTGGTTCAAGTAATGTGAGCAAGTCTTTTTCAAATCAGGCGCAGCACAATCAATTACACGCCTCGCATCACGAAAAGACGATTTACACCAAAATAAATGAGCCGACGTGCAAAAGAAACTTCTGCGAGATTCTGCCGTTTCCACAGAAACGCCAGTGGCCGATTCATCAGGCAAGGGTGTTCCACCCAGCGAGAGACGCGAGGCGCACCAGCGGCAGGGCGCCAGCGCACATTCTTCCCCTGTTTGGTGAGTTTATGAGGTGCGTGGTCAGAGAGTCTCTCCCACATTCACATCACCGCCGTCGCCCTCGCCGTCCGTCCCATACTGCCTGTCTGCAAACAACCAATCCAATAGCTGATTTTTTTTAAGGTAAGCGAAATGGAAAGTAATTTCTATAGATAGCATTATTCTGGCTCATGAAAATTTTACAGCAAAAAGTTGATTGATGAAATTATACTTTTAGTTTTGGTGAGTTTAGGCACCTTTTTATTGTAATTTATGCTGCTCTTCTATTATAAATATTTGCAATAAAATTTTGATGGGGGAACTTTCTAGTCACGGGAAGTGAGGAAAATTATTTAAAATTTGATCAGAATTCAAAGCCCAGAAACCACTAGAAACAGGAAATAATTAAATTAGTAATTTTCGACTTTTACGTGGAATTACGTTCCAAGATGTGAGCTACAAAACCAGTGTAAAAAAGTTACAAAATTCTTGTTGTGATAATAAAAAATATTGATTGAGGGAGAAAATTTTCCAAAATTAATATATTAAGTGATAAGTTACTGATTTAAAAAATTTGATCAGTTAATTATATATTAGTTTCAAGGATAATTTGAATTATTACGTTCAAAAAAATAAAAATATTTCAATTTTTTTACTGAGGAATACTAGAATAGACAAACAGACCATGGTTTAAAGAACGTAAAATGTTTTTAATGATGCACATGAAAGAGTGTTAGCAACGCTAATGAACAACCCACTCAAACTTGTGGCCTGCTTCGTATTTATATTTACAGATAGGTGATAAATATCGGACCTCTCTAGTTGCTTTTTTTGCTGTAAACAAAGAATAAGTACAAAGCGCATTAATTTTATTTTAAAATAATTTACAATTCAAAATGATTTTGTGTGTGTTTTGCTGTGATAAAATTTGGTGCTTTTGATTCAATAAATCGTTTTATGTCTTGAATTTTTAAACGCTTTTGTGAGAAGTGAGTAGCTGAATTACTTCAGGCGGTAGGTTATCAAAAAATTTGAGACTGCATTTGAAAGGTTCATTAAAACTTTTAGCACGAAATGCAGAATTTGGAAATAAATTATATATGCGGCATCGCCTTGAGGCAATTTTCCTGAGACATGCTCAACGGGAGGACGTGCCATCATCTCGAAAACATCCTTTGAATTCACCCTGCGGTGGTTCATTGCAAACCGAAGCCGCCTCTTTAATCAATCAAAGTTTCCTGCCAGCCACTGCTTATTATAGTTAATATCGATAAACAAAGTTTTGAGCGGTACTTTTGAAGGCGTCAACAAATACTCTCAAAATGGCAAACGTCCAAAAAAACAGCGTCTGTGTTCTTTTTTGATTAGACAAGTGGTTGCAAAAAAAAAGCTGAAAAAAGGCATGTGTGTGCGTTTGATGCGACGAGCCCTTTCAAGCAAACGGATGGAGCAATCGGTGCTGATTTTGCACACAGGGAGTTTTCTAAAAGGCGCGCTGCCACTTGCCAGCGGGGGTTAAAAGCGTCTCGTACTAAACTCAAGTGCTCCCTCCTTCGTCCGTGCGATGCGGAAAGCCGAGATAGAAAATATTAAAGGTGGACTAGCGACGTTTTCTGCCTCCTCAGCAATACACACACACGCACAATGTTTTGGTTTAAAAATAGCGACGCAAAAGAACCTTGACTTACAAGATGGCTCATTACGCGCAACTGGCTCGTCTAGACCGCTGTGCCAATTTTATAGACTATTGTCATCGATGGCGAGTGGTGTGCGTCATAAAAATCGCAATTAAAGAAATGGAGCTCCTATTCATGACGGAACGGGAGCTTGCGTGGGAAGGAGCACCAATCCAATTTAATTTATTTCATAAAATCTCTCCCGACAACTTCTGATTGTGAGATGCGTCGTCTCAATAATATTCACTGGTTTTCTATATCACGCTTTATTTGAATTCATGCAGAGTCTTTTTATTTCCTTTAATGTATTATTTGTGTGTGTATTTCTTTGTTCTGTAAATAAAAACTTTTCAGAGGCCTTCTAACAATAAGTAAAAACAACAGGCAAGGTAAAATAGGTGAACCATGTTTTTTTTTTTGCATTTTTCATTTACATAATGGTATTCCATAGTACTTATTAGTTGAAATTTATCCAAAACAAACCATTCTGTCAACAGTTAGTCAGGTGGGTTTAAAATTTTAGACCGTTGAGAGAAATTAGTAAAAAACATAGGCAAACTAACTGAACGCCGTCAATAAAAAGTAGCAGCTAATTTGACAGGAAATATAATAATTATATTTATAAGCTTTTAACTACTAAAAGCTTTAAATAATTTAAAACTATCACCCTGGCGCTTGGGAGATGAAAGATTTCATATTTTATCGGCAGGGATTTTTCATGAACTTCGCCCACCACATCAAATTAAAAATTCAATTTGCGAAAAGCGGAGGCACGTTTTTTGCGCGCCCGGAGGCGTCGCCTTTTAACCAAAAAGGACGAGAAATTATTAAATCATTATGCAACTGGCTGCTCTTGCCTGTCGAGCCGGTTGCCTACCTACCACCCGCAGGCGGAGAGGCATTTCAAAGTATGCAACGGCTAAACAAGCTTAGTGCAAAATTTATATTCATCATATCCGGCGCTGAAAACAATATGAATGTGCTGCTGAATCGCTGTCAAGCACTCTCGACGCTTTATTTTGTCTGCCCGTAGGCTGATCAAATACGTCTGTTTGCCAACAGACAAGCAGGCAACATAATTACAATTTAAATAATTTGTGAGAGAGAAAGATACATTATTAAATACTTCGTCTCACCTCAGGACTCGGGTCATTTGCCCTTGGACGAAATGAGAACGCAATTAATAACGGCTGCCTCAATCAGAAAGTTAATTCCTTTTCATCCGGGAGCTTGCACGAGCGGCACACGCGGCTGACCACAAATCTTTCCTTCCCAGAGACTTGGGTTAATAAAACTTTGGGCTTAATATAAATCACAGGAAATTAACTTTTTTAATTCCCTAAGACGGCCGAGACATATGAGCATGAACTTTGTACTTTACGAGCTGCTTATGCTTTTGAGTTATGAATGATAAGTTTATGAGTTTTAACGAGTTTTTTTTTTTTTTTAATAAAATAAGTTTTGAGGGCAAAAAAACCCAGTTGGTTATATTACAGTCAGCAAATTGCAGCGAGAGTGGACTTAATTACAAATATTATCGCAAGGCAGTGTGGTGTCTCTAACTGAATATGAATGAGAATTATTATTATGCCCTCGTGTTTAGATAGCGCCAAATGGGCCACCTCGTGTTTTTCAGTCGCCCACAAGAGCCATTAGGCGACTTCATAACAGACATGAGTCGTAAAAGTAAAACCCTCAGAGAGGAGCAAAGATTCTGCTTGCTTTGAGTATGATACATACACTGTCTGTCTGCCTCCTCTCTTGCCGCGAGGACATTTCTGAAAAGGCGGGCGACCAGCAAAAGCTAATTTGTAGCTCGTCTTATATAATTTTTTGCTTCGGTTAGGGGAAAGTAAAATGTTATTGGCGCTGGGCCAGACCAGCTTTGCTCAAATCTGCCTCGCAGCCAAGCAAATTGACATTTTGCATGTTCCTTTGCCAATTTTCGTGTCCGATTTAACTACGTTTAAGGCAGAAACGCAATGAATGGATAAAAACAAACTGTTGAATGGCAAATGCGCGCTTAAGAGGAATAAAATTGAGAATGGCTTATTAATTTAGTTAAACATTTTGGGAGAGTGATTTTGAGCTCTAATGAATGCACAAACTTAGTTAATTACATTTCTGCAACACTTTGGCTTACGATGAATGTTGCTGACGTTTTCGGGACTTCATACTTTAGGAAGAAAGAGAAAGGTGTAGGCTTTGAAATGCAAATAAGGCGCCATAAGGCCCTTTCACGCAAACTCCAAGTTACCTGCATGACTGATGGTTGAAAGATCGCAGAAACTGAATTCCCATATAAACGGGTTAATATATTACAAAAAAATATAAATTAAATTAATTGATGAAGCAATGTTTCAGTAAACAAAATATAATTTTATTTTAAAAGCAAAGAAAATATTCCTATCAAGATTTTAATTACTTTTTGAGAAAAAGCTCCTAATCGACAAAAAAAATATTAATTCATTAATCACTTCAAGAAATTTTAATTGTGCATAACTTTCCATATTATAATTGTGATAAATCACGGCAGCTAAAGAATAGTTAATTAAATTGGGTTTCTCCTTTGGATGGAGTCGATTCATGAAAAGCAGGAAACTGAAGCTGGAGTCCATGCAGTGACTAATCACTCTCTTGATGCCTGTTTGTAAAACGTCATGAGTTGCTGCAGTTCATTTATGATATTGATAATTATGCGGGTTTCATTTGTATTGCATTGGACAAGAGAGCGCAATTAGGCTGACACACTGATCTGTAATTGCAATGTAGAAATTTTACATGCGGAATGAGTGAGCTTTTTGTTCCGAATGAAAACGGTGAAACGAGCAACTTTTTTTCATCAGGGCTGAATGTTAAAAACACTATATCATCACCTCAGTAACAAAAAATGAAAGGGGATTAAAAATTCACCATTGGATGAAATTGCAGACTGGTCTTGTTTGCGGAAACTTGGGCTTGAATTTAGTTTGCTACCGGTGTGCAAACAACTCGCAGCTTCCGCGCCGAATGTAAATTTCTCGACTAAATGACCCATACTGATGTGAATTGGGTTTTGTTGGCCGGTCGAAAATGGTTTCGGTTCCCTCGCTTGCAATGCTCTATCGGATTTCCATTCTCTGGCTGGCAGATAGTGGCTGTGCTGTTGCCGCTTGGCCAAACAAGAGCGAATAATTCACAGGGCTGAAGGCAGTCCGTTCATATTTTTGTGACGCCTTTTGAAAGAGCGAGAGAGACTCGGGTAAATACATGCAGCACCATTGTTTTGTGCTCGTAAACAGGCACTGCTCAAGCACGCCGTTGTGAAATGCCTAGCAAAGAAAAGGAAAATGCCCTTTTTATTTGCTTCTTTATTCAGCTTTATTAAAATTTAATACAAAAAAAATGAGAACGTTTCCTTCAGAGGAAGACATGAATTAATTCCCATCTTTAGAAGAGGATTTTTGTTTGAATAAAGCGAGTATGTTT